TAAAAGCACCCGTACGATGTCAGAAATAATATAGGTTGTCAAATGTTTTAATGTTGTTGTTGTTTAATAATTTATCATCAGATAAGATATAATGGACTTCTTATTTTTCTTTGACCTTCTCACTGGTTATTTCTTTTTTTCGATTGCCTTTCTTCTGGTTATTATGGTATTTCCATATTTTTATCTTAAAGAAAGTAAAAAGGTTAACTTTTGGCTTTTGCTGTCTCAAAAACTAAATGATATCTAATTGTTGTTACAATTGTCTTACCCGTGGAAAGTACGAAAATTTACAAGGACAATGAGAGAAAAAATATTACTTTGAGAAAATTGTTGTGAACTTTGGTATTTATTTTGTCTTCGTTACATCGGCAATATATAAAATGCCCTTATATAAAATTAGCAAGACTATCCGGTCAATGACAGCTCTTGGTGATGTTTCTGAAAACCATTCGCAATACCAATAAGAAATATTCTTTAAATTTTTCGGTCTCAAATTCTCCATGGTTTGTCTAACTTTAAGATTTTCATGGTGCCTCGCATATATAAAAATTTATAGTAAATCCTTTGGGTGGATTTCTTTCCAACAAAATAATCATACATCAAAATGAAAATTAAAAATAGAACCTTGCTTACACCCTCAATAACTTTCAAATCCAATCGATTGACTTGATTAAAGCCGAAATAATTCAATAAATAGAGAGATTTCGCACGGCGTGAAAGTACAACTTATAACGTATACTTATACTTATAAGCAAACGTACAAGGTGTTTCATAATTTGGGCTTTTCGTCAGGAAAGATCTTCTCGGACTGTAATAAATAAAGGTCAAAGGGATGCCATTCGTTCTTTCTTGAATTGTAGCATATTTAGTTGATCCAAATGTGTTTGTCTAGAATAAAATAGGCTCGTGTATAGTACGTATGTTATAGACCTACCTCTTCTCAAATTGACTTTTTGAAGTACTCGTTATGAAACACCCTGTATGTCATTTGTTGAGCTACTGAATGGGTCGTTTCCAGGAATTGCTAGAACCTACTGGTTTGATTGGTGTTTCAATTTGATGGTTAAAGTATTTGATTGGATACTGTTCCTACTCAGCCAATTGTTTTAAAAAAAATTGCTTGCGGTCAATTGTTCCACACACATGCAGGTAAAGCTTTATGCGGAGATCCAACTGTATATGTTTATCATCTCGTATATATACCGTTTTGTAAGTTCATTGAAATTATACAGATCATGAAAACTTTGAAATTATCAACTTGTTTATGTAATGACTCACTTTAAAGGATCGTGACTCACTTTAAAGGATCGTGTTTATAATACACTACAGCTACTAGGACACGGAAGCAAGTATATTTAAATATAATGTGCATAATCTACACGTGCAGATGGCAGTGCATTCACAGCCTCTAGTTGATGGAGCTTTTCTATATCGGGAATAGTTATGTTCCATTAAGTACAATTTGAAATTGATTTTAGTAAATATAATAGTTCGACATGACCCTTTAAAGTATACGTATACGTATAAGCACTTATGTGCGAAATCTCTCTAATGACCGTATTGTTACTTATAAAGAGAGTATATCTCATTGAATTTGTGAATTAGATTTTTTGTTAGGAGTTTTGCTCATAAAATGACACCTGTTAAACACTGTTATAACTTAATGATTCTACAAGGGATTTGGCTTTTGTAAAAATTGCATACTGTTTTAAAGTATTGAAAAAAGTAGTTCTGCAACAGGACATAAAACATTAACGGAATATCATTAGATTGTTTGGGTAGGGAGGGGGATAACCCCTCAAAAAGGCACCATGAGACACATGATGGCATTATTATTATCAAAATACTTAAAGCAGTCATCCTGTCGGAATATAAAATTATAGATTTGTTTAGAAACATTTTCTGCAGGCTCTGAGTTATTGCCTTATGTAATAAAAATGTGATGTGTGAAACTTGAAAAAAAATGATAGAAGTTGAAGTCAAAAACTCGTAGAATATGATGTAATAAATAATGAAAATCTATAAATGGTGCAATTAAGGAATAGCAAGGATAAAAAGATGCAGATGCAATGTGTGAAAATAACGTAAACACAAGAATCAATGGATTGTGGATGATTTAATAAATTCAAGGCTTGTATCTTCGAGGTTGAATTAGGGCTGCCATCCTCATACAAAGTATTCATACAAAACATGCATGGTCTAAATCATCTACAATTCATTGAATTTTGGGCTTGAATCCTTTAAATTAAACAATTTTGTGTGCCAATGCGAAGTTTTTTATTCATAATCCATGAAAACGAAAGCATTTTTGCATGAACATAATTCTATATAATAAACCTAATTTAGTTTCTTATTGTTTTTCATCAGGTGGTGACAAATGTGAAGGTAAGAACAACATAAATCCTAAACGTCATATTTATAGTGCAAGTGTATTTAACAGTTGAGTAAACATCCATATGTAAGCAAGGTGAGATTCGATTACGAAGCAAGATCATTATAACTGATGATCCACTCGATTACGCTGGTTCGTTTGGAACCTCGAAGGTACGGTTAGAAGTGCAGATCTTAACCGTTTTTTAAAGCCTACAACGCGTAAAATAAGGAAAAAAGAAAAATCTTAACGTCGAGATTCCGACATTTTATTACCGAAACGGTTCTAACCACCGTAATCGATTGCATCACCAGTGATTATGCGTCACTGGCATAAATGAATAATTATTTTTTCAATATGTCCAGTTTGTTACCTGAAGGATTGTTGCGAAGACCCCATATCCTCTGGTGGGAGAAACATCAAAACAGGCGAAGGAAAAATATTCGGAGCGTATTGTGAGCAAGGTTGGACGTACATATTTAGACGGTTCAACGGGGCTGAGGATTTCTATCGTACTTGGGTCGAGTATAAACATGGTTTTGGTGAACCAAGATGGAAAGAATACTTTATTGGATTGGACAACCTTGCAAGTTTTGTGAAGGGGCGTAAGTGCAAAGTGCGAATTGATTTGGAGGCCTGGCCACCCGTATCACCGGCTAAACGATTTGCTGAATATTCAGTATTCTCCATCGCTGACAAGACCGACAAGTACCGTCTTACCATTGGAGGATACAGTGGAACAGCTGGTGATTCAATGGCAGCTCAAAATGGACAACGGTTTTCGACGTACGATAAAGATCATGATATTTACAATGGAAATTGCGCAAGCAGTTTTAAAGGAGCGTGGTGGTACGGGAAGTGCCATGCTTCGAATCTGTTTGGTTGGTACAAAGGACCGGTTTGCCCAAGTTATGCCCAATGTGTCGCATGGAATAATTGGCCAACAGTCATCGGATCCCCTTCAAATTATTACTACTCCTTTAAGAAGGCCTCAATGAAAATACATTGCTGTTAAATTCCACTCGAGTTTTCTGTTCATCAAAGTGAAATAGATCATTCCCGATTAAATAATGGAATCATATTTTCTGATTAAATTTCCGAGATATAAGCGCCTCCAAATATTTACATTTTATTTATTCTATACATAACTAGAAAACAGCAACTCCACTGAGTAGCAAATCCTCCCGAACAAAACATGTTTTGATAAAAAGCAGTCGTCTTGGAAATCTCTTCTTGAACAAAGCTTCTTTGTCCCAAGGTATCAGTGAGTATATAAAATTTGTGCCAAATCCATCAACTGATAATTGAGTTATCAAAGATTATTTTTTGTAATCATTTTTGGTGTCTTTCCGTTGGTACTTGCACTTAAATTTTCGGGCATAATTTTATATTAGTTTGGCTAAAATCGGAGATAATAGAAATTGAAAGAATTTTGTTTACCAGTTTGAATGATACTAACTGCAGTTAGAGTCATTCAGCTGTGTAAAGTGATTAAAAGGGTGGAGGTAATTAAACACCACCTCTTGCATCAGTGAATATGCATCAGCACACACGCTGTACGTCATGACGTACAGTACAAGGAGTGATCACAGTCAAGAATTGATTTCTTTTAGGCCTTTGATCTTGTTGGATAAATCTGTTGAAGCTGTCATATGCATATATAAATGATATTTTATGACATAAGTTTTTACTATAAGTATAATGAAACCCCCGTAAAAATATTAGTTGACACATAGATAAGGATTCTATCTGAGCTTTAAAACTAGATTTAATTTGATAAAACAGGCTGGCAAAACAAGTCCATTACCATTAAGTCCATTAAGTATTCTTTTATTTGAATTTCACATCCTGGTCTAAATGGGGAAATATGTTATTATTTGTTATCATAATTGAAATTTCAACCAGAAAAACAAAGTAATAAAGTATTGTTCTATATACTATTAAGTCTTTGACAATGTTTTAATGTTGTTTCGTGATGTGCTTATCGATACGAACAGTAGAGTTCACATTGCATTTTGAACAATTGAAAAACATTAAATGTAGCGGTATATTGTTATATACTTTTACATTTTTATTGCTTTCAAAAACGAACAATAAAAATGATTCAATGCACGAAGTCAATAGTTTAACTGGGCATAGAAAGTTAGCCAATATACAGGGTGGGCCAGAAAACTTTGATTTTTTCTTAAATGGCGTTGCGAATGGTTTAACCGTGTAATAAGTGGCATGAAGTCCTTTTTTAATATTCGAGATACATCCCGATATTTTATATAAAGGTTATTTTATGACATAACTACAAGAATAATGAAGCCCCAGTAATAATATTAGTTGGCATCTAGAAAAGAATTCTTTAAAACTTTAAAACTAGTTCAGAAAATCTTCTTCATAATAGGTAACATTACATTGACGATAACGTCGTATTTTTATGAAAAATAATGTATGGACCTCGGGTATGGAGAGAAAATAACCATAGTCTAAAATAAGTTGCCATCTATACCATACGAGTTTCTTTGGAAAGGGATACAAAATTCTGATTTTTAACCCACCCTGTACAATCAAACACAGTGAGATGATGCTCTACCACGTGACTTTGCACTTTTGAAACGCATCATTAATATAATCAGAACTTATCATTTCAAATCAGACGTGCAGCCGAATTGAAACATTGATGACGGCTAACATAGGAGCTTTCAGAAAGATGCATCTTTTGACATTGCTGTTTGGAGCGATCCTCGTCTTCATGATTGGTCGTACACAAGGTATTTGATAATCGTACACAAGTCAATAATTAATAAAATCAATATAATGTATTATGTTTCGTATTAACTTAAACTCAAGTAAAATACGCTGATCTTTAAAAAGTCAATATCATTCAAATATCATACAGATATATGGTTTTGTAGTCTTCCACAATTTTATCAAAATGTGATGTATGAAACATTTTCTTAAATCAAAAGAATAACATATTGTCAAAAGAAATTGTCAAAAGAATTTAATGTAATTGCATTCTTATGCAGTTGGCTTAAGTTGCCACGCACATTAACGCATAAAATATAATTTTTTCCAAAAAGCATTTGTCTTCAAAATTTGACAACAAATAACAAGAATCCTCATATTATTAACTTAAAAATAATAATATTGGCATTGAAAAATAATGTGTTTCTCGATTGAAAATGGTATAATTCATGGCATTTTGTTAGAAATTCGTGTATTTGGCAAACAAAAGGCCAAACGTCTTGTAAAAATAGCAACCGTAACATTTGACCTTATAACTGTTTGAGTCAGTTGTCCCAATGCGTGGATATTTTATTCATATTTTGTCTCAAAGACAGCACAAAATGATTGTGCTATACGTTGTTTCAAAGATATACTAGTACATTGAAAAATTTGAAATATGAGTATTAGAGTACGAGTATATGAGTAATGTTGCAAAAATTAAACTAAAATGCACTAATTAATCTATTTTCTTATCGTTTTTGCACGCATCAGGTGATGACAAATGTGAAGGTAAGAACAATGCAATTAATTAAAGATTATCATAACATGCTACACAGGGAGATATGCCGAGTACTAAATTAGTACAAAATTAGTACTAAATTAGCACTCGTGCCATGAGTACTCATGAGTGCACTTTTGCCAGAGTGCTAATTTATTACTACTTGAGTGCTATTTTAGTACTAATTTTGTGAAAAATAAGGGTTTATTTTAGTACCGTTTTAGTAACAATATTTTAAGTAATGATTTAGTACTAATTGAGTGCTGTTTTAGTACTAAAAAATTGCTCATTTAGCACTAAAATAGTATTCATTTACTAAATAATAAGCACTCAGTAGGTATCATTCTAGCTCGCATACAATTGACATGCTACCTTCAATTTTGTAATTTAGACTACCTCCCACATCACCTTATGTTTGTAACACATGATATATCTCACTTACCTTGTAATTTTAGTAACTTTTCATTTAATACAACTTACCTCATCTTTCACTTATTTTAAGTAACAAATCAATGTATATATATATGCACTTTTCTCAAGAATGGAACAGTATGGTGTCTGTCATTTTGTTTCCTAGCTTCAACCCATTACATGATATAGCTAAAGGAATGGGAATTTTTTGAAAAGCTTAATGATATATTTATCCATGTTTTCGTACAATTAAAATGTAATTTATAACGTATTCTATATTTTACTTCATCAATTAAAAAAAATTATCAACATTTTAATCTTTGAGTACTATTCTATCACTCGTGAAACATGAGCAATAAATTAGTACTCATAATATGAGCGCTCATTGAGTAATGAAAAATCAATTGAATTAGCGCTATTTCATCACTCATCATATGAGTACTCGTTTAGTACTAAAACATGCAATTAATTAGTGCTCATAGAATGAGTGCTCATTGAGTAATGAAAAATCAATGAATTTAGCGCTATTTTATCACTCATCATATGAGTACTCATTTAGTACTAAAACATGCAATAAAACAGTACTCATGTCATAAGTGCTCATTTAGTACTAATATTTGCTGAAATGAGTACTCAATTAGCGCTAAAATGCAATGAGTACTATTTTAGTACTCGGCATATCTCCCTGTGTAGACAATCAAACATTGAACACTGTTCAAAACTTTACGAGTGGCCCCAATGGGGGAAGGGTCGGGAAATGGTTGGGATGATGCGATGTAATGTCAGGTGTTGGGAATTTGACAAAGTACTTCAAATTCATTCCTGGGGTAGAAATGTATTTTGAAATGTATACGGGGGGTGTCTCAGAAAATGTACCCAAAAGTATATCAACAGCACAACTAAACCAATCAATATTTTTAAATATTTTTTGCATGATCATGTGGCTAGAGCATGTTAGTTTTCTCCCCAATACACAATTTTTAGGTCAGTCTTGCCTATTTGATAGTTTAATCCCTTACTTTTTTATTACAAATTTCGATGACAGCCTGCATCGTTATGCTTCATTGTTCATCACATTAATAATGCTTCTGGTGGAACGTTTTGCATTTCTCTTTGGATGTTGGCCTTACGTTGTTCTAGGTCCCCAACCAAAGAAACCTAGAACAACTTAAAGAGGCCCTATGCCATAGGTTGCACAATCAAGACTCCTCTAGACTTTTTGCATAGTCCCAAATCCAAAATCCCTCTCTTTCAGTGTTAATTTTGCGATCTAATTATTTTTAAGAAATTAATTCAATCTGAAGTTTGAATATACCGGGAAAGTCCTCCTGTTATCTGATTGGTCGTTGAATTTATGAACCCGATTGGCTGCCTGGTTCAAGGCGCTTGTGGGCGCTTGTGTGACTCAATGGGGATTAGCCTCGCTAGCCGAGGAATCGATTGTGTTTAATTCTGGAGTTCGGTTGTTCTGTTGATTATTTCAATATTTCGGCAATAATATACCCAAAATTTATTCTCAAGATATATCCATAGGATATGAGATATTATATGAGCAATAACAATAGGACATCATTGATTGTCTGGGGAGAAACCTATGGTATAATACATCTCTAAGGCCAACATCTCAAAAGAAATTCAAAATATTCCACCTCAAACATTTTGAAATGTGATCGACAATGTAGCAGCAGTAAGGATGCAGACTGTCATCGAAATATGAGGAGGTTAAATTTAAGACATGGTATAAAAAGGGTTAAAGCATTAAAAAGGCATGGCTGAACTAAAAATTTAGAATTGGGGGGAAAACGTTCATGTTTTGCCAAAATGACCATGCAAAGAATATCTGAAAATATTGATTGGTTTCTCTTTGCATTTGATATACTTTTGGGTACATGTTTTGAGACACCCTATATTCTTGGTAATATGAATTTTCATCATAATTGACGTCACCAGCTTCCACTGCTTCCAGAGTGTTGCTCAAAATGGAGGAAATTGAAAGTTGCGATTTGATTTTGAAAGCATGATCATTGTCCACTTCTCGCATACTGAAACAAGCTTCTTTTATCGCGAGTTTTGCCTACTTAGATGGACCAAGGGACAATGTTGTTAGCTATCGTTGGATCTTTATGTTTAATCAAATGGAAATTCTTCAACCTGCTCTAACAACAGAACAAAGACAATTCGGACAAAAATCATTATTGATAATTTCTGCTAATTGGTTTTTCAATTTTGTCTAGTTTGTTACTTGAATGACTGTTGCGAAGACCCTATAGCAACTGGTGCAAGAAACATAAGAACAAGCGACGGAAGAATTTTCGGAGCGTTCTGTGACGAAGGTTGGACGTACATATTTAGACGATTCAACGGGGCTGAGGATTTCTATCGTACTTGGGTCGAGTATCAACATGGTTTCGGTAGCCCAAAATGGAAAGAATACTTCATTGGACTGGACAACCTTGCCAGTTTTGTAAAAGGGCGTAAGTGCAAAATGCGAATTGATTTGGAAGCATGGCCACCTGTATCACCGGCTAAACGATTTGCTGAATATTCGGTATTCTCCATCGCAGACAAGACCGACAAGTATCGTCTTACCATTGGAGGATACAGCGGAACTGCTGGTGATTCAATGGCACGTCATAATGGACATCGGTTTTCAACATACGATCAAGATAATGATATTCACAGCGGAAATTGTGCAAGCGTTTATAAAGGAGGTTGGTGGTACGAGAAGTGCCACAATTCAAATCTGTTTGGTTGGTACAAAGGACCAGTTTGCCCAAAGTTTGCCCAATGTGTCGCATGGCGTGATTGGCCAACAGTCATCGGATCCCCTGATAATCGGCAGTACTCATTTAAGAAGGCGTCATTGAAGATACATTGCTGTTAAATTCCGACTCCATGAAGTGAAATAAATTACTACATTGAATAATTAAACATTCTGTTTGTTCATAAACCAGGGTGTAAAAGGGTAGGAGGTTCTATCAATACAACTCTTTCCCTCATTATCTTATACGCAATCAGGGCCAGTAAGGGCCGTTAAGAAAGGGGACCATAATCCCTTGGGGACCATAATTTCTTTCACACCTGGTATCCTTCAAGATCAGACTCCACTGTTATAGCAGCTATAGAAAGAATTAAAATACCCTTAATGTTGGACCAAGGATGGACCCAGGAGGTAGATGTGCAATACATAGCAACTTGGTTAAGGTCACATTCGCTATTAATTTATATTTCAATTGAGAATATTTTCAGCTGAAACTTTGTGCAAGTATGCTCACTTGAAGAAGTTTGATTTTTGATTTTCTAGTTTTAAGGCTGTACCCCAGACACAGGTGACATCTTTGGTTAACTATATACAATTATTGACCTCTCCAGAGGTTTACTGTCAAAATTATATCCCGAGACTGTAAACCGAGACCGTAGGTCGAGGTTTACAGTCGAGGGATATAATTTTGACAGTAAACCGAATGGATAGGTCTATAATTGTTTTGTTAGTCCGAAGAATATCTTAGATTTTTCTGACCCTTGAAGTTGACTTGAAGTTGGATCCTAGACCCTCGAGACGTTCATGTTGCAGTGGCGTAGCGTGGCAATTTTACTAGGGGACGCAAAATTCCAAAATTGGGATGGGGGGGGGGGGTTACCCGATACGCATTCATTTCCACTTGAAATGTACTCATAAGTACTCATTGCCCCTCAACAAGACGTCGCTTTCTCCCTGGATCAGTCAAACAATCACGCAGTGCCTCGTCTCCACGAAGATCATCATAATCTGGTCCATTTTTACACAAAAATAATTTTGAACATTTAAAAAATCTATTATCGTTGTAAAAATCTTACCTGAATAATTTACACTGAACAAAAAGATGTCTGCAGCAGACAGCACTGTTGATTACTCTTATTCAATGTCTTCCGATAAGATTTATGGATAAAAGGTACAGCCAAATCTTGCTTGAATATTATTATAGTAGAGATATAGATATTAGCGTAATTGATTAACTATCCCTAATCATTAAATTCAAAAGATACTTACGCCAAAACTGGAGCTGGATTCGAGCAGCCATTGTGTACTTAATACGGGGAGGTCATGGATTATATAAGAGTATTCACGAAATTATGAGAGTATAATTTGAAAGAATCATTAATGACATGTCGGGACTAAAATAAACACCTTTCTATGGTTGAACCCTGTTCAAAGATACGAAATGATAAGGTTGAACAATGGCTTTGCTTATTAAAACTTGAGAAATTTAGAATTTCCAAATATTCAGATAAACATTGGATTGTTCCAGTGGACGCATTTGCGTACTTTGCGTAAACGACGCTACGCCACTGTGTTGTATTTCAGTATATCGGCAGTAAGTTCACTCAATGGAGTCAAATTACTCTCCTGGGCGAAGTCCACTAAAAGCTTTGTACAAAGTTTTAGATTTTTCTTCGTTTTTTGACCGTCTTTACTCTCTAAGAGACTAATAATATCCTCATCTTCAACATTTTTGAAACGGCTAGTGCTAGCGGCGGCCATTTTATCGTCTGATAATGACGTCATTTTAGTGGAATGCTGGGAATATTATTCACCGGCAATGCATTGCGCGGTGTACAGTATACAATTGTTGACCTCTCCAGAGGTCAACCGGCAAAATTGTATACCGAGACTGTAAACCGAGAAGCTACTGTTGACAGAGACCGAAGGTCGAGGTCAACAGTGTTTCAAGGTTTACAGTCGAGGTATATGATTTTGACGGTTGACCGAATGGAGAGGTCTACAATTGTTTTGTTAGTCAGAAGAAACTAATAATACTCATATATACGACAGTCATCAATCATGGCTTCATTTCACAATCTTTTCTACGAACCACGCCAGCAATAATTTTAAAGAAAATCTGAAGACAGTGGAAGCTAAACTCTCTGTTTTCGGCACATAACTGCGTACTCACTAGTAAATTAATGTTAATTTTGCGTTTCTATTTGTATTGTTGCTATACTCGTCGTGTAGAAAAGTCAAAATATCACTTTCATCAACGTGTACAAAATGTCGGACTACCATGTTTTTTTCTGTAAACATTGTGACGTCATATTTCCCATAATTCACAAGTGTAGTACAGTAACATACGCGGTCAATAATATGATATCCCATGATGCACAAGTGAGGTACAGGCAAAAATGTTGACCGCTAATTGACCAATCAGATGCGAGTATTTACACTGAGGTACTAACAATTAAAATTATTCACCGCTCGTTGACCAATCAAAATCGAGTATTTCAACTGAGGTACTAACAATACAAGTTGTAAAAATCAAATAAGCATAAAAATCCACAAAATATGTAAAAACGTTTAAGTATAAACTCATGCTTTGTTGAAATAATGTTTTAACACACAGCGTATCAGAGATCCAATTAAAATATGAAAGCACTTGTGTCACGGGTTGTGATCAAAAGATTTGTCCGGCGTGGGGATAAAAACACTAAGACAACTTCATAAATTATTTTTAACTCATGTTCAGGCCCGTAGCCAGGATTTGCCAAGGGGGGTTCACTTTTTGGAAAATTCCAGGGGGGGTTCACTTTTGACAATTTTGGTCCAAAATCACTTAAAAAGTGCTCAAAATGGTGAAAAACTGCATGATTTTGAAAGAATTTTTGGCCGGGGGGGGGGGGGGGGGGGGGGGGTTCGCCCGAACCATGCGAACCCCCCCTGACTACGGGCCTGCATGTTTCATGATACCAAAGAAAATTACCTACTCCATGTAATGGGTATATCATATGCGGGTAACCCTCATTTCTGTTTGAAGGCTAATAAGGCTAGAAGTAAAAGCTATTGAAAACGGTATCAGACTATTACACTCTTAAATGCACCATTTCTATTTCAACTTTTAAATGGTATGATATAGTGACTTGATAATATTAAGGTATGCTTCCATTATAACTCTGATGGTGTTCATGAGATCTAGATGTATTGGGTATTTTAATGTTTCAATTTTTGGGGAGCAGTTTCAAATATGAAATACATTTAGATTCCAAATATATCTTTTACAGCTACAATTTACGGGACCTGCCCAACCCCTTTCCCAAATTGACACCCTGTTTTTTGTTTGCTTGTTTTATGGCATTTGTGTAGCCTTATAGTAACCTAATAGTAAGAGGAATATAATAAATTAATGTTTTTGTTTTAAGTGAAAGACATTAAATATTTGATTTCCTTACATTCTGAACTAGTGTTCACTGTAACAGGAAAATATAAAATATTATTTGCATTTCATATATATTTAATATTACATACTATTATAAGAAATGTATAGCTGCCTTAAATTAGAATGCATAAATCACATTTACGATTCGATTAATTGAAAACCTCTTCAAAACAGAGAAGTTTCTCCCTAGTTTCTCGTTTTTTACCGATGGTTAACCTTTTGCATATACATTCAGTAAACTATATACTGTGATTATGACTGACAATCCATCATTAAGAATACTGTACATTGTCTTTAATGAGGTACCAATCTATAAGCTCATGGTCCTCAGTATGTACTTGGTCCTTATTATGTACCTTGTCTTAATATACCCATGACCATATTCAAGTTCGTATAAATATCTTGATTATTTATCGTTTTTTGATTGGCAATGTTATAAAATCCATGGGCATTGATACGTATAAGCCAGGCGAGACAAAATATTGCAGAAAATTAATTTTCAATATCTTCAACCCATGCTGTGAAAATTATGTCCTGTGGTCGTAAAACAGCCTTAGCCTTGCCTACATAGATATGCCTCGCCTATTTTTGGATAATGTCTCCGCTGCTGCAAGATTACGCCATAGGCAACTCGTGGGCTGCAGCGTATCTCCCCGTGACGTAATGGAAGATCTGGCGTTCAATATCACCGAGGAGAGAACTCGCGCCAAGTCTGAACAGATCATTTTTCATCCATTCTTCCCCTAGTTCTTCCTTCATTAGAGACAACCACGTGCAGGCGTCTTTAGCACTTCTGATTCCTCCAGCTGGCTTGAAACCCACCTGCAAGTACAGATTTCAAATCGTCCATCAAGGTGTAGAATTTAAACACTAGATCATTTTCCTTTTTGAGTATTCTTGAACTAAAGTTATCCAAACTATAATACTATTATACTATAGTATTGTATTGTACTTTGGTTACAGCCATATTTTGGCGGGCAATATGAATCATGAGAAAATTTCCAATGGTATTAAATTCTTGATTGAAAAGCAATAAAACCTGGGAATCTTCACAGGCCATTATTGTTCCTTTTATGTAGTAGTTGTTCCTTATAGAAAAGGTTCAGTAACATGCAAATCAATTTTTTGTGGAGAAAGAATGTGAGAACAGAGCTCAGGTCTGTAGCCTGTGGGTGGGTCAATTTAAAAAAAATTCCAATTCCAAAATCATTGCTCAAAATGGTGAAAAACTCTATGATTTTAAAATAAATACACTTGAACCCCCCTCCCCCCTCCCCACCTTCCCTGGCTACAGGCCTGGCGCTCTATGATTCTTACTTTAAATCCAGTTAGTTGGAAGTAATCCCGGATTGCACGAACCATGACTAGAGCCACCACAAAGTTGGCGTTCACACCTTCCTTGCCAGTTGAGGTCTTTATAAAATCAGCACCTATGGTAATATCAAATATTGAAAAATCGCTTTAATCAAATATGTGTATCAATGTACATTTATATTGGAAATGATAAAACGAGAGAAAATATTGTAAAAATGAACATCACTAGATAATGAACATTCATCATTTTTCAAACTCAAAATCAACTTGTTGAGTGTAATTAGCCAATATGTGAGTTACTTAAAATGAACATTTAAAAGTGTTCTTTTGACAGAGGTGTTCAAATAAACCTATGAATGTCGAACATCTTTAATTATACAAGGAAGTGTTCCCATCAGGTGGTATCCATCATAAAGTAGGTAACATTAAAGCCAATGGGTACTGGGTAAGAGATGAAGTACCACATGACAGTTTTAATGATACAAAATTGGACCATTGACATACCTGCCATCATACACGCCATGCTTGCTTTCCGTACATTAGCAAGTGTACCTAATTCTCCCACAGCCAAGATTGTCTTCAAATGAGCCTCACCACATGCCTCTTTCATCAACTTTACTTCCTCATAAACACCTAGAAGTACAATGATGGGATAAAAGAACCTCCTTTGAATATATCTACTCAATTGTACTGAGTGTGTATTGATACTATATTTTTCATTAGGCCTATAACTGCAGAATACATACTTTAGATACACTTAATGGATTGAGCTTAAGTTGTATCATTCTTCTGCAAATAAGCATTTCAGTTTAATGTGTATTACTTACAGTAAGGTCACTGATATCCATACGGGAATAATGACACAAGTGAAAATTGGAAGAAATTTAATTTCAAATCGCCAAATAAGAACTAAAGCCAAACTTATTGTATCAATCTCCAGTATGTATTGAAATGATGAAATAAATTGCATCTATAAACAAGACATATTAAACATGCAAAATGTCACCACGTGCCATTTGTTACAGACACCAACTACCAAATGCTTAACACTGTCCCCAAATAAGTTTGAGACTATAACACTTGTGATGACAGCCCGTAGCCAGGATTTGCCAAGAGAGTTTATTTTTTGAAAAATTCCAGGGTGTATGCTTTTGACAACATTGGCCAAAAATGGCCAAAATCACTTGAAAAGTGCTCAAAATGGTGAAAAACTGCATGATTTTAAAAGAATTTTTGGCCAGCCCGAACCCACACACCTGGCTACGGGCTTGTGGTGATGAGATAAAACCATTGTACCTTTCCAGTCCCCTCCTAATGCTAGTGTTCTGTTGATGACTATGTCAATCTCGGAGGCTCCTTCCGATACAGCGAGGCGGATCTCCTCAAGTCTGGTTTTCAGGGGTGTCTGCCCTGTGGGGAACCCAGTTGCAACTAGAATACACAATAGAATGTACAATAGATTATACAATATCAATCTGGCCATCTTTTCCTTTAATAAATGAATCTAGAATACACAGTAGAATATACAATAAATTATTTGTATTTGTATTTGTAAAATTTATTAAAGTGTCCTGGGCATATATTAATAATACAATATGTAGCTAAAATACAAATGGTAATAAAATTCAAACGTATTAAAAACATTCAATATTCTTACCCCAGGCCGTGTTCGGCCTATAAGATACTATGTATAAACCGATATTCATCAAAATTAACTGTACAGTTTATGTTCTCTTTTTTTAAACATTTGGCCACAGGCCTTTGCCACATCAACAGCAATCTCATGATTTGACATCAAGATATAGAACTTCTCATCGTCAGTAAGTCTTTGAAAGTTTGTAATTTTATTCTGAACCTTATACAGCATTAATCTGAGAGGCCATCTTTTCCATTAATAATCCAGTCTATAGTACACAATAGAATATACAACATCAATATGAGGGGCCAGTTCTTTTACTAGTCTGGCTTTTAATGTATGTGTGACACTCTGATGATACAGATATATGTGAGGCTCTTATATGTGTATGCAAGGCTCTTCCATGATGCTATAGGTTTATGTGAGGCTCTTACCTGATGCTATAGGTATATGTGAGGCTCTTACCTGATGCTATAGGTTTATGAGAGGCTCTTACCTGATGCTATAGGTTTATGTGAGGCTCTTACCTGATGCTATAGGTTTATGTGAGGCTCTTACCTGATGCTATAGGTTTATGTGAGGCTCTTACCTGATGCTATAGGTTCATGTGAGGCTCTTACCTGATGCTATAGGTTTATGTGAGGCTCTTACCTGATGCTATAGGTTTATGTGAGGCTCTTACCTGATGCTATAGGTTTATGTGAGGCTCTTACCTGATACTATAGGTTTATGTGAGGCTCCTACTTGACACTACAGATATGTGAGGCTCTTACCTAATGCTATAGGTTTATGTGAGGCTCTTACCTGATGCTATAGGTATATGTGAGGCTCTTACCTGATGCTATAGGTTTATCTGAGGCTCTTACCTGATGCTATAGGTATATGTGAGGCCCCTGCACGTTTGAGGTATTTAGCGCAATCTGCCACCCTGTTTGGGTAAACGCAAACTGCACCACAGTTGATCTCTGAAACATGAAAAACTTAGATGATTTTCATTAACAGCAGGCAACGATAGAATAAACACCAAAATCACATATTGTTTTGTTAAGATTTGAATACATGAGCGTGCAAGTTTTTAAAAATTATGATGCCTGTTGCAAAAATTTTGGGGAAATCGCTATAATTTATAATGTAGAGTTACTTTCCTGGGTTACTCTACTGTGAAATGTTCCTGAAAAATAAACATTACAAATCATAGAGTTTGAAAAGATTTTAAATAAAAAAATAGGCGGTGTATAAATTACCTAAATCGCCAAGTTTCAAGGCTTGGATAAGGTCATGTCTGATTGGTTGTTTGGCTTTAAAACAGAGTCTGCTCACGTTACTTTCTGTGTCATCACCCGCAAGTGTCGTCAAATCTATACATGTTACAGCACGAAGTAGCCAGGCAGCCTATAAATTAATGTAACAAGAACAACTTTATGTATGAAGAGAATCAATAATCGAAGATTCACTTAAAATAGATACACAGCAAAAATAAAATTTCCATCTTTATCAAAGGCCCATGGGCAGAAACAAGAGTATAATATCCCATCTACCTGCCACTGTTTCTTGACACACCTCCTGGTCCCTAATGTCTCTGCACGTCTTTTGATAGCAGCAAGGTTAATATGTACATTCTCCACCAGGCTAGAATCTGTAGTCAAATAAAAGTAGACTCAGCTCTTTATCCTAATTTCAGTCACATTTAAAAATGTTATTCCTAATATGACATTGTGACTTCACTGTTAAGATACAAGGAGAAAGTGCTCCGTTATGGGAATTTTTTCATTTTACGTAAAAACCAAAATTATGTAGAAATGATTAGTGTTTAGTGATTGGTGATGTAAGGATATCAGATAGAAACATTAGAATTTCTTAACTGGAGCATGGAATTTTACCCAAAAATATCAAGAATTTCAAACAATTTATTTTCTAGTTGATCCATCTCAGATGAATAATGCAATGACTAAACAGATCATCCTTCTGCATGAATTTTATTGGAAGTTAGTTCTGATCAAATATGAAGTTAGTGAAAATGGCACATCCTACACTCCCAGAAATATATAAATACATGTACTCCCAGTATTTTCCCATTTGATTAAATTTCACATACCACTAAAGTACTTGGTAAAAATATTGTGAAATTTTGCAATTGAATCTGAAGGGAATTTGTTAAAGGAATTCTAGGCGATAAAAACATAACAAAATATTGCTTCTGGGACAAGATCAAATGACTTTTACATAATCTTTACCCTACCTATTTTGTAATTTCAATCAACACAAGTATACCATATTTCAGCAGATATCGAAAAAATTGATAAAAATATTTTTTGATCCATAAAATCATGGATTATAAAACCGGAAGGGTTTTCTTTGAGGTCTGTGTGGAATATTTCAATTATTTCAAATTTTGCCGTGCTTCTTACTGATCTTCAAATGCTTACCATGATTTCTATTTGTAATGTTTTGACTTCCCCATTTCATAAAAACAACATTATCATCATTTACTCAACTCGAAAATTCACTTCCAGTCTATCAAATAAAGATGAGCTGAAAGTTGTTGTGAACACCTTTCAATCCTAAGTCTAAATATGTCTTTTCAAGGTTCAATAGACGACTTTGAATGGACCTTCATGCTGAGTTTGAAAATAGAATCATCAGAGAAGGTTTTAAACCATGAAATCGACTCTAAAGCATGAAAACAAAATTTTGAACCATTTTGTCCACTGTATGTTACAATGTGCCTTTAATACCTGGGACTCCCTTGTGTTTCATTTTATGTAAAACGTTCATCCAAGCGAATTATTAGTGATAAATAAGATACTAGCAACAATGTCTCTTTCACTAGTTTATTGGATCAAATAAACCAACAAAAAATGGCGATGTAATAGAGGTTGAGATGGCAGCGTGCCATGGACCAAGACCTAGTAATTGTAAACCTTATCTAAATATAATATTGGATAGTTGTATTACTGTACAAAAGGTAACTTAGTTTACAGAGCTTGAGGATTCATAAGAAAAATCGATAAAACGATGTGTCTGAAGTTTCAATAAAGGAATCATAAAAAAATTATTAGATATTGTCCGATAATGCCATGTGTCTGACAATTCCCCTATGTACTCTTTGGATGTCTGCAACATTTTCAGTAACTTCGAATTTGATGAAAACTTGATTCCAACAATGTTTTTGCAGAGATATTACTGATTTATCAGTGCAATAATCATGTTTACTTTTACAAACGAATCTTGATCAGTCACCACAAAACCATTCTCCTTAACATGTGTCCAGAATCCGTATCTCCTTCTTCCCCGCTGCAAAAACCAATTTGGAAGCAACCGATTAAACTGAATCACATGATCTAATTATGCGCCAATGACATATACATGATTGCTGTCGCAGTGTTGCGACAGCGAATCAAATTGTGAGTTCTTAATAGGGGAAATGCTAACTGCTTATCCCAGGGGGTAAAAAGAAAGAAGTATCTGGATTCTGAAGCCCTGTGATCGAAGAATGCCACAAAACTCAGTTTCTGACTAAAACCGAAGCTGAGGCTGGAGTGCAACATGCAGGCCCGCCTGCAGGCAGAAGTCAGTGCAAGTGCACTGCCCCGGTGCACTTAGTCCAACAACATTAAACCTAGCCTGGGCCTCGTTTCTTATCTGACATGCCTTATGGCCCCGGCTAGGTCTAACCTCCATGATCATTTTGCCCTTGATGCGTTAATTTAATCGTTCCGCAGGTTTCGGCAAGCAGAACTAATTAAACTCTGAAAACATGGTAATATTACATAAAGAATGTGATTCCAGCATGCATACATACCTTATAAATACATACACACCATCCCGTATTCCCCTTAGACCCAATTGATGCATAATTACGCTAATAATGTCATTTTAGGGATTGGTAAGTTTAACCTCATTTTGCTCGTATAAATGAACATTTAATACAATAATATTGTGTTGAATCGCTTGATGTTATGTGTTTTTATATTGTTGTCAAGTATCAGTTGCATGTTATTGCGGAAAAATGGTTTCGATGGATCCAAAACTTGCATCAAAGGAAAGAATAGTAAAGAGGTTAAACTCAATAACGGCCCCAAGAAAATTCCTAATAATAAAGAAAGTCGTTATTGAGTTAACGACGTTGAACTAGGGCAAAGGGGTGTAATGTCGACGTGAGGGGTAATGTCGACATAATAGACGGGGTAACTTCGACACTTACGTATTAGAAGTAGAATTTCTGTTTTCCGCCATGTTTGATTTCTGGAAAAATTTAAATCTCGCGAGATCTCGATCCATGTGAGAAAAAAACATGGCTTCCCTTAGATCGGAAATTAGAGCAATTAAACAACAAGGTGTCGAAGTTACCCCACATGTCGAAGTTACCCCAAAATGGTGTCGACGTTACACCCCTTCGCCCTACAGTGCCTGGTGCACTGTGTCGTGTGTGTAATGAAAAAAATTACCAAATTCCATCCCTGTGTTTCTAGCTGCCATTTTGCCTTTTGTGGGTATCTGAGGATATCAATATATCACTAAAATGATAAATCGTCAGAATATCTGCCTTGGGATATCTATTAGGTAGACAATAAGCTTAAAATATGATTTGAAGTAAGAAAATAAAAATTTCCACTTTTTCCAAAGTTGACCTTCATGACACGAATCAACCATCTTATCTTATTTCATCAAAATAGTATTTAGGAAATAAATCAGATTATCCTAGCCATTTGAATACATTCAATATTCTCTTTAGTTATCATTAATAATTTTCAATATTTTCATTATGTACATTTATCAATTTTAGTAGATAGTCCAAAGAATGATATTTCTGTCATAGTTTTATTTTCGTGCAGTATAGCAATTACCCGGGAATGTTGAGATATAAATGTGAATGTAAATGGCATGAATATGATAGATTTTTAATACTGTATATGTAAGATCTATTAAGACCATCCATCTACAAATTATATTGTTGATAATAAGAAGTAGTTAATAGTCTTCAACTATTCTTATCAACAGTAATATATATCAACTGTTTAATCTGTGTGTTTTGGAACCAAAACCTTTCTGAGTGCACATCAAGGGAGAAAAATAATGTTGAAAATTAGAGATCATCTGCCATACTAAAGTTTTAGGAAATGTACAATGTCAACCCACTTTTTGGTGATTTTTAAGTCATGTCTGCACTTCAAAGTTCAAAAGTCAACTTCTATAGTAATTCAACACCATCTTTTCATTTGCCTCACTGACCTTTTATAGTTTCTCAAAACATATTGAAAAACCAGGAAATAAGGGTGATAAGCATGGAAATTCTGTACAGAATTCACAAAAAATAACGAGTGACAACTTACACGTCCTCCGAGTGTACTTATATGTTATACTACCATTATGTATATTTAAGTGGAATATTATTTTCTGTTTTACCCATTTTAAGGTAGCTGCAGTGTTTTGAAATATCTCTAAAACTGAATATTCACTATCAACGGATAATAATGCATAAAGTCTGTTGAACTTAAAACTATTTAGAACTCCCTGTTAAAAATAGGCCAAAAATTAAAAAATAATGCCTAGTAAAACCAGTTTGTGATCTTTTCTCAATTTGCCTGGGGACTAACAGATTTTAGTCTGCATTTTTTCGGGGCCCACCTTATGGGAGGGGGGAGGAGCTAGACCATATTTAATTTTGGAAGAACTAACAGTAGTTTCAATTCACAAGGTACAGGGGATTTTGGAGCATTATGATGTGGCTCCATTTTAGATCAGCAAATTTAACAATTGTTCTTGCTCACATCACTCATTGTGCCAATTTTCTTGAAATGCCCAAAGCTCAAACCGTTAATGCTTTGATTGTTCTATCTTCACCAGCGCAGCATGGCACTTACTGGATTTTCTCGTAATGGTGCCCTGGTCTTGCAAAAGAAAGTAAGGTCTACTTCCTGGGATATTTTGAACATCTGAAATATTCCTTCAACCAAAATCTAGACTCTTGCTGAATAATGTAACAACAAATGCATAGTTTTTGTATAAAATCAAGTTTATTATAAGACATACTATAATATTATGTGACATATATACAGATGAAAATGTAAATATTTTCCTGATACCGTTTTTATATTTATTGAAATACATGCATATGTATCCTTCATATTTTTAAAGTAACACTCAGTTACCATAATTACAGATTACAGTTACAGATTATGTCAAGACAACTGACTGTAATATGGGTTAACGAGGTGCCCCGCTTAATTTTCAGGTATCCATGATATAAAAAATCACCAAAATACGAAAATATCGGAAATAAGATGCTATTGTTACAGTGGTATCAAATAAAGCCCTAGGCGAACCATTTATTTGAATTGCATATAAATTGAACATTCCTGGGCCAACAAAGAAACAGAATGTTTGAAGTAAAAATTGATTTGTTTGACACTTTTGTCCCTTTTGCTTTGTTTATCTGTCCTTGTACCAGGAAAATGAAGCCAAACTTTGTGAGTGGTGAAGAGTTTGGCGGAATGATGAATTTGATGACATCTGGTATGAGCCAGGGTCAATATTCTGGGATTATCAGTTCATCAATACCCCAATCCTCAAAACTTCCATCTGGCAAATATCTCCTAATTATAATCGGTACTTTGCGTGCCCTGGAAAACATAAAACGGTCATGAATGTAAAACAAGGATTATAATATGCAACTGCAAACATATCAAATTGTATTTTTTAAATTTAAAATTGTCTAGTCACCAGTGATACATACTAGACTATACATATCAAATCAATTAAGGGAAATCATGATAGAATACATTGCAGTATCTAATTCTAATAAGGTTCAACAATGCCGCAAAATTAAAATAATCCATGTATTATCAACCTCACTTAGTGCTTTTTTTGACATTTCATCAGCTATGAAAAATGAGCTTCAGAAATCTTGAATCTGCAACTTTAATGTTACAGCATACGTTTACATGAAAAAAATATCTGATGAGTGAAACTAAGTTGAAAGTAGAAATAAAATTGCTCCATGCTATTTTCCCAAAGTGACTCTGTTGACTCTACATGAAATATCATGGGAAAATATTTTTCAAATGTGGTTAGAAAAGGCATGACAGGCATGTAAAAGAAACATGCAATATTATGTTAATTGGATAATGTTTCATTAACTTACTTAAGTTCTTTCATAGCTATCTGTAGAGGATCTGTTTCTCCTTCCAGCTCAACCATAACAGGAGCACACATACTGAAATCAAATACAAATGTAGAATAATACAAGGGTAGCTTCTTCCACATCATACATGGGTAGTGTATAAGACATACATTGGCAGTTTCCACATACTTGTCATTCTATGAGCTGCTGCACTTTTTTGTCGATATTTACCCACGCCTTGACAGCTTTATTACTTTCTTACTTCCCATTATCAGATTAAGTTTTAAATCTTTATTTTCACTTATTAACATGATTATTTTGTTTCTATCCTAACACTGAATAAAGGACCCACGGTCCTGTGCTCACACAGTGTAGAACCTTCATATTTACAGAAAATTTGACTTTTTGATGTCAAAATCAGCAATTTCTCGGAAACCGGGCGAACTTGGGAAATGGCTATGATAGGTCAAACAGGCATTATGGATGAATGAATGTGGATATGACTCAATCCGAATAGCAGTTTTAATTTGTGCGGCCAATGTTGACAGACGGACCAACGGACGGATGGACGCCTGGTCGATCCCATAGGCTCACTGTGTGAGCCAAAAAGGAAACATTAAATGAAAGGTGTTTTCCCCATCTTAAGTGGTTCCTAACTGTCTCATTAAAGCAATCAAATAAAACATTCGTTTAAAACAAACTTACGCTATTTGAAGAGCTCTAGTACCCAATGTTCGTGCTCTCTCATATTTTGTCATGTATGGTGTTGTCATACGTTTTTCTGGGGCTACCCTAAGTGTCGCTTCATCAGCTGGGAGAACATCAATATTTTCCTGCTGGCCATCCTAAAATCAAAAAACTCACGTTGAAAAGGTTTTAAGAATCCCAGAGGGATTAATCGAGTGGTTTTTAAGTGGTAGAGATTAAAAGGTGGATTGGATCGAGTGGATTGGATTCATGTAAAAGGTGGATTGGATCGGGAATCTTCAAAATGTGGAATTTCTTATAAAAAAAATTCTGTTGATCTCCCTCTAAACAATTTCCCTCTACAGTATTGTAGGTCCCTTTTGAGAAATCAGAACAAAGCAATGACAAATACATACTCCAATTAGTTCATGGACACTCTTAGGTATTTAACCGCTTTCCCTTGTAAATCAACTTTTGTAAGACATAGATCTTTAGAAAAAGAAAACCAGTCATTCAAATTGATGTGTGAATGTTCACAAAACATTTCTGGTATGTTCAGTTTGGATTCAAATCAGATGATATGGATCTTCAAACCAGTCTGCCTTATGATTTATGAAATGTCTCAAATTGCACTTGGAATGAATAAGATCGTGTATCAGAAAGCGGGTACCAGGTCATCCTTCTAGCCCACCCAAGCAAAATAATATAATATTACATCTATTATTTGACATTGTGCAAGTGAAGAGAGCACCAATCTTCCAAAAGGTAGATCAATAGAATTTTTTAAAGGAAAATCCATATTTTGAAGATAGCCAATCCAATCCACATTTTACGTGAATCCAATCCACTCAATCCAATCCACCTTTTAATCTTTACCTTTTAAGTTATTAAGTGATACTAGAATTTAGTTTACTTTCCTATATGTCTACTAAGCCTTTCATCAGTAAGATAGCAAAATACTGTACAAGGTATCATATTCAGGTCTGTCAGACATTTTTCCCAATGAGGGATGCCAAGTAACAATTTTTACCGGAAGTAGTTGTGTGACATCAGGGATATACTGATTGCACGTAACCGAAACCTTGTAAATCCCATTCCATTCATGGAAAGTGCAATCAGATCGTAAAGTTAAGAATATCATTGTACAGTGAACGGAAAATAAAGAACTGGATGCTAGGCTAAATTATAACATTATTTCCAAAGATCTTTTTAAGATTCATGAGAGTACGCGTCATCATTCTCCAATGTGAAAGACTTGGTTTTTGTTTAATTACTTACAGCATTTTCAACTTCGTCTAAAGGTTCTTCATCTTCTAGGTCATCCAAATCTTCATCGAATCTGAAACAGAAAATCAAAGCTTCAATTCCAAATAATGGAACTGGAGTAGATTAAAGCCCAATTCATTGTTTTATTGGGTCTGTGAAACCTAAAAAATAAGAAATCAAAAGATCTTTGTCCAATTATATAATATGGAAAAATATATTCCTATTGTACATAAATGACATTTATTTATCTTGGATTGCTTCTAGTTTAACTAATAAAGTGTGTGGTCTCTAGACTGTTATATTTGGATGCTTCTCTGCCATGTTATTTTCAATAAGATTAACACGGCTGAAATTCTTTAAATTACAAGAGGGCACAGGCTTATTGCAAAAAAAACAACAAATAATCTGCAATATACAATTCTCATTCATGTACAATCTTAATATAAATATAGGTTTCCGGACAACTCGGACCCAGGACAACTCGGACCCTGGACAACTCGGACCCAAGACATCTCGAACCCAAGACAACTCGGACCCAAGACAACTCGGACCACTTTTTGAAATGATGATTTTTATCATTATATTTGGTTTTAATTATTTTTTATGTTTATTTTGACATCTATTATATATTGTGAATTCATATATCATGTTAATTATACAGTGCGTATAAAAAAACGCAACAGATTGTTATCTCGGAAAAGCACAAAACCAGTGATAACAGCATTTGATTTCATTCAATGCACAGTAAAGCCATGTGTCTCCTCTTTACAATGATATATCATTCATTGATATTTAGTCATGGTTGGACGAGTAATCATTCCAATTGCAAAGTGCGTCAAAATTAGCTTTGGGCCAAGTTATAAAAATCGCAAAAGTCAGTGTACGGAGCCCGATGCAATATTGGAAGAAAACATAAAACCAATGCTGACTGCATCCTTTTCATTCAATGTACCAAAAAGCTGGATTACTCCTCTTTGCAATGGAATATCATTCATCGACAGGGAGTCATGGCTGGCCGAATAATCATTAATTTTGCAAAGTGGGGCAAAATTCAGCTCGGACCCAAGTTTTAAACATTGCAAAAGTCAGTACAACTTGCATTGGGGCTATTGGAAGAAGATGTGACAGGTGTGGTATAGACACTAAAGTGTTCATACTCATACTCTTGCAAGAAAACATCCTATACCCCTCCAAATTGCCACCACTTTCTTGCACATAAAGATGCGCTCATCTGTCCACGTCATGCATGGTTCAGCCCTGAGTCATCTGTGGGTTAAAGCAGAGAAAAGCAGCCCGTGGGCAATTCTTTCTCGAGGTTTTGCAATATCTGGTGGAAGAATTGTGAGCACAGATGCTCCTGAGAAAGCTCCAAAAGAAAAAGTCACAAGAATTCAAGTCAGGGGAACGTCCATGGGCACTTAGCCCTTGCACTCTGATTTTTTCAATATCTAAAACTTGGCCAAGAGCAGATTTTGACCCACTGTGCAAATGGAAGGATTTCTCACCCAACCATCACCAAATGTGAATGAATGACATATCATTGCAGAGAGGAGAGACGTGGCTTTATGGCACATTGAATGAAATTGATGTAGTCATCACTAGTTTTGTGATTTTACGAGATAACTACTTGTTGCGTTTTTTTGATACGCCTTGTACTTTTCTATATATTATTGCACAATGATCTCATATTCCTTATTTTTGGGGTTTTACTGATGCAATAAAACAGTGAAATGGGCTTTACAATTTTATTTTTTATTCTGAGAACCAGTTCATATGGTTAAAATAATGAAATGATGTGATGTAACCACGTATCTACTTACCAGCATGTTCTATGACATCCATTGGACTAAGTTCCATTGTGGAACTCAGCCAAACATGACACTGAAGGCAACAACAAATCGATATTGATCTTAGCAGAATTTTAAAAAATTTAGATCAGCCATTTTACCAGTCACGTGTCTGATCATGTGTCTAGTTACTAGTTGATATCATGTGACTTGTGATGTGTCGCTCAACCATGTCTTCATAGAAAGATATTAATTTATTAGAAAAATGATTTTTCGAACATCTGCTGCTGAATACAGAAGAAAATATTCCAAGATAGCGATGTCAAATATTATAGGAAGGGCAACTGAAGCTACTGACTATTTAAAATCAACTTTATTCAACATATTACGCTAGGAAACTTATTGATTTTATGAATCATACAGTGATGTTGATAGAAATTTTTAAGTATGGGACACAGATCAAAAAAATGTCCCACTCCAACTAAAAATGTGGGTCATTTCAATTTTTTGGGGACAAATTCGGGTAGGGATAATGCGGACTCAGAAAATTATCTTTTTTGACCTTTCACCTTTCGGCGATTGATTGCAATTGCTAGACCCCTCTGGGAGTCAATTACGGGCCTAATTTAGAGACGGGAAATCTGATTAGTCGAAAGAATGTAGCGTAATCGGGCAGAACTCCCCACTGACCAATCAGTAATAACGTTTCATTCCTGAGTCTGGGTTTTAAAAATGCCGCTGAGAAAGAAATTAAAAAACATCGCCAGCGATGGCAATCTAACCTTAGCAGCATTTCTTCAAAGAAAGGCAAGTCATTTTGCATTTTATTATTTATAACTCTACTATTTCTACTGAATGTGCAATGACATGGACTTTTTTCACGATTATTCTACCACATTGACGGGTTTATTTAGTTCAATGTCGGGAGATTTCAAGTAAGTATTGATCTAGATCGTAGACTGCGTCATGATTTTACAGATTGGACGCACTGAGGTAAGGAATCTGCGTCTTCCCTGTTAAAATTGCGCCAAAGACGCGAGCTATCAACATCACTGTCATAAAGACCTGAAATGATGCATTGAAATAAGTAAATTAAAACGCTACATGGAAAGTGGTGATAAACAAGGAACTTAAGTTGAAAGATCGCAACGTTCGCTACTTTGTTCTATTCCAGAAATCTCCAAGGGGCTACAAATGGGAAATTATTTAGATTTTATAACCTCAGAATGCTGCCTTCAGTATCGTGTTTGAGTGTGTTCCACAATGTAACCTAGTCCGATGGATGACACAGAACATACTGGTCAGTAGATACATATGAACGTGTTCCCAAAGACTGGTTTCCAGAATAAAAAATTTGAGTGTGCACTTTTCATTTTTTTCGAAATGTTTTCAAATTTAAATTTTGAGTTGAAGAATTCTTTTTGATGTGGACATTTCAAACCATATTTTCTGGTTCAGCTGATGTAACATTATATTTTTTTGATTACAGCGAAGTTTCTTGGTCTAAATAGTCTAATTTACTATGAAATCTTACGTTTGAGGCTCATTATCTTCGTCAGCCATTGTCACGTTTGGAGCTGCTTGTGAAATACGTCACTAATATGTGTGTAAAGGATTTCTTAAATTTAGTGACGTCATTCTGGGAAATACCTGATCGTCAACATGTACAAAGTTTGTGAAAATGTGGAAATAAACCGTGTTTGTAAGCTATCTAAGGGTGAATTTGAAGATGAATATTTATCAAAAGGTAGGAAACATTATGGTTTATCAGCGAACAATAAAATCAGGTCATACATGAGTTGATTGAGGCACCAGGACAAAACATATGAGAATAAAATGAAAAATTGTTCACTCAAGGCCTAGTCCAACAACATTAGACCTAGCCTGGGCCTCGTTTATTATCTGACATGTCTTATGGCCCCGGCTAGGTCTAACTTCCATGATGATTTTGCCCTTGATGCGATCATTTAATCGTTCAGCAGGTTTCGACATGCGGAACTAATTTAACTCCGAAAACATGGTAATATTACATAAAGAATGTGATTCAAGCATGCATACATACCTTATAAATACATACACACCATCCCGTACCCCCCTTGGACCATATTGATGCATAATTACGAAAATATTGGAGACAGGTTTGGAATTTTACGAAAATATCGGTCAGCTCCGGTAACATCGAAATTGCAAATCGTATCAGGAATTAACCGTCATTGCGACACTGCATCAACGAACAGTAGGTTTGCAATTAATAACGATTTTGTGTGTATACAAGCGCTATATAAATCAATCAAAGATACCTGCTATCCTCAAAAATGGTTATTTTATCCCGAGTAATCGCGTGATAATTATCAATCTATTTGACAACAATTTCGTTTCAATAGTTTAAATTTTAACCCGGGACGAACAGACACAATGCCGGACATGCGGAAATGTCATTTTAGAGATTGGTAAGTTTAACCTCATTCTACTTGTATAAATGACCATTTAATACAATAATATTGTGTTGAATCGCTTGATGTTATGTGTTTTTATATTGTTGTCAAGTATCAGTTGCATGTTATCGCGGAAAAATGGTTTCGGTGGATCCAAAACTTGCATCAATGGAAAGAATAGTAAAGAGGTTAAACTCAATAATGGCCCGAAGAAAATTCTTAATAATAAATAACGCCGTTATTGAGTTTAACGACGTTGAACTACTCAAGGCCAAGACTACTACTTTTTTCAAGGCCTGACTGCGTCGCTGTCACAGTTCATAGTCATTTGTGTACAATCTTGTTTTATATTGCCAAGGACACCTGGTCCTTTATTCAATATTGTAGCCATACACCTCATTTCTTTGTACTATGTGTATTTTACAGTTCATTGAATCCTACTAATTTTAGTCAAGTGATTTCTATTTCAACTTTTTAATACTGAGTAGAGTAACCTTCTAACACTAGAGTGAACTCATGAACTGGTTTAGTGAAGTAGGAGAGTTTTATGAGGCAAGAGAGAAATGACATTAGAGAAGGAAATGTGTAGAGTCAAGAGAAGTGAAATGACATGAAATTATCGAGGCAGTGTTGGAGATATTATGTAGTGAAATATAATTGAACAGTTACGTCTACCACCTTTCAAGACTTTGACAGTGAATTAATTCTTCTATGGCCACTTCTTGGATTTACCTTTTTGATGTCGTGACGCTCGCTAATTTATGTCGAATACTACTATGTTCCATCAGTGACTTGTGTATGTGAACAGTGATGTTAGAAATCCTATTTGGTGATGTGCTTGGCCTTGGAACTTACGCACTGTGTTTAGTTTTCGACGGACGGACTCGTAGGAATACTGTGTTAGGTATGTGTAGATAACAAGGGTTATACTACAATACTTGTGTAAAGTCGTATGGATCCTTGGGAAGCGCAAACTATGTTACTTGCGAGGTGCTGCAGGTTTCATGTGTGTTGGGATAATGGAGAAGCATTACTAGATATACAAAGATGCGATCATTTGAAGTTGTACGGCATTTATTTCCACAAAAGGATTAAATTGTGGGCATCGGACTTAAAGGAACTGTCCGTCTTAAGGTTCCCTGGTGTGTACCATTGTGAGCTATTGATCTAGATAAGTCTTATCTATAGGATTCATAATATATGTTTAATTGTGATAATTACTCTGCCAAATGTCATATTCTACACATTGTTTTATATTTTTACAATAAAGACAATTAGAAATATGTAATTTAAGTACAATTCTGCTATCTTGTTAAGTATATGAACCTTACTCCGTGACAGTCGCTAACATGCTAAATATAAGAGTTAGCTGACGTTTGGGAGTCTGACTTACCTTCTAAAGGTTAGAACCCGAATCTTAATGAAACCATATCACCTTTGTTCCGTCAACCATGGAGCATTTGCCACAACATCCAAGAGGTAAATCATGGATCGAGAAAATGAATTATTTCCTTGTAAGTTCCGGAAGTTTCAATACGAAAAATTACCGAACATATGTGAAAACCGAATATTTGTTCGTTGTTTTCACGATTTACAGGTTCGTTTGTTCTTCAATGTTTTGGTCTAAATTATAAAGCATCACCAACAGGTCTTACTCTATTAATCGACTACTTCTTCACTTAGCTTGGCGGATGTAGAACATTGCTTAATATTCTTTTAATTTTCACACCAGACATGCTTGGTTGACACGTCAACAAAGTAAAGTTCAAGGGTCAATGCGTTATTTCGTGATAACTACAACGCCTTCCCGGAAGTCAACATTGATGAAAAATGAAAAAGTCGGAAAAGCATTTACGCTAATTTCTATCAAATGCTATGTTTATGCATCATCATCGACGCAAACAAAGGTGATATGGTTTCATTAAGATTCGGGTTCTAACCTTTAGAAGGTAAGTCAGACTCCCAAACGTCAGCTAACTCTTATATTTAGCATGTTAGCGACGCAGTCAGGCCTTGAAAAAAGTAGTATCACTCACAGGCTGGTATCGAAATATTTATCCGCTGTGACGGGGCATGCTATTTTTCATAAAAACACTAAGAATACTTCACCATTTATTTTTTAACTCATGTTTCGTTATAACATACACAATTACTTAGATCTACTCCATGCAATTGATATATCATTTGCGGGTAACTTTCACTTCTGTGTGAAGTCCAATTATGCTGGGATACCAGCCTGTGTCACTTAGCCTACATGTAGGCGCATAAGAGGGGGAAAGCCCCAGAGTTTAAGAGTTGATAATATGATAACATCTCTTGCGTACCACTTTCGTACCACTTTCGTTTGCGTAACTTCTAACCGCAGATGGTTTTAGAAAATAACACATTGTTGTGATGTTTTATATGTAAGCATACATACAGTATTCATTACACCATCGACTTTCAACTAGAAAGGGTAGGCAACTTCCCATGTTTCATACATAAGCACTTCAAAATTTCTAGACTGAACTGTTCCCAAATGACATTCTCCATAAATGGGCAAAAAGGCGGAGTTTACACTTAGCAATCCAGAAATTGACACTCTCCTTTATGGCCAAAAAGGCGGAGTTTACCTATATGGGCAAACAATCTGGGTAACTCGTGAGACTTCCCCTCCTTACCCAATCAGAAGTTTCAATTTTGAGTGACACTACATACTAATTCTCAAGTCTCATAAGTTATTTTTATGTATACCTTAACCAAGTCTGAAATGTATGTAACATTGCTATGTTAGTCTTTTGATCAAGAGCCCCAATTACATAATGATTTACCTGATTACATAATAAAGATGCAGATTTATCAAGGTGAGATAGGAACAATTGAAACATTGTGAATCAAGATGGCACAAAGGCCTCTTCACCCATGTGCAAAAAACAATGATCATCAGTCCCGTAGCCAGGATTTGCCAAGGGGGGGGGGGTTCAGTTTTCAAAAATTGCCTGGGGGGGGGGGGGGGTTCACATTTGACAATTTTGGCCCAAATATGGCTAAAATCACTTGAATTGAAAAGTGCCCAAAATGGTGAAAAACTGCCTGATTTTGAAAGAATTTTTGGGCGAAAGAATTTTCATTCGAAATAAGAGACACATGGCTTTATGGTAAACTTAATGAAATTGGTGCAATTATCACTTGTTGTGTGATATTACAATTGTTTTTGTTTGTGGCATTTTTTGAGACGCACTGTATAGAAAATCATCCTTCTGGCAACGGCTAAGCTTCGACTGTCTCTGTGATTACATTGTACCTTTTAAGAAGCTAAGTTAAATGAATGTCATAGAAAAATTCCTTTATTTTTCCAGGAGAACCCATTATTATAGAAAATGCCATAGATGACTGGCCCGCAGGGAAATGGACTCTTGATTCACTCTCTGAAAGGGTGGGGCATAAAACTTGCAATGTCAGGTGGAAAACAAACACAGAAGAATACAAGGTACAAACTATTTTATAAGGTCATGAATTCACACCGTTCAAAATTCATTGTTTCTCATAAACAGGACAATTTAAGACTGGGGTTTCCGTTTTCACTGTCAGTATACAATTTGTACAGGCTACCTCTGTACAGGTCAATAATTGTACGTAACAGTAGATACAGGTATATAAGGCAAAACCTGAGCCAAAGATGATATTTCACTCCTATTAGACATCATACCTTGTCTATATTATTTGTTTTTAACTAAGCATACACAGGGTGTTTATTGTAATTGATTTGTATTAACTATAACTGCAATCACATTGAGTAAAACTAAATAAATAAAAATAAATGTGAAACTTCATATCCTCAGAGCTAGCTTTGTCTATGGTAATATTTACATGTACATGTACATTTACATTTTTACAGAATGGGAAACAGTACTTTATACGCCAGACAACCTTAAAGGAGTACATCTCAGATATCAAAGCAATGAATGCCAAGGCTAAGAGCTCTTACATGGCAGTACAGAATATGAAACAAACATTTCCTGAATTACTGGTAAGAAGTTTTTAAAACATTTGTTGTGCGAAGGTGTGAATCTTTGGTAGAGGTACCTTTATCATTCTAAAAGGGTTCATAAAATAAAGAATTTTTTAATTTATTGGAAAGATGCGGAGAAAGAATTGCATTAAGATGAGAATGAATAGTTATGACAGATGAAATATAATGAATATATTGTATCCAGGTTTATTCATGGTTAATGTTAAAACATGACCGCCATAATTAACATATTGGCATTCAGGCAATTGCCCAATGGGCAACTTTTTCAGTTGTCTCCCCAGGATTATTTGCAAAATTCTCATTTTCACAATTCAGACCAAAATTGGTCAAAATAAGCCAATTTTCATGATTTTTCTCATTTTCAAGTGGGTGCAAATAGATTTTCAGGTGGGTGCAAGCCTATATTTTCAGGTGGGTACTGCGCCCACTTGCTTTAATGCCTGGGAAATCATTGTTGTTCTTTGACCATAACAACAAAAGAGGGAAATAGTGGTAGTCAAGCAGAATTGAGTTTCAAATGGTTCTCTATTTCAGTAAGATAAAATACATTTTTCAGAGATTGAAAATTTGAATATTTTATTGAGATAGTTCTCAACGTGTATTTTCTCATATTTCCCTGAGGGGTTAGTGGTGACTACTACCTTGAGTTAAAATAAGTGAAATTAACTATTGAAAAGATTATTCCCTGATTGGCTTCATTCATTTTCAGGATGATATAAAAATTCCTGAATATGTGGGAAAGTTACATGGAGGACCATTCATGTGGATAGCTTTGCAGAATCATTATGGTAAATATCTATAAATTTATTATCCCACCAAATGAAGTTCAAGAGGGATCATATAGTGAAGCCGTCCGTCTGTAAGTCCATTCGTCAATCTGTCAGGCCAATTACTCAAATACCAGTTGACGGATTTCATTCAAATTTGATAGTCTTATGCCTATATGGGAGTAGGATCTCTGTTTGAGAAGGAATTTTCAATATGGCCGCTCAATTCAAAATGGTTACCATTTTTTTGTAAAAAATGTAATATTTTGATAACTTAAATACGAGTTGACAAATTCATTTCAAATTTTATATGCTGATGCCAAGGGACAAAGGAGCTTTGCTCAAGAAGACATTTTTAAGATGGCCTCTGAATTTCAAAATGGCTGCCTTTTTTTGTAATTGTTGATGACTCAAATACCTGTGGACTGATTTGGTTAAAATTTTATAAAGTACATTCTTATTTCAGAATATTGCCATTTTGACCCTGATGATGGTCTACTCATAATTCTGAATGGGCAAAAACATGTCAGACTCTATGGATGTGATATTGACTCCATGTACCCTAATCCTAAAGGTACCAAAGGCAGGACTGTGCAATCTGGGGTAAACTTTGATGATCCTGACTGGAATATGCATCCAAACTTCTGCAATGCTAAGTGCAGATATGGCACCTTAAACTCTGGAGACATGTGAGTTTACTTATATATTGGCCTGTTTGTGTTGATTTTGTATTGCTAAATCTAGGAGCTAATCCTATGTATTTTCAAACAGCCACCCTTGCATTGAAAACATTCTACTTACACTACACTGGCTAACACTACATTATTGTACTGGTAATTACTATGCTCTATTGGAGAGCATTGATTGAAAATATTTTACTTACCACTGACTAACATTACTCATTGTATTGGCATCTTTTCTACATTTATAAACCATGAGTGGACATCCTGCCATACTCAGATCATACTGTTTCTTATTATAACTTTTCTCAATAGGTCAATAAATTGGTTTGTTTTTATAACCAATCTGAATATAGTCGTATGTACATATGTATAGAAGAGACAGGTCAATAATTGGGGTTGTTTTTATTTCTGATGCACTACATCAGCTGGTTTTAATTTTTGATTTTCCATGCATGTAAACATATTTGACTATATTATGCATTTCTTCAGATTAAATTGACATGACACTTGCTTTGTCTTAGTCATAACTCTTCTTTTAAGATATGAGTATGATTGTTATCACGGTTAATCAGATCTCTTCACCAATCGTGGGTGCAACCTTCAGAATTTTGAGTACTTTTAAACATATATACAATGGTTGATTCTGATGAAACTAACTTAATGATGCATCTGCCTTTTTTCCTCCATTTAGAAGACTATATGGAGGAATATGATGATTTTCAAAACCTACTTTTTGACCCATCAACAGATAGACAAATTGGAATACATTCTCAGGATTACGAACTTACACCACAAGACATAAGTAGTCAAAATATTATGAACTCCTGCAAGTACCAGTATCCTGAAACCCTCAATTCAAATATTAAATCAATGAAAACTGAAAGTTTTGTTACAGCATGTATCAATATGAGGAGCTTACCTCATAATTACTTAAAACTTGTAAATCTGAATGAAATGATTGAAAACCAGTTTGACGTTATTGGCATTACTGAAACCTGGCTTAAACCTGAAAATGAGGCTGAATATTTTATTAAAGGCTTTTCATCTGAATTTGTTTCTCGTGTAGATAGAATGGGAGGAGGGGTTGGGATTTTCATCAAGGAAAATATTAACTACAAATTAAGAGCTGACTTAAATATTACTAATGATTATGAGACACAAATTATAACCATTGAGATTATCAATGATCGTGGTAAAAATAGTTTAATATCAGTAGTATATAAACCTCCTGACATTAATCTTAATCAATTTAATAATGACATGATGCACTTTCTTAATCTTCTAAACAAAGAAAATAAGAATATTTTTCTCATGGGTGATTTTAATATTGATTTATTAAACACAGGCCATGATGGTACTGAACTTTTTTTGAATACATTGCTTTCTTTTAACCTTTATCCAACAATATTTCGACCAACTCGAGTAACTCCTACAACAGCTACACTGATTGATAATATTTTCACTAATTCTTTAAATGTTGATAAATCTGGAATAGTTCTAACTGACATATCAGACCATTTTCCCATATATGCCATTGCTAATATTACTTATACTAAGCAGGTCACAGACAAAATAAATTTTCGATTAATGAACAACAGAATCATATTGATTTCAAAAATAAAATGGCTAGTGCTGATTTTGACAATCTTTATAAATGTACAGATGTTAATGAAGGTTATGAAATCTTTTACCAAAAAATAATGACTGTGTACAATGAATGTTTTCCCTTAAAAAGTAAAATACTGAGATATCAATTTAACAATTCCAAACCATGGTTGTCCAATGCAATTTTCAACTCAATTAAAAGAAAAAATAAACTTTACATTAAATACTTGAAATACCCAACAAATATTAATTTAACTGAATATAAATCATTCAAAAGGATCTTAAGACAACTTATTCGTAATGCTGAATGGCTTTACTACAAAAATAAATTTCAAAAATTAGCTGGAAATCTAAAAGATACATGGAAAACTATAAATGAAATTCTTAGAAGACAAAAACAACCTGGAAAAAAGAGACAACACTTTATTCATAATAAAAATAAAATCACAGATCCTAAAGAAATTGCCAATCACTTCAATAACTACTTTACCGAAATAGGTCCAAATTTAGCAAACCAAATTCCTGTATCAAATAAAACCCCAACATTTTTCCTTAAACAGCTAACTGACAATTTTGAACAAAGTATATATCTGAAAAAGTGACATCAGAAGAGGTAAATCAAATTTTGAAAAACTTAAAAGATTCATCAGCAGGTCATGATCAAATTAAACCAATAACAGTGAAAAATACCTGTGACACTTTAACACCACCATTACTTTTTCTAACCAACCTTTCTTTATCAACTGGCATATTTCCTGACTCATTGAAAATTGCAAAAATTATCCCAATTTTCAAAAAGAATGATCCTATGCTATTCAGTAACTATCGCCCTATATCATTATTATCCGTATTTTCTAAAGTATTTGAAAAAATTATGTACAATAGAGCAATTGATTTTATTGAAAAATTCAAAATTTTATGTAAAGAACAATTTGGCTTCAGAAGAAACAGATCCACTTGTCTAGCTATTCTCACTTTTCTCGAAAACTTAAGAAAAGCAATGGATACTAAACAATTTAGTATTGGAATATTTTTAGATCTTAGTAAGGCTTTTGATACCGTTGATCATGTTATTCTCCTCTCAAAACTCAAATTTTATGGATTCAAAGGTAAGGCATATAATTGGTTTGAAAGCTATTTGACTAATAGAAAACAATTTACATATTTTAACTTTGAAAGCTCTAAACTGAATACAATCACGTGTGGCGTCCCTCAGGGATTGATATTGGGTCCTCTCCTTTTTATTATATATATAAATGATCTTATTTCAGTCAGTAATGTATTTAAATCTGTCATATTTGCAGACGATACAAATTTACTTTGTTCTGATAGAGACATCAATACCCTTACACATAAAGTTAATAATGAGCTATGTACAGTTGACAAATGGTTTAGCACAAATAAATTATCCCTTAATATCGAAAAAACAAATTACATGATATTCTCTACGAATCAGCAACAGGTTCCTGTTGATATATCCATCAAGATTAGAAATTCAAAAATCAACCGAGTTCTTTCAACAAACTTTCTTGGTGTAGTCATTGATCAAAATCTAAATTGGAAGGAACATATACAAAAGATCTCTCTCAAAATTTCAAAAACCTTGGGAATACTTTTCAAAACAAGATCTCTCTTCAGTTTAAAAACTCTTTTGACAATATATTATTCACTAATCTACTCTCATTTGCAATACTGCATCCCAATATGGGGTACAGCAAGTAAAACAACTTTAGAACCACTTTTAAAACTGCAGAAAAGATTTCTTAGAATAGCTATGCAATGCAAAAGCAATAGGGAGCATACATCAGGTTTCTTTGCCCAACTTAAAATCTTAAAGATAGTTGATGTTTACCATCTTAATGTTCTTATATTCATGTTCAAATGTTTAAGAAAAATTGATTTTCCAGTTGATCTTTTTTGTAATTATTATAAATGCAATATGGACATTCATCATCATTTCACTCGACAAGTGAATGATCTCCATATCTCCAAATTTAACACTAACTATGGAAAGAAGAGTATTTTAGTTCAAGGTGGCCTTATATGGAATGAAACACCCTCTGATATCAAAACCTCAAAAAGCATCCCTATTCTCAAAAAGTCATTTAAAGATTATTACTGCAATCTATACTTGGAGGAGTAGTTCCTTGAACTACTGTACAATCTCATCAGATGCTATCATGTTATACTATTTAATAATGTAATATTGAAATTTGTACTATTTCTTTACACATTTTTACTGCTTGCACCTGTTATTGTAGAAGAGACCTTTAATCATTTCCATTAAATCAGTTTATTTTCTCAATTATGTACAATATCATACTTTACACAATTACATGTACACTTCTCATAATATTTCACAAATCATTGTAAATACCATTATGTGGCACCTAATACTCCCTCTTGGGGGTCATAGCCACTACAACCTGTAAATATGTTACATTGATTTTAATTAAAAAAAAAAAAAAAAAAAAATACTTTGTAATTGTATGACATGTATAGCCTTCATAGATGTATAGTCTTGATAGAAGGTAGGCCCATAGCCAGCTTTTGCCAAAGGGGAGTTCAGTACTTAAAAAGTATAGTCTTGATAGAAAGTAGGCCCATAGCCAGCTTTTGCAAAAGGGGAGTTCAGTACTTAAAAAGTATAGTCTTGATAGAAAGTAGGCCAATAGCCAGCTTTTGCCAAAGGGGAGTTCAGTACTTAAAAAGTATAGTCTTGATAGAAGGTAGGCCCATAGCCAGCTTTTGCCAAAGGGGGTTCAGTACTTAAAAAGTATAGTCTTGATAGAAGATAGGCCCATAGCCAGCTTTTGTCAAGGGGAGTTCAGTCTTTAAAAAATATTTTAAAAAATTGTGAAAAACTGCATGATTTTGAAAGAATTTTTGGCCGATCGAACCCTCTCATGCTCTGGATCTCCCTTTCTACGGGCATGGAGGGGGTATATCAAAGGTCCTTGAATGTTTTATTCCACATGTTTTGTGGGCTAGGGGCCCCGTATTGCAATATATTGCATAAGATCCTTGCTTTATAAGAGGAGTACCATTAGAGTCAGAGGTTGGTGTTGCATACTGATTGAAAAGGGTAATGATTTGTGTGTTACAGGTTATTTATCCCAGCGTTTTGGTGGCACCAAGTGACTTCTACACAAACAACAATATCAGTCAACATGTTCTTTGGAGATGCAGGGGAAAATGCTTTCATTGCAAAAGTTATGGTAAGTAAGAATTGAATAACATTTTTTATACATAGACATTATATTTTATCATAAAAATTTGTCGTACACAATAACATACCAATCACCTTTATGGGTAGGCTAAGCTGAACAAAATAAAAAGTACAAATGTGAGTAACATGGAAGCAATTACGGCAAAACATGTAAAAAGTGAGAAATTAGACAGGCTGGGTTCATGTGCAGGGGCGTAGCCAGCTTTCAGTCAGGGGGGGGTGCGATCGCCAAAAGAATTTCGGTTTTCAGTCAGGGGGGTGCGATTGTGGCATAAACAAGCCAAAAAATTAAGATTTATCTTAAATTTTACAAAAATTGATGCAACTTCCTTCAAAATTGAGCTAGAAGCTTCAAATAAAAAGCATTTTAAAGCTCTTTTCTTTTTCTATCTCATGGTTATAATTTTTTTTATAGGTTGGGGGGTTATATAGGTTGGATCACACCCCCCCTGGTTACCCTTATGATGTGTGATTGTCTCAGTGAGGGACATTGATCATGTTGATATTTGGTAGGCTTGTCAGGACTTTTATTAAGTACATTGGGCTTTGCTCCCTCTCAGCTCTCACTATGTGGACCTGCTCTGCAGTGATTCTATTGGATTTTGCCAAATGAAGTTCAAACAAATTCTCTCGATCCTCAAGGGGCAAGTGATAAAATGGGACTTGATCAGCTGATATGACCTTTTGTAAATACAGAATTTTTTTCCAAGGGCACAATAGTTTCTGCATTTTTATGTCACCACCAGAAATGGTGACATATTGTTATAGTCTCCAACTTCTTTTGTGGATGGTGTTTTGCCATCAATGTTTTGCAGCTGGCATTCAGCATCTGTAACAAATGGCAGGAAGTGACATTTTGCATGTTAATGCCTTGTCATTCAATAACATTTGCCATATATGGTGTATTGGTGCATTGTATAAAGCCATGTCACTGTAAAGAGTAGTTGTATGAAATAATTTTGTTACAAAAAATCGGCAAAATATTATATCAGTTTTTTTTATTTTCAGCCATTTTAGTTAACATTGATTTGTCCATCTGTCTCTCAGTCAGTCCAAAAAAAGTGGCAAGTTTTAAACCTCTGTCAACACTTTTTAAATCCTCTGTAGATAGGATTCCCGATTTAATAATTTTGTTCAACATCAATAAAGAAAAAAAACCTGTGACTCCTGCTTCAAAATCTCGCGTAATTTCAAAGTGGCCACCATTTTTGTCTCGGGAAATTCACTTTTGGCCCATTTCCTAGCTTTACAAATAAGTTCAGGTGTCCTGCATTATAAAAAGCAATGTCTTTGTAAAGAGTAGTTGTATGAAATAATTTTGTCACAAAAAATCTGCAAAAAATTATACCCGTCTTTTTTTTATTTTCACTTTTGAGCAACACCATGTGAGCCCAGTACCCACGGTACTAATTTTTTTGACAGAGATGACAAGTGGTGAGACAGTGACACTAAGGGTGTGGCAAAAACAAATGCATGCCACCACATTCTAAAATAAAATAATTGTTTTGCATTCAAACATGTGCAATATGTTTTCAGATATAGGTACACTGTTTTTTTGCGTTTATTGTTTTATGAAATGTTTCCACTTTCCAGGAACCCCCTAGATGGCAGGCCTTTCAGTATTGGTTGTTGAATGTTGTGGAACAGAACAGAAATTGTGATAGCTTTAATCGTATGTTGTCACGACTCCCAGAAGCCCTCGTGAATTTTCTGAAGAACCAATGGTATAACACACCAGATGATGCACAGGTTGCTAGGCTACAAACCGTTGTCATGGAGTATTTGAATCTGAGTGAACTCCCGATGGAGCCAAGGTGAGAATCTGAGGGAGTCATGGGGGGGGGGGGGGGGGTTAACAGTTTGTGAAATAAGGTGTAGCTCTGAACTTTCAAAAAATATTGCTTAGTTGAATGTTGAAATGCATGTGTCATTTTAATTCATTTCCATTTTTAAATATTTTGATTTTGAATCATGCATTCTTACACAAGAATATATAAATATCCACAAAAATGAGAAAAATACAGCGAGACACAAAAAATGCCACCCACCTACATAGTACTGTTGCATAACTTTTTAGTCTGCAGAAAATCTGACTTGTTTTTTGCACATTAAATCATGATGACAGATTCGGCTGTACAAACTGGCCAATTAATTTAATGCTCTTGACGAATGGCATAATACATGTAGATAGCGCAGTTTTAAAAAATTGATGTACACTGCAATGAAATAAACCCCATTAGGATTGTTGGTTCGTGGAAATCTACGTCACAAATCCGTGCATGGAGCTTGCTGTACACAGCTGAAAATACAATTTAGTCCAGCCCAGATACTTGGTAGCGCATGAACTATATTGTGAATGTTAATTTGTTTGTTTGTTTGTTTTATTTATTTCCTAAATTCAAAATAATACAAGTACAATCACAACAGTCGAAGACACCCCAAGGGGCATATGATCCACTTTATATTAAACAAAAAATATTTATAAGTAGCAAAACTCATACAAGAAATCAGAACTCATTAGAATTGGAATTTAAGAAGTTTCTGATGACTAGCTCAACTAGATGCACATTCATGAGTGTTATAAGATATGGTGTCTATTCCTTTGCAGGCACACTTGGATTTTACGCAAAAATGACACCCACCTTTTATAGCATAATTTTGGAAATAAGTAATAATACATGTAGTTTTATCATGACAACTGTATCATTTTATGTTTGATTATCCCACCGAACGAAGTTCGAGGGGGATATAGACTAGCCGTCCGTCCGTCCATATCTATATATTACAAGACGTCCGTCCATCCGTTTTTCAAGCTGGACTGAATGATGATGACATGAACAGCATATAAACAAGACGTCCGTTCGTTTGTCCGTGTGTCCGGGCGATAACTATACTGGCATACATATTTGGTTCACATTTTAAAGGCTTATGGCTTGTGAGTGTAGGACCTCTGCTCGAGAAGGAATTTTCAATATGGCCGCTCAATTCAAAATGGCCACCATTTTTCGTAAAAAATGTAATCGTTGATAACTCAAATACCAGTGAACGGATTTGGTTCAAATTTTGTATGCTGATGCCTAGGGACAAAGGAGTTTGGCACAAAGAGATTTTCAAGATGGCCGCTTAATTTCAAAATGGCGGCCATTTTTCGTAAAAATATGTAATCTTTGATAACTCAAATACCAGTGAACGGATTTGGTTCAAATTTTTTTCAAGATGGCCACTTAATTTCAAAATGGAGGCAATTTTTCGTAAAAAACGTAATCTTTGATAACTCAAATACCAGTGAACAGATTTGTTTGAAATTTTATATGATTATGCCTAGGGACACAGTAGCTCTGTTCAAGAAATAATTTTCAAGATGGCGGCTGAATTTCAAGATGGCGGCCAATTTTCGTAAAAACGTAATCTTTGATAACTCATATACCAGTGAACGGATTTGGTTCAAATTTTATATGATGATGCCTAGGGACACAGTTGCTATGTTCGACAAAGAATTTTCAAGATGGCCACTTTATTTCAAAATGACAGCAATTTTTCGTTAAAAAAACATAATCTTTGATAACTCAAATACCAGTGAACGGATTTGGTTCAAATTTTATATGATGATGGCTAGGGACACAGTTGCTTTGTTTGAGGAAGAATTTTCAAAATGGCAGCTGAATGGTTGTCATTTTTCTTAATTCAAATTTTATATGCTGATACCTAGGGACACTATAGCTCTGTTCGAGAAAGATTTTCAAAATGACTGCGGAATTTCAAATGGCCGCCATTTTTAGTAAAAAAGAATGTAATCTTTGATAACTCAAATTTTGATTTATGGATATGGTTTACATTTTATATGTTGATGCTTAGAGACAAACAAGCTCTGCTCAAGAAGGAATTTTCAAGATGGCCACAAATAATCTAAATATGTTTTGTTCGGTGGGATTTGCTACTCCGTGGAGTTGCTGTTTTTCTAGTTGAATCCAGGACTAGCCCCCATATAAAGTTTAAACCACTTGGGCTTGAACTTGGTTTTTGAAGGACTTTTTGATTTCGAAAAATCATGAATTTATTTTATCTAACTTTTAGAGGTCACACATATCTTTTAATAAGTGATAATTCACACCAATACATAGCATTCATCCTCACATGTTTTTTGCTGAGAAATTTAAGAAAATTGGAACATCGGAACAAGCATGAAAAGTACACTTCTTCTTTGTGTGAAGTTTGTAATACAAACTGTACATTTAAAGTTCTTTTCTCCGATATGGATCTTAGAATATAATACTAGATAATATTGTTGTGAAGAATCTGTAACATTCACATTCAAAATCCTTCTCTCCACTATGTCAGTATGACTGAGTTTGCATTCTTAAATGTTTACAAGGCTAGATTTCTGGTTAAATGTCTCCAGTATGTATCTTAGAATGTGATCATGGTTAGATTTGTTGTAAAATGTCTTTGGACAAACATCACATTTGTAATTCTTTTCTCCAGTATGAATCTTAGAATGTGATACAAGGTTAGATTTGTCATAAAATGTCTTTAGACAAACATCACATTTGTAATTCTTTTCTCCAGTATGAATCTTCAATTGTGACACAAGGCTAGATTTTTGATTAAATGTTGTAAGACAAACATCACATTTGTAATTCTTTTCTCCAGTATGAATCTTAAAATGTGACTAAAGGCTAAATTTTTGGTTAAATGTCTTTAGACAGAGATCACATTTGATCTTCTTCTCTCCAGTATGAATCTTAGAATGTGACAAAAGGGTAACTCTTTGGATAAATGTCTTTAGACAAACATCACATTTGTAATTCCTCTCTCCAGTATGTATCTTAGAATGTTTTACAAGGTTAGATTTTGGGTTAAATGTCTTTAGACAAACATCACATTTGTAATTCCTCTCCCCAGTATGTATCTTAGAATGTGACTCAAAGTGATATTTTTGGTTAAATGTCTTAAGACAAACATCACATTTGAAATTTCTCTCTCCAGTATTTATCTTAGAATGTTTTACAAGGTCAGATTTTTGGTGAAATGTCTTTAGACAAACATCACATTTGAAATTTCTCTTTCCAGTATGTATCTTAGAATGTTTTACAAGGTTAGATTTTTGATTAAATGTCTTTAGACAAACATCACATTTGAAATTTCTCTCTCCAGTATGTATCTTAGTATGTGACTCCAAGTGAGATTTTAGGTAAAATGTCTTTAGACAAACATCACATTTGAAATTTCTCTCCCCAGTGTGTATCTTAGAATGTGTTACAAGGCTAGATTTTTGGTTAAATGTCTTTAGACAAACATCACATTTGTAATTCTTTTCTCCAGTATGTATCCTAGAATGCTTTACAAGGTAAGATTTTTGGTTAAATGTCTTTAGACAGACATCACATTTGAACTTCTTCTCTCCAGTATGAATCTTAGAATGTGACAAAAGGGTAACTCTTTGGATAAATGTCTTTAGACAAACATCACATTTGTAATTCCTCTCTCCAGTATGTATCTTAGAATGTTTCACAAGGTTAGATTTTCGGTTAAATGTCTTTAGACAAACATCACATTTGTAATTCCTCTCTCCAGTATGTATCTTAGAATGTGACTCAAAGTGATATTTTTGGTTAAATGTCTTAAGACAAACATCACATTTGAAATTTCTCTCTCCAGTATGTATCTTAGAATGTTTTACAAGGTCAGATTTTTGGTAAAATGTCTTTAGACAAACAGCACATTTGTAATTCTTTTCTCCAGTATGTATCTTAGAATGCTTTACAAGGTTAGGTTTTTGGTTAATGTCTTTAGACAAACATCACATTTGTAATTCCTCTCTCCAGTATGTATCTTAGAATGTTTTACAAGGTTAGCTTTTCGGTTAATTGTCTTTAGACAAACATCACATTTAAAATTTCTCTCTCCAGTATGTATCTTAGAATGTTTTACAAGGTTAGCTTTTTGGTTAAATGTCTTTAGACAAACATCACATTTGTAATTCCTCTCTCCAGTATGTATCTTAGAATGTGTTACAAGGTTAGATTTTTGGTTAAATGTCTTTAGACAAACATCACATTTAAAATTTCTCTCTCCAGTATGTATCTTAGAATGTTTTACAAGGTTAGCTTTTTGGTTAAATGTCTTAAGACAAACATCACATTTGAAATTTCTCTCTCCAGTGTGTATCTTAGAATGTTTTACAAGGTCAGATTTTTGGTGAAATGTCTTTAGACAAACATCACATTTGTAATTTCTCTTTCCAGTATGTATCTTAGAATGTGTTACAAGGTTAGATTTTTGATTAAATGTCTTTAGACAAACATCACATTTGAAATTTCTCTCTCCAGTATGTATCTTAGTATGTGACTCCAAGTGAGATTTTAGGTAAAATGTCTTTAGACAAACATCACATTTGTAATTCTTTTCTCCAGTATGTATCCTAGAATGCTTTACAAGGTAAGATTTTTGGTTAAATGTCTTCAGACAAACATCACATTTGAAATTTCGCTCTCCAGTATGTTTCGTAGAATGTGACTCAAGATGAGATTTTTGGTGAAATGTCTTTAGACAAACATCACATTTGTAATTCCTCTCTCCAGTATGTATCTTAGAATGTGTTACAAGGTTAGATTTTTGGTTAAATGTCTTTAGACAAACATCACATTTAAAATTTCTCTCTCCAGTATGTATCTTAGAATGTTTTACAAGGTTAGCTTTTTGGTTAAATGTCTTAAGACAAACATCACATTTGAAATTTCTCTCTCCAGTGTGTATCTTAGAATGTTTTACAAGGTCAGATTTTTGGTGAAATGTCTTTAGACAAACATCACATTTGTAATTTCTCTTTCCAGTATGTATCTTAGAATGTTTTACAAGGTCAGATTTTCGGTAAAATGTCTTTAGACAAACAACACATTTGTAATTCTTTTCTCCAGTATGTATCTTAGAATGCTTTACAAGGTTAGGTTTTTGGTTAAATGTCTTTAGACAAACATCACATTTGTAATTCCTCTCTCCAGTATGTATCTTAGAATGTTTTACAAGGTTAGATTTTCGGTTAAATGTCTTTAGACAAACATCACATTTGTAATTCCTCTCTCCAGTATGTATCTTAGAATGTTTTACAAGGTCTGATTTTTGGTAAAATGTCTTTAGACAAACAACACATTTGTAATTCTTTTCTCCAGTATGTATCTTTGAATGCTTTTCAAGGTTAGCCTTTCTTTTAAATGTCTTTAGACAAACATCACATTTGAAATTTCGCTCTCCAGTATGTATCGTAGAATGTGACAAAAGGGTAACTCTTTGGATAAATGTCTTTAGACAAACATCACATTTGTAATTCCTCTCTCCAGTATGTATCTTAGAATGTGTTACAAGGTTAGATTTTTGGTTAAATGTCTTTAGACAAACATCACATTTAAAATTTCTCTCTCCAGTATGTATCTTAGAATGTTTTTCAAGGTTAGCTTTTTGGTTAAATGTCTTAAGACAAACATCACATTTGAAATTTCTCTCTCCAGTGTGTATCTTAGAATGTTTTACAAGGTCAGATTTTTGGTGAAATGTCTTTAGACAAACATCACATTTGTAATTTCTCTTTCCAGTATGTATCTTAGAATGTGTTACAAGGTTAGATTTTTGATTAAATGTCTTTAGACAAACATCACATTTGAAATTTCTCTCTCCAGTATGTATCTTAGTATGTGACTCCAAGTGAGATTTTAGGTAAAATGTCTTTAGACAAACATCACATTTGTAATTCTTTTCTCCAGTATGTATCCTAGAATGCTTTACAAGGTAAGATTTTTGGTTAAATGTCTTCAGACAAACATCACATTTGAAATTTCGCTCTCCAGTATGTTTCGTAGAATGTGACTCAAGATGAGATTTTTGGTGAAATGTCTTTAGACAAACATCACATTTGTAATTCCTCTCTCCAGTATGTATCTTAGAATGTGTTACAAGGTTAGATTTTTGGTTAAATGTCTTTAGACAAACATCACATTTAAAATTTCTCTCTCCAGTATGTATCTTAGAATGTTTTACAAGGTTAGCTTTTTGGTTAAATGTCTTAAGACAAACATCACATTTGAAATTTCTCTCTCCAGTGTGTATCTTAGAATGTTTTACAAGGTCAGATTTTTGGTGAAATGTCTTTAGACAAACATCACATTTGTAATTTCTCTTTCCAGTATGTATCTTAGAATGTTTTACAAGGTCAGATTTTCGGTAAAATGTCTTTAGACAAACAACACATTTGTAATTCTTTTCTCCAGTATGTATCTTAGAATGCTTTACAAGGTTAGGTTTTTGGTTAAATGTCTTTAGACAAACATCACATTTGTAATTCCTCTCTCCAGTATGTATCTTAGAATGTTTTACAAGGTTAGATTTTCGGTTAAATGTCTTTAGACAAACATCACATTTGTAATTCCTCTCTCCAGTATGTATCTTAGAATGTTTTACAAGGTCTGATTTTTGGTAAAATGTCTTTAGACAAACAACACATTTGTAATTCTTTTCTCCAGTATGTATCTTTGAATGCTTTTCAAGGTTAGCCTTTCTTTTAAATGTCTTTAGACAAACATCACATTTGAAATTTCGCTCTCCAGTATGTATCGTAGAATGTGACAAAAGGGTAACTCTTTGGATAAATGTCTTTAGACAAACATCACATTTGTAATTCCTCTCTCCAGTATGTATCTTAGAATGTGTTACAAGGTTAGATTTTTGGTTAAATGTCTTTAGACAAACATCACATTTAAAATTTCTCTCTCCAGTATGTATCTTAGAATGTTTTTCAAGGTTAGCTTTTTGGTTAAATGTCTTAAGACAAACATCACATTTGAAATTTCTCTCTCCAGTGTGTATCTTAGAATGTTTTACAAGGTCAGATTTTTGGTGAAATGTCTTTAGACAAACATCACATTTGAAATTTCTCTCTCCAGTATGTATCTTAGTATGTGACTCCAAGTGAGATTTTAGGTAAAATGTCTTTTGACAAACATCACATTTGGAATTTCTCTCTCCAGTGTGTATCTTAGAATGTTTTACAAGGTTAGATGTTTTCTTAAATGTCTTCAGACAAACATCACATTTGAAATTTCTCTCTTCAGTATGAACTTTATAATGTTGTTCACATTCATACTTGTGACCAAATACTCTATGACAGACATCACATTCATGTTTTTCCACATGTTTTTCCACATGTTTTTCCAAAGGTTTTGTTGCTGTTTGTTCAATACTAGATCTTGATACAGTTCTTTTTTCTATGACACTAGTAGATGTTTCATGTAGATCCATCTCTTCTGCATATTTAACTGCATATGTTACTTATTACAAATTACTCACTGTCATCACATGCAATAGAATCTTTAGAGTTTTCCTGTAGTTTGAGAGTCAGTGGTATTTATCACAAGATCAGAAGTCCCTGGTATATATCTCAGGATCAGAAGTCACTTGTACAATTTGTCGATGGCCTGCTCACTAGATCTGCTATACCTGCACATGTTATTTTCTGGTACAAAATTAAGTATGAAGGCATGTGTATTTCCTTGCTTTTTTCAGGAAAGTATCATTACACTATCTACTTTTAGTAAATCTGGAAACAGGTCAATGGTAGCTCCTGTGTTGTCCGGAAACTTTGAAAGAAAATTTGAAAAAATAGAAAGTGTGAAATATCAGAATTTCTGGGAGTTCCCATTGAACTTCTACCAGATATTCTAAAAGAAGACAAAGTGACACATGAAAATTGACACATGCCTTCATACTTTATTTTGTTCCAGAAAATTACATGTGCAGGTATAGCAATTTTTTACCAAAATGTTATTTTCCAGCTGTACCTTAATCTCAGGATCAGAAGTCACTGGTATTTATCTCAGGATCAAAAGTCACTGGTATTTATCTCAGGATCAGAAGTCAGTGGTATTTATCTCAGGATCAGAAGTCACTGGTATTCATCTCAGGATCAGAAGTCAGTAGTATTTATCTTAGGATCAGAAGTCACTGGTATTTATCTCAGGATCAGAAGTCAGTGGTATTTATCTCAGGATCAGAAGCCACTGGTATTATTCTCGGGATCAGAAGTCACTGGTATTTATCTCAGGATCAGAAGTCACTGGTATTTATCTCAGGATCAGAAGTCACTGGTATTTATCCCAGGATCAGAAGCCACTGGTATTTATCTCAGGATCAGAAGTCACTGGTATATATCACAGGATCAGAACTCAGTGGTATTTATCTCAGGATCGGGTAATATAAAGTAGACGTCAATAGTATTTATCCTGTATGAGTTTCTTGTATCCTGGGAGAAATCAGCATCTCTTATCCTCAGTCATGTCAGCTATGGCATGGTAACAACATGTACTTATATGTAACTTGTACAGTAATCAAGTGTATGCTTTGGAGCTTCCAAGGCTGCCCTTTTATCTGATACTTGCGTTAATAATTCAAAAACTACTACAATATTTTGCATTTCTATGATATTATTTGTTATGTTGCAACAACACAACCACAGAGCTTTTTACATATGATTTGTATTGTAAAAATGTATATAACATATACATTTTTACGATACAAATCATATGTAAAAAGCTGTCTGAGTGTGAACACAACAGTGCTGTTAATCCTCAGTCATATTGCTTATAGCTGTACATGTACTTAGCTTGCACAGGGAATAAGTTAAATATAGCATACCATCATTACAGACACTTTTACTTAGGACAGTAAAACTTATTAATGTAGACACATACCTAATGTCCGGAAGTTTTTAACATATAATTTGTGTTTGCTTTTCTCTTGCAGTATATCCTAAATGTTTTTATAAAGTTCATGGTATAAATAGCCTGTTCTTGTGAAAACTGTACAAGTTTATCATGTTTTCATTGTTTTGCCAGCTTTGTAATGTTCGCTTTAGGCAGGTTTCACTGCAGTAACTCCAGTTGCTAGTAATTTGATATTTTCTCATGCTGGTTGCTTCTAACATTCTAATGAGGCCCTTACAAAAAGATGTCTGTTTCATGTGTTCATTGAGTTTTCAAAACCTCAATGCTGGTCAAATCTTTTGTTTTCCTTTTAATGATTTCAATCTGAAATGTTTCATGGACATTAAATTTCACTTTTTGAAGATATATCCCTAAAATGAATTCCATGTTAATCACTGTGCCTTAAATTTCAAGGTCTAGCCTCTTCAGCAAAAATAGTGAATATTAGGGCATCTTGAAAATTTAGGCTTTTACAGTATTATAGTCTTTCAGTATTATAGTCTTACTCAATGTACCCAATCAAAATGTGCTATGTGAAACTCAATTCAGTATTTTGAAGGACTTTTTGTTTGAGAATTTATTTCAAATAAAACTTAAGTTGTCACACACATACATTGTTGATAAAAGGCAAAAGGCTACATAAGCCTATAAGCCGGTGTTTTTCTTATCTTATCTTAAAACATAAGCAATAAGTTAGCCCAACACAGAACATACATTCTAACCTATTTCTGTTGAAAAAATAAAGAAAATTGGTTGAATGATAAGCAAGAAGTCCCATCTTTCAAAAAATGTCTCAAATGGTTTTTCAAGTCATGAAAAGTCATATTTGAATGATTAAATTTATATTTTCAAACTTTACACAGGATCTTTAATTCATTTTGATTTTTGTGATTACTAGTATATAATAAAATTAACACAAAATAGGTTTGGATATTAAGTGCATGGAGTTGCCCAAAGGCTCCATGCAAGACTGAATATGCAGATACTTAAAGTTCTCTTTAATTTTCAGTTCAGGGAGGAACCCTCCATGTTTAAAGATCAGAGGACTGGTGTGGAGGTCATAGTTCAGGGGAGAACTCTCAATGTTGAAAGATGACTGGTGTGGAGGTCATAGTTCAGGGGAGAACTCTCAGTGTTGAAAGATCAGAGGACTGGTGTGGAGGTCATAGTTCAGGGGAGATCGCTCAATGTTGAAAGATAGAGGACTGGTGTGGAGGTCATAGTTGAGGAGAGAAATATCTATGATTAAAGATTAGAGGACTGGTGTGGTTACAGAAGACTGATGTGGGGGTTATCATAGTTCAGGGGAAAACTCCAATGTTTAAAGATTCGAGGACTTGTGCCGTTGCTCTGACGCCATTAACTTCCATAATCACTGGTTAAAAAACAAGTTCTGTTCCTTTTAACTTGTGGTGACTTTTTTCTGACCATTGTTAATACTGAGCATGTTTACGGAGTCCTGGTGCCGTTTTTTCCATCAGTAATAGAGCGTTTAAGCTTGCATAAAAAAATCAAAACGTCAACTTATACGTATGACCAATCACCTATACATATGACCAATTGCCCAGACAAATGCATCGCTTAAATATTTTCCGATTGCATGTATAGAAAATGTACCAATAAACTAAGATTTGTTATGATTTGAAATACAAATATTCTGTATTTATTTATTTAATTTTAGTTTACAGAAATATTTCCCATATACATGTAATACACAAAAATAGTTCCATGATCACTATATTTACGCTTTACACCGTGTACACACTGACTCCCTCGGCTTTATATACAAAGCATATCAGTGAAATGGTTCATCACAAGCAGGGCTCACAAGCCTAGAGGCTTATTTTCCATCTGGATCAGCTGTTGTGTAGAAAATAATATAGCAACTGGTCAATAGTTCAATTTTGACCAGTAATCCATGATGTATCCTGATAGCAATTTTCCTTTTTCAAGTGTACTTTTAATCATTAAATAAAACAGTTCGCAGTGTTCCTTAGAAATTTTATTAACTTTTGTGGTTGTGTCTCCTATATATACAGTTATCTATTTATTTATATAGTTTGTGAATGCAGAGATAGATCTCATATTCGCCCATTCAGACTTTGTAAATGGAGATTTACATAAAATAACACCAAGTGAAGTCCCAATTTATGACCACTTCTTGGACAGTTCTATAACGTGATCTTCAGTTGGGCAGAAACATAATTCGCTGCATCGCTTGACACAACAATATTTACGAATCATCTGGTGATAGTGGTTTTACAGTTACCCCTCTTCTGATTTGTCCCCAGCCGATCAACCTGGAATACAAGAGCAATAAGTTACATAGTGTGATCAATATGGTGATGACCATCACATTTTTAAGCAAAAATTAGGCAAAAAAGAAAAAATTTGAAATTACCTTGTTTGTTCAATAATTTTGTTCAATAACGGACAAAATTATCGAAATTAGAATTTTAATATGGAAACGTTGCAAATTTCCTCAAAACAGACTCTTAAAGTTGACAATACTCATATTGTATTGATATAAATCAAATGTACATCATTCTTAGAAAATTAACTTACAAACTGTTCCATAACCAATTATTAAGTTGAAAAATCAGTTTCCACTTTTGAAACCTACCTCCAATGTTTTTCCACTCTTCTGCTCAATGCAATTTTTTCTCCTATTTCAGTACACACAGGGTTGGTGAGACCTATTTTTGCTAAATCAGCCTTTACAGCCAACACTCTACCTCCGCTGGACAGTGAGCCAATGTTTACCATCAGAATGTCATTCTTTGAGAGTTTGGCCACCTAGAAAATTAGTGTTGAGATATCAAAGTAAAAGTCTGCTGAAACCTAGTGAAATCTTCAAAATACATTGGAATATTACAAAGTTGAGGAAATTCAAGCAAAAACTTCAAAAATCCACTGGAATATGGCAAAGTTATGAAAAACTAAAATGATAAAAACATTTTTACTAAACAAAATGACAAATCATCAAAATTGATGGATTCAGACACAAATGGGATTCTAAAGCAACAATTTAACTATTGCTTGATGTTATCCTTATTCATGGTTACAGAAATATAACATGGAATATCATACCAGTGTACTGGTGTAAGTGCATGGTTTAACAAACTTACCTTGGCTCCTTTTTTATCTCCTTCAACTCGGACACCCAGCAATCTCCTGAGCAAGAAATATGAAATTTCCAATTCAGTGTAGATTTCTGGGAGAGTGTCAACTGCTCCTAGGACGTGTCCCACCATACGATCAGCTCTGCACAGGGTAGGGTCAATCTTGGTGCCAACACCTGGATTACAAAAAGGCAAAAGGATTAAAAACTTATTTGATCAGTTTCATTTTTGACCATGATGCTGACACATATGACAAACTGTGAAATATCTTAGTGAGACTAGTATGCCATCTTTGTTAATATAATTGTACTAGAGCTATGGTACTACTAGAATAACATACCTCAACTAAATACAGACACTTGCAAGATTGTGACTACAGAAAAGATCTAGAGAATACAACAAACTCTAAACCTCTTAAACTATTTGTACAATGCATTCTGGGATTGAAGACACTCCTCTTCACTCACCTATTAGACCACCTGGGGCAGCATACTGGAGGTCGTTTTGCTCAGCATAGAGTGACACAATTGATGAATAGATGGGTTTACATGTTAATTTTCCATCAGCGTCTTTAGCTACAATTCCTGGACGAACCTCGATTTCTTGACCAACCTGTAGAAACAAAAGATAGTAAAATTTAAAATGAATGAACAAAAATTATAATTTACATGATTTACATTCATTTATTGATAGTTTGTTGGTTCATCCATGAATATACCAACTCTTGGTGCATCTACTTGAACATGGGACATACCATGAAATACAGGCATATTTAGACCTTGGAAACTTTGGTATTAAGTTTTGAGTTAAGTTTTGAAATTGAGAATTTTGCTACCACTCGAGAAGAGAAATCCTATTTTGTCCTAATACAATACAAAGACACCCTTTAACCTTGGAAACTTTTGTACCCATTTTAAAATTGAAAATTTGAGAATTGAGAATTTTGCTACCATTCGAGAAATCCTATTTTGTCCATACCTTTAAGACGCCCTTTAGAATACTGCCTCCGGCTACTCCCCCCTTAAGGTCCTCAACCTCACATCCAGGCTTGTTCACATCAAATGATCGGATAACTGAAACAAATTTAAAATTTATTAATGTATATCAGATTCCAACCGTTTCTTGGAACACTTTGAACTAGAAAACAGCAACTCTACAGAGTAACAAATCCCACTAACAAAACATGTTTTGATAAAAACCAGCCATCTTGAAAATCTCTTCTTGAACAGAGCTCCTTTGTCCCTGGTATCAGCATATAAAATTTGAACAAGTCTGTCCATTGGTATCATGAGTAATCAAACATTATGTTTTTTACGAAAAATGGTGGCCAATTTGAATTTAATTGGTCATCTTCTTGAGCTTCTTGTCTCTTGGAATCAGCACATAATATTTCAACCAAATCTGTCAACTGGTATTTTGAGTAATCAAAGATAATGTTATTCTATGAAAAATATCTCCCTTTTTGAAAATTCTTTCTCAAGCTGAGCTTCTGTGTACTTGAGTTATCAAAGATTACATTTTTGTGAAAAATGGTTGCCATATTGGTGATGATTCAACCCTGAAAAAGATTTGCATCTCTTGATGCTCTGACATTGGTACCACCCTATATGGGTTTATTTTATGCATATACAGGATATCATGAATGAGCAACAACTCAATTAGGTCATCTCAGAGGAGTTCAGATGTCATCTCTCATGCAAACAGTATTAAACAGAGCTTTCTTTAAACAGTATACAAAGTTACAAACACTGGACTTACCTATAAGTCTGGGTGCAGAAGTGAAGTCCCTCAAAGGCACTGGGATTTTTTTTGTAACATATTCACATATGACTTCTATGTTATATTTTAGCTGGGCAGATATGGGGACGATTGGAGCGCCCTCTGCGACTGTCCCTATAAAATATATTTAAAAGTGGTTAATGGATCCGGCAAAACGATTTTTTGTAATAATTTCATTGTTATAATTTGTAGTTATGCTAGATTCAAAATAAATCTATAGAACTATGAACTTAATAAAAAACTGACATTCAATAAAACTGCATTTGACCCCTGATAATCCTCACTTAAATTTCCAGTTAAAAGACTTGAATATATAAAAACAAAATAAAAGCTAACAAATCGCAAAAAACCTAATCGCATAAACTTTATTAATCAATGAAGTACCATCTTGAACCACAATTTGAGTAAATTAAGTACCTACCTTGCACAAATTTCAAGATCTGTTCATACTGGTCTCTGGCTTGACTCTCCTTCACAATATCTATCTTGTTCTGCAGGATTAGGAGATGTTTCAGTTTCATGATTTCTATGGCAGCAAGATGCTCTGATGTCTGTGGTTGGGGACATGATTCATTACCAGCTGAAATATGAATTGCTTTTACATTATTTCATGCTATGGGGGTATCGTATAATGGGCATGAGTTTTACATTTTGTCATTTCCCTTTCTTTTTTGGCTATCTGCAAAATTAGGACTGTAGGATGTGTTTATGGTTTCTATAACAGCAAAATACTCTCTTTTTTTGAGCTTGTGTTTACTAAAAATGGCAGAATTTTTGACATTAAATCATTTCTCTTAACTATCTGCAGCTTCATGATCCCTAATAGCAACAAGACGTAAAAGTCTATTTGGGGATATAATTCATTCCTAGCTGTTCGGCCTACTTGATTTCAAATATTTTGTGTACAAACCTATTAGCAGGAGGGCAGCGTCCATGACGGCAGCACCGTTCAACATGGTGGCCATAAGAATGTCGTGGCCTGGACAATCAACAAATGACACATGCCTGGAATCAAATTGTACAAGTTAATTATGTCATTCAGTATATACTTACAAAAACATTTCCAATAAATGCTGCCACATTACAGTTTGCTACATCAAAGTCGCTGCATTTTTTGATGGGATCCATGATGTCATAACTTAAATGTAGAAATGTTAACTATCTCAATACAGTGATCACCTCAGCATTAAAACAAATGGTAACCCACCTGAGATTTTGAAAATAGGCTTGCACTCACCTGAAAATCTATTTGTGCCCACTTGAAAATGAGAAAAATCATGAAAATATGGCATTTTTTGACCAATTCTGGTCTGAATTGTGAAAATGAGAATTTTGCAACCACCCGAAAAAAAAATCCTTGGGAGATCACTGCAATATATGACATCATGAATAATACGAATTAAGACCAAATATATGCTAGTTTCTCAGGTGAAGCAAAGGATGATGAATCATTGGCAAGGTAGATTTTTAAATGGAAAATTGATTTGCATAAATATCTGAAGTGAACACTTCTTATAGATAAACCACAAGTGTTCACATTGAGAGATGTTCAGATCATTAGTTGGATTCAAGTTGTTAAGGTTTTCACTCACAACTGTAACATATTTGGCTGATGCAATCCAATATAAAATGTCTCAATCAAAATAAGGTTAATCATTAACCTTGTAAAACATATTTACTTATTTAGAAGTTAAAGACAACAATACAATCCCAATTCAATAACAGAAGTACATGTCGTAAAATATTTGTCAAAATGCCAAAATACATAGTACACAACAATGGTGCGTACACAACATGAACAAATAATTTGGACATGAGTGTCTGCAAGTATAGCAGTCGGTTCTCTTATGTTCTCATAAAAAGTTATTGGAATTTATGAGTAAAGTACTTTCATTTCCTAATTAAAACCACAGTGTTGACCTGGGTTTATCGAACGAGTATAAACTGATGCAAGTTTTGAATATTTTATCGTTCAGTTGTATGATTCTTAAAGAAAAACTGAAATAAAAAAAGTGCCATATTTCGGAGTAAGAAAAGTTGAAACTGTTCACTGCAAGAATCATAACATCAATATTATGTTCTTGACTATGACTATGACTAAAAAAAGATTCCTACCTTTTTAGCCTGAATCGGCCATTACATCCTGGCCTGTCGCAGGGGAAATCATCTTCCTTATTACTTCCACATGATCTGTAATTCCCTGGACGTGGACATTTCTCGTCATCACATTTATAGATCTTTGCGTTGGCATATCCAAGCTTAATTGTAATGTTTCTTTGCAATTCATTTTTGAATCTGACAGTCTGAAAAAGGTAATTAATTTTTTCTCAGTTTCAATCAAGTTTTTTTAATCTGCCCCTAGTTTCCAGGAAAATATAGACATAGTATCTGTGATGCATCTTAATAAACACAATGAAACTGAATATCAAATGCATTAGAAAATGCTTGTTATTTAAGAGGGTGTTCCAAAGGGGTCATTTGCCGATAAAATAATTGAATAACTTCAGAGTCTGCATATTTTGACAATAAAACCTTGTAATCTTATTGCCTGCCATACATTCTATCACAGCTACATGATTTTTTAAAACAATTAGATTTTCTTCAAATATTTCTTGCAAGACAAATTCTTCTCACCTGTACTCCTGAAATTGCTTTCACGACAGTAGATTTCCCGTGAGCCACATGACCAATTGTTCCGATGTTGATTGTTGCCTGCCTACTGATGATCTCAGGAGACAGGGGATTAAGCTTATTAATGTCCTGGAAAATTAAAAGTTAATTCATTATAGATACAATAATACTTACAAATGGCTTGATTTGTCTTTAAATTCTATGTAAAATCCACATCTGATCAGGTTTATATTGTTTTATTCATTAACTTATAAAATGATTCATTTTGATTGACAAATTTTATGCCTTATATTAAAATTGACATCATGATTTATATTTTAATATTATACAATAAATTAATACAGTCAGTTTAACAGTTAAAAAGTTTAAGAAAAACAAATGCTAAAATGAACGAGAGCACAATTTTGTATATCAATGCTATTGACTGGTTGCCATTAGCTATTTTTTTAGTTATTAGTTAAACTGAGATTATTCTGTGAATGCCATTATTAAATTCAAATTTTTAAAATAACAATTATGGTTCTTTAATTCTGAAGTTAAAATGTATTCATCAATTAATTTAAAATTTGAGCATATGTGTAAACAAAAGAAAAGCCACTGCTGCTAGAAATAGCAAAATGAAAAATCAAGACTGACACTAAATATGGGATCACCCTAAATTTTAAAAAAAATCAGTTAATCAGATGACATGTTTTTTTCTTTAAAAATTCCCCTTTTCTGATATCCTGCCTACATGTGTGATCATAATGAAGAATTCCCTTTTTACTCCAACTTACAATGTCTTTCAAGTCATTTTTATGCTGAAACTTATTCAAGTTTCCACCGAATGATTCCTCCATTTAAGTTACATATTTAATACTCACAGCAGTAAAGTTTTATAGTTTTATACCTCTAAATTAATTCTGACTTTTATTTTTAGTTTTGTAACCAAATTCTTGAATCGGTTTATATATACTGTGCGATTTGTACCTACAGCAAAACGTGTTTGTGCGAACACATCTCAAAACTGAACACTCAAAAACTGAACACTCAAAAACTGAACACTCAAAATGTGAACACTTGTTTAATTCTATTTTCAAATACCCTATAAACTTTTACAGCAGAACCTTTAAATATGAAAATCTGTCCTATATATATGAACACTTTTAATCAGTTCTGGAATGGTTCACTTTGACAGGTTTTACTGTTATATTATTGCATCAGCCAGAACGTTCTTAATCATATCCTAGAGTTGTGTATTGGCTCATGTCCATAAATGAAATAAGTACATGTATTAAAGTAAATATAATAGCAACGCCTGGGTGGAGCAAACTCCATTGACAGAACTTATTGATAAGTCAAATATTGACAATACGATATTTATTTATTCTGTTACATGCACATTATGGCATTACTTTTTATTATTGTTATCGTATTTTTTAAAATTCATTATAGTCTCTGAGTTAAAATACAACTACATATATAAAACACTTTTTGCATTTAAATAAAATCACCCCAGGTCCCCTATGGGTCTGTAAGACACTTCTGTAAAATGTAAAATGTATATCGTAATCTTATTTTAAAAAAAAATGTTCCCATTGTTTTAGCATCCGGTCACAGGCTTTAGCAGTAAAGAGACAAATTCAGTCATTAGACAATAAACACTGAAATTTATTTGGCTACTGGATTTGTTTATAAAATATTAGTAATATAAATAATGTGAACTTATTGATGCACTAATAAAATGCTGGGTGGACTTACAGACATTAATTTTTTGTTCTCATATCTCACTGAAGCACAGTTTCAAGATGGGATATTGCGTCAGAAAAAATATGTCTTGATATTTCGTCAGGTTTTTCACTTTGCATTAACTGATTAAATATAACAATATGGAAGTTCAATGTCCAAAGGGGAAAACCCTTAAAGTTTAGAAACGACTAAAAAGAAAGATAAGAAGTAAACCATCTCAAGGATTGACTAATAATTTATAATGAAGAGAAAGTAGACTTTATCATGTCGTTATATATCCTAACTTTTTTCGGTTATTGGATTGGTAGTTGAAAATCTTCAACCAGAGTTTCTTTCTAATACACCCACTGAATGTTTATTTTGCCTGGGCATTTATTTGAAAGTCATCAAAAAGAATGCTCATGGGCCTTTACATAGAGGGAAATATTGATTTTCCAAGGAATCAGTGGGATTTTAGAAAGAAACATTGATCTTCTAGACCAGTTGGTCTCTATTTTGAGGGAAGTCATCAATCTTAAAGTTTTTGCTTGGAAATCATGACACACAAAAGTATGACAAACATTTATCTAATAGAACTATCTGGAAATTCAAATTAAGAATAGGTACTTCTTTAGTATTCATTAACAGCAGTAATCAACAAGTACAAATTTCATGCAATTTTGATGCATACGATCCACACTATGTAGTTGAATCCCCAATAGTTGGTTTATCGGAAGAACAAAGAGATTTTCGTTTTTGACAGCAATAGGTTGCGTGTAATATTTAACTTATTTCAACCATCAAATTCCTCCATTTAGTACTACATCCTCCCGGCATGCACCAGTCATAAGGGGAATCCCGTAATGAGGTAGGTCATTTAAGTATGCAATGCGTAGTATTTTCTCCATTTTTGCAAAAACATTGATTGACCAATGATTCGCGCGTACAACCACAAACGTAGAGGGGGTCGTAGGATTCGATGAATAGGGACGGTTTCCTTTTACACACCTCTTTCAAATTAATGAGCATAGGCCTGTTCGTTAGAAACCCCAGTCTGAAAAATGTGTCCAATAGTAATCATCTACCAAATTCCATATCATGATTCAAAAGTCTCCACTTCAGATTCACGGAAAGTATTTTGCATGTTCGGTGATTTAATTTAGTATACAGCTACATGCATAAAGAAAAGCAACTGTAGCCGAAACAGTTGCCAAAAATTGATTATTATAATTTCACAAGCTTGAATGCAATCGTTGAGTGAGAGGGACACATCATATGACAGACTTCGGAGGAAATTTAGAAACAAAATGTCAGGCTAAAATTCAGCATGTCGTCATCCATGTGTCACGTTTGATTAGATATATCTCGGTTAGTATGTCCCTGATGGTATTACCTGGGATATCAAATTACAGGTTTTCATATGGCAATATTATTACATCACACTCACCAAACTAGATAAGTCTTGCTTAGACAAATGCGGCTGTTGACTTTTGTATTCTGTATTCGTGTTCGACATTTTGGACTGATGCAATCTTACCCAGGATGCAATTGTGTTTCCTTTCTTGCCGGTGATTTGGACCAATCAAAATACTTGTAATAAAATGTATTAGCCAATTAGATTCGAGCACTATCGACTGCCCGGGATCACTATTGACCTACTTTGTAAAAAGTAAATTTGGTCAACTTTTCTTGATTTATTTCTTAAAATCTCAATCTTACGACAGAGGAATACAGTCAAAAACTGGCGGAATAAAGAAAAATATATATTACAACTATTAAGTCAAATTTGAAAGAAAGGTCTACCGCATAGAGGAGCTATTGATGTTTAAAAATCACAATGCTGCTTTGTTTATCAAAACATGTGAACAGCTGAGGAAAATGAATGCAGATTATTGATGAATATGAATCATGAAATATTCAAAATTTCATTAGTGTTGTAGATGGAAAATATGTCTTAGTTACAAGAAAAATGATATTGCCTGTAACAGGCTTTGCCCTTTTGCTTGGCTTCTGGGCAAGTCTTTATTTGCTGGATGTGTTTTTGAAGGTGCGTATTTCTATTGTCGCCACAAGCGCCGCAACAGATAGTAGAATTGACCAAAATGAAAATTCACCCCCACTCTCTGTATACCAAGGAACCTGTATTTTCCTTGGTACACGGAGAATAAGGATGATGGATTTTCATTTCGATCAGTTATACTTGTTTTGTACCTATGACTGTCGCATTGTTAGAGGCTTGGAGTTAGAAGACGATTTGATCAACAAATGAGTAATTTTATCCTTGCAATTTAAAGAAGCTTAACTGATTTAGTTTAGCCCATAATGCGACGGAATGACATCATGGCTAGAGAGAATAGAAATACACGATAATTTGCATAAAAAATAGATAGTTTCAACATTGTTTTGCAGACACATGTACACTTCTCCCGATACTACATCTCGTTTCTTGGGAAGAGTGGGTTGTCCGTGTCAATCTTGCAGTTGCGATGGTATACCACCTGCTTTAACAGATTATTCCTCAGACTAGGTCAATGGCGTCCACAGTTTCTAAGAATTTGGTTCACAGCGGGTGTAGTTTTTGGCTTATTCGCAATGATGCTCTCAGTATTCTTATTGAGTTTGATGGTCTACAATACGTTAAGTCGCCAACCAGTTGAGCAACAAGTGTTAACACCAGTGGTAAATATGATGTCATCTTTCCTTTGAAGACTATTTTGAAGTATTTTTTGATATCATGCAGTTTGCTAAATGACTAAAGTGTCTAAAGTATCCATCCTCCTAAGCAGGTATCCAGAATCCGTACCTTCTTCTTTCCCCTGCTATAACCAATTTGGAAGTGCCCGATTATACTGAATCATGTGATCTAATTATGCGCAATGACTTATACATGATATCTGTCGCAGTGTTACAACAGCCAATCAGATTGCAAGTTCTTAATCGGGGAAATGCTAACTGCTTATCGCAGGGGGTAAAAAAAGAAAGAAAATATACTGGATTTTGAAGCCCTGTGATCGGAGGATGAAAGTATCCAGTATTTTTTAAGTCATAACACCCAGCGATTCGCCTGTGGTAAATATGATTTCATCTTCCCTGTTCAAGACTATTTCAAATAAATTTTGATATCATGCAAAAGGAATGGAAGGAAATATTCACATTTTTGAATTTAAAACAACCTGCTGCGATTTGCCATCCTGGGAAATCTTAGCCTTCTCTCAGTTCCTTTCTTGGAGCATTTTTACCAAAGCAGAGATGGTCTGAGTTTCAGAATGGCAATTTACATATATTATCAAAATCTCAAGTGAGTTCAGCATCAAACTCACTGATGTATTTACATCTTTCTAATATAAGAATTATATTTTAGATGCCTGGAGTGAACCTTCCAATGAGTCAAGTAACTTACTATTTAGTGACATTGCTAGTGTGTGGGATACTTCATGAAGTAGGACATGCTATTGCAGCTGTCAGGTGAGTCTTCAGAATAAACACTTTTGAAAAGTGATTACTTTAGAAAAATTGTTTGATCACAAAATGAATACGCTTCAATTTGATTTTTCTCAATAGGATGTAAAATTCTAATTTACTTATTTTGCCCATAATATTTCCAAATCTGGGGAAATATTCCAATTTTATCAATTTCTCATCTGGACACAAATTGAATATAAAAAGCAGTAAAAAGACAAATCTATTTCCATTGAGAGGGGGGAAGTGACAGTTTGGTTCATGAGAAATGTTGTTTTTGGCCCAAAAATAAAAATGTTTGTGAATGGCAAATCAGCATTTTCAAATATTGTTATATTGTATGCGGGAGAAAATTGTTAAAATTTTCCAAAACTGTCAAGCATTTAGACACCATTCTTTCCAAACATTAAATCTTTCTTTCAGAGAACAAGTAAGAGTGAATGGCTTTGGAATCTTCATAATGGCGCTCTACCCAGGAGCATTCGTTGATCTCTACACAGAGCACCTACAGGTTATCTCGCCCCTAAGGCAGCTAAGGATATACTGCGCTGGGGTGTGGCACAACTTTGTGATTGTTTTAGTCGCTATTTTTGTCCTATACTCCGAACCAGTGCTTCTCATGCCATTTTACTCAACTGGGAAATCAGTGGTTCTGACCTATGTTCTTGAGGTATGTATAATAAGGTGGACCCTTGATTCTCTCTATTCCTCAGAATTGATGCAAGCTAGATATTCATTTAAATTAACCAAGTTCTGAATTTGTAATGATCTGTGGTTTGCTCTGACATCATTTTCCTTCAAAGAATTAGAATGATAGTGAACCTGTCTAAGTGGGACACATTTGGTACCTCTAATAAGTTTCCAAATTAATCCCCTGGGGGGGGGTATTCCCATATATTAGCTATTTGGGGATGTGCTGCTAAAGTGGGTTACTTTTACCGAAAAATCCCTAGATGTGGGTCCAATTTTTTTTGAAACTCCGAAATTATTGATGATAAAAGTCTTACATTAAGTACCTTTTTGACTGAATCTGTATTAGGGTTTTTAGGGGTTAATACAAGACCATGGTGCAAAATTATAACAATACGAATCATGTTAACAGAAAAATACTAACCATTATTTTAGAATTCTGCAGTATCTGGTCCAAGGGGTCTTCATGTAGGTGATCATGTGACCAGTATCAGTGGTTGCCGGGTAACCAGCAGTGCAGACTGGAGCCAGTGCATCCAGGCCAGCATGAAAGAACCAGTGCCTGGATTCTGCATGGCAGTGGAGCAGGTCCGAAAGGAAGACACTGCCATAAAAAGTAGGACAATATTTACATTGAAGGTTTAAACTCTCAAACTTTCCCTTTCCCTTTATAGTGGTTGTAATCTTGGGGTCCTTGGTCAAGCCACCCAAAACCTTCGAGGAGTTTCCATCCCAAATTGGTTCAACACCAAAAATTTCCTTGATTCACCCATATCCCTCCCCGTTATAAATTTTTCAATCTTTTTTTATCATAATTTATGTAAACTATTGCAGTGATCTCCTCATGTCACTTTTACCGGGGGGGGGGAGGGGCTCCCTACTTGAAACCAAAGGCCACCCAGTTGGCACCCTGCCCTCCAACTTCTGATTTGAAAAATGAGTGAAGTAAAGCGGTCACCTGGAGAGGGCGAGCACTGCAAGCGCCGGTTTTTTAAGACTTGAAAGGTTGCACCAAATGTTTTTTAAGGAGAACACTGTATTGTTAAATATTTTCCACAAAAATATAAAACTAAGTGACCTATATTATCTTGAAAGTAAAATGAAATGTGTATGGTTAACAGGGGCTAGGGCTGGTTCATATGTTGCCCATTGTGGTTTTTATTATTTCATATTTATTCCTTTATTTACTTGTAGGTTATATCACCCCTGGTGGGTACCTAGAATGCTGTAATTCAACCAGGAGTGACACCCATCTATGCTTTGGATACAACACCAAGGCAAACCCCAACAGGGTAAGAATATATAAGGACAAGTGCCAAAGGGAAAGGACCAAAAGTTGTAATGGAACTTAGAAAAAAAAGCAAACTCTAAGTGCATACCAGTCAAGAAAAACAGACCCCATATAGCCTAAGAAGATATGGGTGTCATGGGGCCTTGTTTTAAAATTCAAAATAAACTTAGATTGATTAACTTGGCAAGAAATAAAGTTCACATGCATACAGTCAATACTTGAAATTGGATAGAAATGCAAGAAAATGAAATACTCTATGAAGAAATGTGTGTGGCATGAAATTTAGTTCTGTTTAGCTTTCAACCTGCCCAGCGTTAATTATTGCATAAATGGGAAAGTAACAGTCTATACCGATTAGTCCATACTTGAATTTGTGGTCTTATATTTTTATTATGCACCTAATTCCAAAATCATATTTTCAATTTCCAGGAATATGCCTGTCTCCCTGCCAGAACCACAACAGACAACAAACAATGCCGTCTCCATAGTGACTGTCATTCCCCATCCACTGAGATGACATGTGTTTATCCATCACTAGACAACACAACTAAACTGTTACGAGTTGAACACTATGCTGGGAGAAGGCCACCATTATTATTCCTGGGGTATCCCCCAGATTTGCATTATTCTGGTATGTACAATCCATGGGTTTTATCAAAAAGCTGTCACCCCCTCACTATAGTCCTATATGCTGCAATAAGTTAGTTGTGTATACCAGTACATATTTTAATATCATTTGAGGTCTATTTCAACAGATTAGATCAAGAAAACTTTAGGAATATTTTTTCGTGGACTGGTCATAATAAAAATCCCTGATGATGCTCTTTACCAGGTTATTTACTGTACTTCTACTTAATTTGGTGCGACTTATTTTGATGGATTTGCTGTTTTGAACATTTGGCGACTATTAAAGGTGGACTTTCAATATTGAAATGTTCCGATTGAAATATTGAATTTGGCGGCTACTTAAATTGCCGGACTTTAACAATTTGGCAGATCCACCAAATTAAAACAACCGCCAAATTAAGTATAAATACAGTTCTCTCTAAGATAGGTAACAATGGCATTTTAATTTTGCAGAAATTACTTTTTGAGTTTCCAGTATCTGCAAAACATCATGGGTTGTTTTCCCCGGCATATTTCAATTAATATAGACATATCCATGTGATATGTTAAAAACACGTGTTACTCGATAGCAGCGATCAGAGAAAGAACAAGTTTGCAAGCATACACCATGGCTAACTGCCAAGACAGAGATTTCATAGGGGGTTTCAATTATACTCGACAGGTGTTTAAGATGGTAAAACGGCATGACTTAAAAGTATGTTTGACTATGGGAACCCCTCTGGCTGCAGGCCTGAAACATCATGGCTAACTGCCAACAGTGCCAAGACAGAGATCTCATAAATAATTTATGTATTTTATTCCAGTTGCAGTCAGTAATTATGTTCCTGCATCTCCCATCGTTCCTGTACATCTTCCATACGTCATAGAAACATTCTCAAAGTATCCTTTTACGCTAAGTTTTCTTCATTGTAAGTAAGTTTTACTGTTCCATAATAATGTATAGTTTAGACAACAATAGGGATTGTGTTTTGAGGATAGATGTGTAGAATGTAAATTACAATGACAGATTTGTTCAAAACAGTCATTAAGAGAAAAATGTGTCCAAAATTAGAAATGCTTTAGAAGTAAAATGTTGAGATTAATACAAATTCTTTCATGTATTTCGTCTTTAGTTTCCAAATATGTTTTACCAAATTAATGATAGATCTACACAAAAATGTCATTAGAATATCTGATTATTTTGTTAATTTTAACAGCTTATTTTGACATCTATTTTATATGTAGTAGAATAAAAAAGTAATCCATTTACTATGTTATTTCCTTAACAATCTACAGATATCTTATATCACTTTCCGGTGCTTTGGCCATCTTAAATGTGGTACCATGTTATGCTTTAGATGGCCAATGGATCCTGCTAGCATTTATAGAACTGACGCTACGGTCAACAGTTACCAGCCAAGAAACTCGTAGTCTCATATATTCCATACTGATCCTCTTTGGATCACTATTACTAGGGACTAATATATTTATCGCCATGTTTATGCTGTTTGTCAGGTAGCATTCATCTTGAGAGACCCCATAGAAGAACTGGAAACACACTAGAGACCCCATAGAAGCATACTGTTCATATCAAAACCCATTGTATGTACATGTACTTTCCAATTGATCAGTGTACAGGATCCATTAGATACTCGTTTTTGGCCAACCCAATAGTATTTTTTCAATTTTTATGTAGAGTAATAATTTTTCAATTTTTTTTATATAGAGATTGCTATAAAATAAGACTTTTAATGAATTTATCCCCAAATTTTGTTGTATTCTATGCTTTGTAGAATATCACTTTATAAAAATGCGACAGGTATTCACAAACAATAGAACAAAATGATTGAATCCTTTCACATGCTGAAAGGAGGAATATAATCCCCAGGATAGCAGGACTCATCTATTACATGACCTCCCAATGTTTTGATGTGTATGATTGGTGAATATTGCCTCATCTTTCATGTCATGTGATCTGGGTTTGACCAATCAGAAAATAGTAAGATTTTAAGAAGTGAATATCACAGGGGTCTTTTTTTAAAAATCTACAATTGATTGAATAAAAGAATAAAATTGTATAAGATGCCAAGAAATTCAAATGCAGTCCATTCATTTATTTGTTCTACATACATGTATAAAATGAAGACACGGGACCAATTGTTTTGCTGGGATATTGAAATATAGCGTTATAGCCAAGCTGTGCTCTGACTCCGACCAGTTCACCTAGCTTTCTGACTTCAGATCCTTTAAGGGGACTCCAAAACACTTCCAATTGATTTGTATCATTTTGTGACTTGACAGGCACAAAAGTGCCAATTCATTTTATCATTTTTCAACATTAAAAGCTGTTGGAAAATGTATACTGTATTGCAGCTTTTTTAATGAATGTTTGAGACAAATGTACAGCCACAGTATTCATTGAATGTTTCTTGATGCATATTATATAAACTACAGACTTGAGTATATGATTGAAGTGTCAACATCTTGTTATTTTGATATGTGTATTTCTCTACCTCGTCTCTGTTATTAAGCGCCATCTTTATTAAATTGTAAATCCGTCTTCATTATGTCATATACCATTCTTGGTTCAAGGGTATTTCACTTTTCTCTTATTTAAGCATGAAGTCCTTTGAAGAAGGATGGTCATATACTGGGAATACACACGTTTACTGTATATGTGTTTAATGTGGAGAGCGTTTCAATTTTGCAATTTATAAAATTCACCAAAATTGACAATAATATCCATGTAAATCTTCCGATCGTATCTGTCATGTACAGTGGATACTTATACTCTTTGAGCACTTAGATTAGTGACGATTTAAAATGGAATTGCACAGAAAACCAGATTCAGTGATATCAATGTAAGTGTTGAGTTGGTAAGAAGTGTTTTAAGTAACAAAAGTGCTGCAATCTTTATTTTATATTCTTAAATACTTGTACATACACGTGTGCTTGCAACATCCTCTGAACACAGGGCTTCATAATCCAGAATACTTCTTTCTTTTTACCCCCTGCGATAAGCAGTTAGTATTTCCCAGATTAAGAACTCGCAATTTGATTCACAGTTGCAACATTGCGACAGCAATGATGTATATGTCATCGGCACATAATTAGATCACATGATTCAGTTTTAATCGTGCGCTTCCAAATTGGTTATAGCAGGGGGAAAGAAGGAGGTACGGATTCTGGACACCTGCTTAGGAGGATGGCTTGCAATAACTGAAATTCTATAAAATTGTGTGATATATTATTGTGATAGGCTTTATGTATTGTGAACATTTATTGTTGTAATGATGAGTATGATGGATAGGCCAAGCAACAGATTGGGCTTGTATCAGTGTGCTATTCTAGCAAAACTAAAATGGCTTAAAGCTCCTATTCTCATTCAATGAAAATAGTCCTAAAATATTAAAATCCATATGTAACTAACAAGATTAGTAGACTTGAACATATATTCTTTTTCTGGAATAATAAAGCGTGAACAATTAGTACCTTTTCAGGCTTTAAATTTTCAGAAAATTAGGTTTGTGTTTAAGCCTATTGATTCTGTAATTTTAATATTATGAGTTAAAAATTTAGGTCATTTAGGATGAGAGTTACTGCTATTGGCACTCAATGTTCACTTTCAAATATGTGATGTTAATTTGACTGTCCAGTTTGGCCAAAGTGATTTGATTTGATTTTTTTTTATAAATTAAAAGCAAATGCTCTGCTAGAAGCGGTAGATGCATTCAATGAAACAAGGAATTCATTCAGGTTTTTATAGATAGGTATTAAAGAATATTTTCATTTGTTCTCAGTCATTTTATTCCCATTGTGATACATTAGATATACCTTATATCTAATCCCTCCGAGTGTTTATTGTATGAATGTTCTTCTAAAACTCACAGTATACACAGAATATTAACTTTTAACTGTACTGAAATTAGAGATGAAGTTTTGTAGACCCTGGTCCTTCTATATTTTATGAAATTATGTAAAACATTCAATGTTGTATATTTATATTTGCAATTTTGCATTGCATATTTTGTAAATAAAGCTAAAAAAAATAAACAAAATGTAAATAACTATATTTTACATGTTTTTTTATTTCATATTTATATTTCATTTGGGTGTACAAGAATTTTGGTATCAAATTCAAATTGAACACTTGTTAAATCTTCAATCTAAAATGTGAATACCAGACCTAGAGGAAATTTACAGTCACCCAGTAGATATTTCACCCCCTCCCTCTACTCCATACATGGGCATCAATAGCGTAATATTCCAACATTTGATGTATGAAATAAAAGTATGTATATTTGGATGTACATGGTGACCTAAGGTAATTTCACCCAAATTGGTTACCCTGTACATCCATATAAGGTCTAGCTGCAGATAAATGCATCAAAATATCATATAACGCATTAAAATATGTAAATGCATTTAATAAATATTTGTACATAAATGAACTAAAATAAAAATAAACTACTGACGAGGCACTGGCTAATGAATCTAGATAATGTAGTCTATTAATTCTATTTAACAGAATAATAATTTTATATCCTATCTGATTTGAGATCTTCTCTACTGCATTGGCCTACATTGTCTAATTACTACAATGTCTAAATATTTCAATGTCTAAATGCCAATATACTTCTATAAGCAATTAGATCCTAGCATGACCCCATTCCAGCAAAAACTCTCACAATGTAATTTTGGCCTCCGGTCAATCGACTGTCAAAATAGATCCCCCATTGTAAATGACCTGTGATCTTGGTTTACATTTATGATTTTCTGATTGCATTAAGTTCATTTGATTTTAAATAAAAAGTCATTCAAAAACAGTTTCTACATTTCATATCTGTCACATGTCGCCTCCCGATAACACCCTATGCAGACAGAGCCTGTGGGAAATATTGGGTGCGGCGCAAAATGAGCGGAGGGTGCGGAGCTAACGGTCATTTTTGAATTTAAAATTGGGATATTTCTGAAATTAAGCCGTTTTGGGATTTCAAATATACCAAGATATGTGTGTTTGACACCAAATATCAATAAAATTGTGAAAATAGTAGTGCAATTCATTTTATAGCGACGCAGTATGCCTTATACATTTCCCAGACCTATATATTTTGAGACTATCCTTTTAATACTGCGTCCTCAGCATTAAAAAAAATGGTGTTCAAGATACACTACCCATGCAAATTATTTTTGCATCTTGGAAGCCAGGCAGTATCTGTGTGATTTTATAAAAATTCGGAAATGTTCTTCAGATATGAGCCCCCTCTAAATATTGGGTGCGGAGGTACGTTTATGGAGCTCCTCCGCACCCAATATTTAGAGGGGGCTCATATCTGAAGAACATTTCCGAATTTTTATAAAATCACACAGATACTGCCTGGCTTCCAAGATGCAAAAATAATTTGTATAGATAGTGTACCTTGAACACCATTTTTTATGAATGCTGGGGACTCAGTATTAAAAGGATAATTTCAAAATATATAGGTCTGGGAAAGGTTTAAGGCACACTGCGTCGCTATAGAATGAATTGCGCTACTATTTTCACAATTGTATTGATATTTGGTGTCAAATACACATATCTTGGTATATTTGAAGTCCCAAAACGGCTTAGTTTTAGAAATATCCCAAATTTAAATTCAAAAATGACCGTTAGCTCCGCACCCTCCGCTCATTTGCGCCGCACCCAATATTTCCCACAGGCTCTGTCTGCATAGGGTGGATAACAGTGGGTAAAATACAATACAAGGCACAGTGGTTTAAACTTTACATGAGGCCTTTAACAGTCAATATCTAGTCAATAAAGTACATGTGCATATATTTCTATTATCAACTGTCTATTACTGAGATTACAATAGTATGAATTTTACTAAGTACAAATTAAACCTGAAAAACAAAACAAAAAATCACTTTAATATTAACACCCGAAATGCAAAATAAAGCACCATCACCCGCAATCCCAGGACCTTCGACCAATGGAGTGCCAACTTATTTTTATGAATTTTTGTAGATTTTATCAAAGTAAGGCACTCTCTTGATGAAGGAAATAGAAACATAAGGGTAGGAAAGCTTAGCGTAACTTCATACATGGACCAGTCACCCAGTAAGTATACATATCGATGGAAAATTCTTGAAAAAGTCAAGCATGGGTTAAGCATAGTAAAACCTTTCATTTTCAATTAGGGCTGCCATCGAACTCAAATGTCAGTGTCGACAGTCGAACTCTGCTGTCGAAAATATTGTCGACAATCGAACTTTCCAGGGAGAAAAAATCATCGGGAAGTAATTGCCTAATATTGTTACTAAATGCCAAGTTAATAGAATATTATAGACGAAAATGGGACAAATACCTGCAATGTTTCGACCGGGATTTATTTCGACTGCTCGGGCGAAATCTCGTACAACGTCTCGCAAGAGAGAAGAGAAGTCATGAAGGGAACTTCCGGGTGAATTTATTTTTTGAAAATGAAATGAATGTGAACAATATTTCCGCAGAATACGCGCACATAACACGTTGAAATGTGTATTGAAATGTATTGGGGCCATTTGGATATTTTCAAGTAAGTATTGATATCGTTTGCTGTCGACATGACGGGAATTTTTGTCGACTTCGTTGTCGAACTTGCATTTTGACTGACAAGTCGACGTTCCGACTAATGATGGCAGCCCTATTTTCAATACAAGTTCATTGACTCAAAACTCCAGAAAATTTTGCAGTTCAGTTCATATGAGAAACAACAGAGGAAATCCAAATACTACAGTATACATCTAGATTGGCGGTGCAATTTTCGCACCCTTTAGAGGTATTTGGCATGTTTGTAACTCTCATCCATACTAATTTTAGTAAATATCAATATGCAGTATTTATGAATCAATTTTAAGTCATGTTCACCTATGTACAGTAAAACCTGTCTAATCCGAATGCCACTCAGGCCAACATATTCAGATTAGCGGATGTTCACATTTCGAGTTTTTTTTAAATACACGAGCAATCACGCGGCCCTTACTTCGACCGTTAATTTGAAATTTTGACCTACTGGATGTTTGAAAATCGAGGATTACGAGTCTCATACTGCACCGTTTTTTCTTTAAACTTGTTCCATTCAAAGCATAACACAAATCCCTTTCTGATGGTACATTATTCTCTTCAACAGAGTCCCTACTTCCAGCGGCATTTTGGTCCCCAGCTGTAAGGCCTTCTTACAGCTGGGGACCAAAACGCTGCTAGAACGAGGGACTCTTTACAATAAAGTAATGCACAGACAGAAAGGCAATTTTGTTCTGCTTTTAATGGTATAAGTTTGAAGAAAAACGGTGCAGTATGAGACTCGCAATCCTTGATTTTCAAGCACCTGGTAGGTCAAAAATTCAAATTAACGGTCGAAGTTAGGACCGCGTGGCAATGGGAGGTGACAAATTCGGCACTGATAAAAGTTGAAAGGTGTTTGTATTAGAAAGGTGTTCAGATGTATAGGTTTCACTATGCTTAATTTTCATGTTTAATTTCAAGAATTTCCATCAATACACCCCAGACATATACAGGGGCACACAATGGCATAGAAAATAAAACATTGCGTGAGGATAGGATTTTTGACTTATCTTTGAACAAAAGTGGGCCGAAAATTAAAAATACCCATTTTGTGAAAGTATAGAACAAAAATCCATGCGAAAAAGGATGACCGCTCATGCAAACTATAACATGCATATTTTATTGAATGCCTTAAAGGTTGAATGTGGAGTATATAACCCAAAAGCTCAGCTAGCGTCAGAACATACATTTTGGATAAAATTCTCAACAGGAGGAAGCAAGGTAAAACACATAAACACTAAATGGATGACACAATTGTCAAATTATACAGGGTGTCATAGAGTCTCTTAACACTTTACACAGATGTTTTATTTTAATTTTGAATCAACTTTATAGACACCCTGTATAATTAATGTCATCCATTTTAAACTAGCATGTAATTGACAAAAATGATACAAATACACAAAACCCAAGATGGGTCTCAGATCTGAAAACTAAAAACCATCTACCATTTACCATTAGTGGAAAACTCATACTAAAGTAATCCCATTCAAGAATGTTCAGTTTTCGAAATAGGGTCATGCTACAAATCTAAGTTCTAATAGTGCATTATTTCCTTTACAAAGTATTATATAATCTTAAATGATCATGTACACCTTTTTTCATTTTACTCCATTTCCACACCAAATTCAGTATTTCTTTGGAATTTTAGCATTATTTCAGTCGTACAAAGGCACTTTAAAATTCGCCATAAATCACATAGTCATGATTTCTGAATATTTCAATACTAAAAATATGATACTCAGTCTGTTAAAATTTACAAAATATAATTCCTTAAAAACATTTGAATAAATAACTTATATATAATATTTTTGCCTTTTAGCATGCCCTTGTACATTTACATGATTATTAGCTAATAAACCTGAGTGAAATTCACACAAAATCGTGATTTTTATGACACAAATATTGAAATAAAATTGCAAACTGTGATGTGTGTGTTTGACCAAAGCCGATCATTTTATACATATTTACATACACTGTACATTTTATCCTTTCATCCCTCGATATCAAAATAAACATTCCCAAATTGGAACATGGATTAGTCTATTTTGTAATTCAAGGGGTGTAAGGTGGCTTTTTAATCCCAGTCAGATGAATGATTTGAGCTGACTGAAGCTGGGCGTTCTACAGGTTTTGATATGCTTTTCATCGAAGTCATGATACTATCCAAAATATTTGTCACTGCAATGTTATTTTCTATCGATTTTCCAGCACTTTTAGAATTCACTGAAACCTGTCTGCTTGCGTTTTTTTCATCCAAGGCTTTCACAGCCTCGGATCTATCACTGTCACTGTTTTTCAAACTATGATTTCTAATCGAGGCTAATAAGTTGTTCCTTGATTCATCCCTATTGGATTTAGATCTAGTGATATTCGGAGATTTAGAATCAGGGTTTGTTGTATTTCTATTATAATTTCGATTCCTAAAGCTATTGTTATATCGACTTTTAGCCGTTGAGCTTGGAGAAGTGGGCTTTGCTTTCAAAACAGCCAAGGCACTTAAAACATCATTAGAAATAACAGTTTTTGTAGGCGACATAGAGCCAGAACTAGATCCAGATTTCGTCGAGAAATTTGGAGAGGAACTTCCAGATTTTGTTGGTGAGGAATTCCCGGAATCACTACTCTCAGCGTGAACGTCAATTTTCAAATTGTTTTTAAAAGCACGAGTCAGTGATTTTACAGTCTCTGGGCTAGAATTTGGCACCTTATCACTTTTTTCATCCACTTTTGAATCAGTTCTATTTGAATCAGTGTTATTTGTCTCCTTTTCACTCTCAGAATTGTCCTGTGTCTTGGTTGTACCAGTGTTACTTGTTTCCTCTGTAGACTTTGGATCACCCGTTGTTACATTAGTTTTATCAGTTTCACAAATTGAAGTTTCACTTATTACTTTGCTTTTGTTCTCTTGTTTCACATCATTCGAAATACTCTCAGCTTTAACTGTTACAGAATTATTTGTGGTCGAGTTTGGCACCGCCTTATGTTCAATTTGATTGACATCTACTTTTGGTGCAATGTTTTTCTCGTTAGACTTAGCCATATAAGGGCCTGGTTTGGGAGCCGTCACCACATATGTACTCGTTTTGTGTTCGATTTTCAACACAGGAGACACCTTCCTAATGTCTTTCTGATTGGAAGGGGAAATGGCTGCAGGTTTATCAGATATTGTTGATTGTTGTTTAACGGGAATATTGGATTTCGATTCGTGAAGTTTGATCACCTTTGGTTTCATATCTACAATAAGTACTTTGTCCTCTTTTGGCGATACTTGGACATCGGCTTTAATTGGACATGTCAATTCAGGTCCCTGTTTGATCGTTGAGTGTTCTTCCTTTTGTATTACAGACTCAGGAGTTGTTGAAGGTGATTGGTCCTTTGTCCTTAAAGGGAGCATACTCCTTTTAGGAGATATTCTTAGCGGTTGCGTAGTTTTAGCTTTGGGGACCACAAATTCAAGTTCAGGGGTTCTTTCTTGAGAGAAGCGATTTTCATTAGTAAAGTTCACTTTGGGGGATACAGTTTTTGAATCATGGGTTCCCCCTAGAGTAAATATGTTCCCCTCTGCTTTGGGGGCTACCACTTCTGGTTCAGGAGACAATTTAGGGGTACTAGACACTGGACGTGGAATGGCACTGTTTTGTTGCTTTTTCTGTTTAAGTCGTTCTTTAGATGCTTGGATAATTGCGAAAGGGTCTTTCTTCTCGACAGGTGGCTTCACTTGGTTGTTGGCCCCTAGCTTAGGGTATGCATAGGACAAATTAGAATTTGAACCATCTTCTCCTTTTGCTGAAGGCACACTCTGATTTGAGTAGTTTGAGCTTTTGGAACTTGAACTTGAGAGTGAGGCTGTCGATCCTGCTGGTGAGCTTGGATTAGCCATCGTTAGGAATCCATTTTTAAGGACCAAAACTCCTCCAGAATTGGAATTTGAACTATTACTATTGTCACCAATAGGTGGTGCATTAAGGTTAGTTGTCACTCCTGAAAACGAACCGCTGCTGGCATATGGCGCCATCTGTTGGGCCAAATTACGGGGTTTGGCATAAATATGCTCAAATTTAGCGTGACTGGCAAGACTGTTAGGCATCTCTAGCTTTGGTATATCAGGAATAGGTTCCATCGGGCTCTCCAGTGGGGTATCACTAGCCTCTGAGGACAACTCCCTTGTTCTTGGCTTCACAGTAAGTGAGTGTCGGTACTTATCAGGAAGAACTGGCGGAATCGGGCTTGAATCTCCGTTACTCAATAAATTCATGATATTGGGTTTGGAGGCCTGTCCTACAGGGCTTTTATGAATTATTGGTTGAGTGACGTGCGATTCTGCTTGATTAGAGTTATTGTCTTTGAGGCCAGTAAATATAAAGGGTTTATTTTCTGGTATTGTTGTCATACCAAATGGGAACACATCAGGAGTTGTCGGAGACTTGAAAGTATTCTTAAATGGTATTGCGGTCCTTTCTGGCATGTTTTTATCAGGCGTAACTGGAGTTGGGAGCAATTTTGGCTGCTTTGGGTCCTCAGAGTCGAACATGTTCACAATAGGGGCAAAATTCAGTGTCCTTGGGGGTCTAGATTTGTGCTGCTTAGAAGGGTTCTTCAAGATACTTGGATAGGTTGCTTTAGCTTGCGGGGGTGATCTTGGCCATGAGTTGGAATTAAACTCGAAATCAGTTGGTTCGATTTGTCCACCAGGCATCGACATTCCCCTGTTGAAATTGGGCGTTGGTTTGGATATGTGGTGTATCTGTGCAACAGTTTCCATATTTGATCCGAGGAATGGCCTTTTCGCTGGGCTATCATTCGGGGAGAAGTTCCTGGGGAGGGATGATCCATTGAAACCCATGGGGACATTTGGATTATATTGTGAGTAATGTAAATAGGGGTCATATTTTGTGTACTGTGGCTCAAAAGATGAATGTCTGGCTAGCATGGCACGTTTTCTCTGTAAAGTCTCATCTGACAATTGTCTCTTCATAGGGCCACATTCTGAATAATTCGCATTATCAAATGATTTGGATTTCGGGACACCGGCTGCTTTTGTAGGTGTAGATGTGAAGTAATCCAAACCAGATTTCAAAAGGAATGCATAGGGGCTATCAGCATTTATTGTCTTTTGAAGGGGTCTTCTATGTGGCCGTTGCTCATTTTCCTTTTTCTTTTTCAATGACCCTGTATCAAAGGAGATTGACTTGGTCATTGTTTGGCTCGCGGTTGGTAATGATGATGTTGAGCTACTTAAAGGAGGTCCATTGAATGTATGGGATCTGGTTAGTTTTTCAACAGGACCAATAGGTAGGTTATTCTTACTGTTTACCGTTTCTGTTGACCCTGGTTCAGATGGCATAAATGAACCATTCGAACCCGTAAGTGTTCCAAAGGAGTCTGTCGAATTCAGCGTTAATCCTTGTATATCTGATAGACCCAATGTCTGATCATTTTGGGTGTCATCATAATTAAATGTATGTGATTTCTTAAGGCTTCCATATCGATTCGTACTTGAGAGCGATCCATTTGGGGAGGTATAGGTGGTGCTGCTAATGCGCGATAATTCTAAAGTCCTTTCACTGGGGTCACGGGTCATGGCATTCGTCATTGTTATACTGTCACTAGAATTAGTGAATGCACTGAATGCCTTCGTGTGTGGCGTATAATCGGATTTAAGATATTCCTCATCTTCGCTCATAATTGGACTCACGGAACATAACGAATACATTGTCGAATCCATTGTAGTTTTGGAATGTAGCCTAGAGTTCAACTCCACGTCAGAGTCCGATTCCAACGTTGAAACATTGGACAGCGTGCTGAATTCTATTGATTTATTCATTGTACTGTTTCTAAATACCCCGCTAAAACTACGCTCTGATTTACTCGAGCTGTTCAAACTTGAACTCGATTTGGTTTTATCGTGCATGATTTTATCAAAGAGAATCGTCATTTCAGAGGTGAGACTGAGTTCCGAGTTGCTCAGCGTGGACAGCCTGGGAGGAGGAGGGGGAGGTATTTTATGAGACTTGGCCCCTTTCTTTTCAATTTTCTTCACTTTTTGAACTGCTAAGTTCTGAGGTTTTGTCCTTATTGCCACGCTTTCAATTTTTGGTGGCTCTACTTTCTTGGAACGAAGCACTACACTGTTAACCGACGAGGATGTACTTGGGGTACTACTTTCCATTGATAGATTAAAATCCTTAACTTGGTTTTTCAATACCCCTTTTGAATTTTTTGGTATGATGGCTGATTTCACTGCCAAACGTTTGCTCAAGCCACTATCTGTGTGCATTGATGTATAAAATCCTTCCATGTCGCAGGAGTGCACGGAAGACACTTCATCGTCATTTCTCGATTTAGTCCGATAAAAATATTTCTGCGTCCCAATATTCTGTTGTTCATCATACGCCAATAGATTCTCCTGACTTAACACAGCTTTTAATCCAGGGAGTTTCTCCAGCGATTTTGAACGAGATTTCGATCTTGAGCGACCATCTCGTTCTAAGCTCTTTAACCAAGCCTCGGTGCTCATTTTTGTGAAACTTTTACGAACTGTTGGACCACGTTGTAAACTATTCCCACCATCTTGGATCGTACTGGCATCTTCGTCATCTCCAACTAAAGTACTGTCATCTTCTATAGGTGTCTCTGCAATACAGCTGGTAGTTTCACTTGAGGGAAACCTGAAAAGTAATAGGATATTTTAAGTATTGGTAACTGCTCATGTTATTTATATTATTATATTATATCATTACATATTGGTCATCCCAAACAATATCATAAATATACAGAAATTAACCTACATTTTTGAAAATAAATTTTATATCATATTAAGTTTCCGTATAATGAATATTGAATAAGAATGACTCAAATGAAATAAGTTTTGATAATATCCATTTTGATCAAAATAGTTTTCAAGTTATAATACTGACAAAAAATATTGTTAAATCACTTCAGGAGCACCTTAAAGATATTTTTTGACCATTCAAAGTGAGTTAACAAATAATGCAACATTAAAAACTTTAAACTTTGTATCAAAAATACCTGTATTATAAGCATTCAGTAAAATCTAAGTGCTGACTCATATACAGCTACTAGCAACTGAAGTATCTAATATACATAGGCCTTGATTTAAGTATTTATGGTATACAGTAAGACCTGTCTAATATGAATGTGACTGGGACAAGCCAAAAGTGTTTGAATTAGTATATTTTCAAATTCAAAGTTTTTTACATAGTAGTCAATCGGAGATTACAAAATTTGGACATTGAAAAGGTGGTCACATTGTCAGGTGTTCAGATTATTAAGAGGTGTTCACATTTGGGATATACAGGTTTAACTGTATATTTGTAATTTAAAAGCCTTTTACACACAGTCATATATTTGCAAGTGGTATATTCATCTTATTTAAAAAACTTCAGGGGCTTTTAAACATCTAAAGTTAATATGACCTTATACTGGCTTCTATCAATTCTAGTGAAAGAGATGAAAAGTAGTTGCCATAATTGCCATTTTGGTCGAACGATTCTAAAAACCATTTGCAAATACACAGAAATACTCTATTCAATCAAGGTGCTAAAGAAAGATAAATGGATCTCAATTTTGTTTTCAATTTCACGATAAAATTGCATTCGCTCTCAAACATTTTAAGGAGTAGCTATTTTTGTCAGAATTCTCAAGATAAGTAGCAAACTTCATTCACGATGGCTTATTTATCTTACAACTACTTTCAAATGTTATTTTCATTTCAATGGTAGTCCAAAGTTGATACTTTTCTAAACCAAGAATTTATGGAATTTTAAATGCTTTGTTTGCTTTCTTGTTTAATTCTTTTGTTTGTTTGTTTGGTTTACATTCAAGCATTGTCCCAAAAATGAACATCTCTCTGCATCTGAGAACAAGTAAACATTATCCTTTGAGTTTCTTTGGAATAAATAGAAATTATGATATCTGGATATAAAGTCATGAGAAAAGTACAATTTTTCGACTAGTTTTAGTCAGAAAGAAGACTGAAAATTGTGTTACCAGTTCAGAAAAAATTTTGGAGAACAAAGAAAGTTATACTTTTGCCTAACAAGTATCTGACTCTTTCCTGAGAATGGTAATCTGAGATGCTCAAATATTTCACATATAATTGGACTGAAAAATTATGATGTTTCAGCCTACATGTATGGGTGGTCCTTTAGATTGAATAGCTCTGTTAATAAGAATGATAGTGGTGAGGGGGGGGGGTAGGAGACATTTGGGGGGACTGATGGAAACATGAGCATGGTTCAAATTTAGACTACCAACCTGTCTTCTGTGGGAGGAGGTGACGGGTATGTGCTCAAAGACACCGCAGAGTCTTTATCAAATGACGACTGGGACTGTGTATGTTTTGGCGATGTAGTTGTGCTGTTACTGTGTGTGGACTGTGTCCAATCTGACTCCATTGAATGCCTGGCACTCGTACTGAGACTCCAATTTCCTGAAAAATGAACCACAAAATGCAATAAGATTTACAATCATTATGTTTGATTTTTGTTTTTTATATACATGTATATATATTTATTTATTTCAATAATTTATGTACATGCAAAACTTCAGATTTATAATATTATTTTTTGCATATATTATGGAAACACAAACAAGGCTTGCATCCCTTCCTCCCCCACCCCTTCATTTTAATTCCCCTTTTAGACGGATTAGTGTGAGATGAAGCCTGGATCTATGATCTTAAAAATGAACATATTTTGTGATGCAAAGAGCTGTCAAAATTTGGCACATTGAGAAAGGAAAATACACCAATTAAAATATTTATATCAATTTGAAATTCCATTGATGGTTCAAAGCGTCATGAACATTTGAAAACACTAATTGATTTGAAGTACAGATGTCCCGATTGTGCCGTTGTTCAATAAAAAACATTCAAATCATACATGCTGATATCTACATGGATGCACATTTAAAATATCCAGACAGGTAAACTAGTTTTTTCCGCACCAAATGCACAAAAGAAAGATGCGAATTCAATTGGACATTTATCATTTTACCACACGCACACACACACTCAGACAGACACCACCTTTGAATTTTCTCATCGCATTATTTCAAAATGTTGCAGACAAATTAGACCTTATGACATGTTCTTTTTATCTGAATTTCTGCATTAAATAAGCTGACATCAAGCTGAGTCAATGTAGATGTCACATTAATTCACAACTAAAAGCTACAAATCCATGAAGACATAATTTCCTGAAGAAGATTGGTTTTTAGACTTGAAAGAAAACGTCTAAATATAAGCATGAATTCTCATGCTTCGAACAGAGAGCCCAGACATTATCCACTTAGTTCTTTCCGTTTACAAAAATATCTAAGTAGATGATATCTGAAACATTGCCTTTAGTGAATTCTCAAATGTCAATGTTATAAAAATCCAGAAATTATCTTCTTGCTCTCTTTAGAATAAAATTGTTATTTGCAGAAGTCACATTGGTCTGTTTAGAGTGGATGACACCAAAATGATAGATTCTCAGTTATGACAATATAAAAAGATAACTTCTCAATATTTACCATCAGGACTTTAGCCAAAATCAGTTTTTCATTTATTTTAGGCAATTTCAGTCAAAACATTGACATATAGGTATTTACCTGACGATGACTGTCGTTCATCTTTGCTCAGTTTTCCTGTACTCTCTCGTAGTTTCACTGTTGTATTACCCACTGTTGCGTACCTTGGCTCCTCGTGGCTATTGGGCAATTTAACCTGACTGTATTTAGAGACTTCCTGTCGAGCCATCAAATTATTATGCTCGTTAATCTTACGCTGTTTCTCAATGTCATAATTTTTACTTTTCGGTTTAACGACAGACATGGATTTTGAACGTCTCATTGATTGCCGAACAGAGGAAACTAAATTACTCAATGAGAATTTATGACTTTCTCGTGGTTTTTCCCGAATGATGATTGGCTCTCGTGTAGAAGTTGATGATGTTAAGGATCGGGGTAAGGATTCTGATCGCTTCACACTTTGGTTTTTCGACTTTGAGTCTTTTATCTTGATGTCTTTCTTACTACCGAACATCTTAATGTCTTTTTTACTACCGAACCATGACCATTTTTTCTTCTTTTTGTCCTCAGATTTGGACGATGTGTTTAGTGTTTCTGAGCTGCCGTAATCCAATGATTCAATTTCTAACGTCCTACTACGGTGTCTTCGATCAGATGAGCTCCGCAGTGAATGAGCGCTTGTTGATCTTGGAGCAGTATTCTCCACACGGGTCAGATCACAAGAAACCGCATTTGGTATCTCGGAGATTGTTCGACGGCGATTACGTTTCCTTCGCCGCCTTTCTGTGTCCTCATCCAGATATTCCACACTTTTTAATGACGTCCTATATGAACACATCCTAGTGAATCCTGACCCAGTGACATCTATAGGGACGAGATTACTCGGCTGTGATTTCGACATCTCTCGAATTTGTTCCTCAGGGGTTGGCAATGGAATATTGTCTGTATTTGCACATTTATCGATTTCATCTAAGAAATCCGCAGAATGAGGTCTCCGTTCTATTGTTAGTACCTTCGACGGCTCACGGTCATAAGAGCAGTATAGAAATGGCTGAAAAATAAAAAAAAATCCAATTAAGCTCAGGGTTTACAATAAAACAAAGTATTGATCATATATGTAATTGTAAACATACATTGTCAAGCCCTTTAGCAAAAAGTGATTATCGTCCTGATCTGACTACACAACACTGACAATTTTACTGATAATGTTATATATTATGTGTATGCAGATATTGCCTGCTAGGCTATTGCATGTATCAACCTATACTGGGGATAGTATCCAATTGACAACTATCCTGACAAAATGAAGTCAATTTTGTTAGGAGAGATGGCATATGAAATAAATGAGTAATAAAATCTGATTGAAATTCAAATGATTTGCAAAGCAACACTGTCTATTTTAATGTATATTATGTAGACAAATGGGGGTGAAACCGTAACGAAATTAAGTAAATTTTTTGTTCAACAATTGTCAACATTTGGACACCACCCCTAACTAAATTGATTCTTTTAGTTTTTAATATAAAATAAAAAATGCAATATAGGTTTTTGTGAATGTAATTCATGCATTCTGAAACACCTGCAACTAACCTTGAGTTCTGAAAACAAGAAAATTAATTGGTATTCAACATTAACCCCAGGCTACCAAATCTCAAAATGTCCGTCTGCTCATGCATTTTTGCCTATTTCTCTCTAAAATTTGAATGAAGTGTCTGATTTTTTTGCATTTCTGTACAATTTAGAGTGTGTACTACATGCCCGTTTATTTAATTCCTTGCTAAATCCATTCTTTTCAAATACATTTTACATTTCAAATTATGACACACGCCCAAGGCTAGACATGCAATACATACATATACATAAGTAACGATCTAACACATTTCACAAAATGACTTGTGAAAATATAGTACATAAATGTGACGGTGCACACATGCTATTTTGTAAGTAAAAATCATGCACTTTAGTAATTACCATCATTCCCACCATTTTGATGTTCTGCATTCTCATATTTATATCACATGATACAAATTTTTCTCATGAAAAAAGTATGTATTCCAATTGTAAAAAACATTGTACAGTTTTCACTAGTATATAAAAAATTATTTCAAACGAACTTTGAGTCTATCTATTCTCAGATCTCATCCCGGATACAAGCAATTCTAACTCTATGTCTAAATCAAGCAGTTAATTCAAAAACTATGACAAGATTTCCCGCTAATTTCCATTTCCCGCAAAAAATGTTCTATAATTCATTGTTAGACTAATTCAACCTCTGACACTGATTGTTATAGACCTATTTTATGTTATGGGGCTACCCTCCCAAATATAAACCACAATTATTTTATTCTTGTCCTACTAAAAACATGAAAAATCATAAAATATTTTTGAAGAATACGATATTACTCAACTAAAATCAAATTATTCCTCATATATGTTATATTACTATTAGATTATCCAAAAATACAAAATGAAATGTTCAGAATTCGATAAATTATACGGGGGTTGAACAACCTCTGATATAATTGTTAATGAACTTTTCCTGTTATGTTTCTTTTCATTGAATGGTTATAAATGACAATCGCAGATGTATTTTAATGCTGTAAGATAATGTTACAATAACGCGAAAAAGACGTGACAAAAATACCAAACGATAATTACTCATATTTGACATTTCCTGGACTTAAACTGAATTTCAAATATGATTGAATAATTTGTTTATTAAACAATGAGTAATAGTGATAATATTTTAAAAGTTTTATCAATTTATCAAGTGGGTTGAGATACAGATTACAATGTTTTCAATTTCCCACATCTATATTCAAAAGAATTCTTTGTTCTTTAATTAAATAAATAAAATATAAAAGTTAGTAGTAAAAGTTATAAGGATTTGGGGACACAAAAAGACACAGGTACTGGTCAAGAAGAAGAATAAAAATACAATATCCTACTCCCAAAACCAATAAAATATCAAAACATACATTCTGGGTGGAATTTACATAAACAAACACTGAACAATATAACATTATACATAATACAGGGTGTCCTCTAGATAGGAAGTCAGCATCACCCTGTATTGTAAGTATTGTTACTAGACCTATCCCATAATCTATAAAAAAAATCAAAGCACATGCCATAACCAAAGTACATAACTAAATCCAACAGTGCATCCCATAATGCAACAGTGTACCCATAATGCAATTTTACCTTTAATCGTCTACGCTTTGACAGTGCAAATGAATGATGCTAAAATGAACATGAAAGAAAGAAATTAGTTGATTTCTCACAATAAAATATTCATTTTCTCACGATAAAATATTGTTTGCATAAATAACATTGTTCTATCCTTTGTGTTAATAAAAGCAATTATATCGAATATCTCATTTATAAATATACATTTTTTGAACTTGGAGAGATAATAACCAAAATTATGGCAAATAATTAGATGATAATTATACATTTTTGTAATTTGAAATTACTAATTAGTGATGAATGAAACCAGAACATGGGATTATCTTTATAGAGAAGTCTTACACTCAAGTCAAGGCCTTCAGTTTAACTCCCTGCAATTTGTTTGAGAATAGAGAGGGGGCATACAAGCTTACCAACAAAAATAGGTACATTGAGTTACCTCTCAATAGAGACTATGCCCTGACCCATTTATTGCCACCCATCCCATACAATTTCTCCAATTCAGTCACTTGGTTTAAGAAAAGAGTAGAAGAAATCACCTTTGAAAATGGTTGTTCAATATTAATCTAAGCCCTTGTGTTACCCTTTGTCCTACCCCTCCCCCTCCCTCAAAAAAAGAAGAGAAAACACAATCCGATCTAGTAATACAACACTTTTTGCAAATCGATAGATACGGGTAGATTTCAAACTCTCTCCATTTTGTAATTGCAAGTTATAAAACCTTCGCAATCTGTGGGTTTGTTCAATTACACCAATTAAACTAGCTTGCGCTCCATATAATAGCGCTTCATTTCCTCTCGGCTCTTGTCGTTTGAGAGATGTTTTATGATCTGACCATGTGTTCAATTACAGTTATGGCAATTGTAAATCCAATGCCATTGTTTCCTATAAATTATTAAATGTAGCCTTATGTTTGTTTGTATTCAACTGTTTATAAATCTAATTTCTTTGTATGTTAGTTTGTTTGTTTGTTTGCTTGTTTGTTTGGTTCTTGAATCACCTTTTGTTTGTCTCCTAAAGGAGTAGGAGTCATGTACTCAATTGTCTCCCACAGGAGTCATTTCCCATTTGTTATAATGAAGAGAACTATGTTCCAACTGCTATACCCAAGTATATGAAATCAGTTGTTGGTGCTACTGAAGCTACTAAAGTATCTACCTATATATCTCATTGTCAATTCATGAGTCTTGCAACGAACCCCAATGAACCCCATCCTTGTAACAAATACTTCTACAATCGCTCACATTCTCCATTTACAGGGGTCAAGCAATTATCCACTTTGGTCCTTCTTTTGGGAATGACACAATCTTGGGAGGATAATTTAGAAAGAGAGAGAGGTAAAAACTTGATGCACATAGTTTTATATGTCCAATGATCATATGTTCTACTCTACTGTACAAATACATACCCCACTCCTGTAAAAATTAGCTCCGTACGAGCGCATCCGAGGATCATGCTTCTTTTTACCCGTAATGACTCGTAATTCTCGGACGAGCTCGTACGGGACCTGATGTAATATGAAGAGACTTGATGCTCAACAACCTTTGTATTTTTATATGTCCAATGACCATATATTCCACTCTGCTATACAAATACAACATTTTATTTGTTTTTTGTATGTCCAATTACCATATACTGTACAAATACATACCCCACTCCTGTATATATTTTGAAGAGTACTTATGAGTCTATTTTATTTACTGATGTCTCTTACTGAGCTGGTACCAAGTTTGACCAGTCCCTGACCCGACACAAACATAAAATCACTCAAAATCAAATCATTTTACAGTTGCTTTCAACTCAGTGTTTGTATATCATATCTGCCATGAACTGCTCAATGAAATGTTATTAAACATAGTTTTTAATATTATTGCAGTCAAGTCAAATAGGCTCTTATGGTTTTCAATAGCCATTGACCCATTATCTCCCTTTATAGGCTACCTAGAGCTAGAGGATTCCCAACCTTTCATGAGGGGTACGGACCATTTTTGGGATCAAGTTTTTGAGATCCAAACTATTTACCTTTGACCAAATATTTTCCCAAGACATTTTCTTTGAGAAAACTTGAGGACTGAATTAATTATTCAACTCTAGTTATTCAAATCCTTTTTTGTGTTCAACTCCCACGAGATTGAATTGAATTATTGGATTAAAGCTCTGTAAACACCATAACCAGGTGCTTCAAGAGAACCCCAGTATTTACTATGACATAAAAAGCAGATAAAAATAATGTTAAGAGAGATTTGATATGACAGAGAACCCTTTGATGCTTAATAAAGCTTTTTTACGGGAAAGTGTATGGTCAAATCTCAAATAAACACAAAAGAAATATGACTTGAGTGTTCTCCTGATTACCCTGTTCAAGAAATTGACTTTGTCTCCCCTCTTTATAAACAATTGATTAGTTGATCTAACCAATATCCAATCAGACTATCAGTATAAGCCAGAAAATCATGACATTGTATGATGTAATACCAATAGCTAAAAATCATACTTCAACATCATATTTCAACTCCAATTATAATAATCACCATGGCTGTGTTTGAGATCAGAGCTGTAATATCATATCTCGGAAGGAGAAGTATTCAGAGGTTATCCTTATGATATCTTCCCTCTGGATATTCCCTATATTACACCCCCTCAACAGCACTTGGTATGACCATTATACGTATGAATCAATACAGGACATCAATCCATGACATATCAACACAAATCAAACTAGAACAATAGACTTTAGAGTTGAATTAATTAGTGACCATTAGTAAGGACATGTTTAATCAATGTTATCGCTAACGCCAATTCAGAGTATAGCCTGTGTTAAGGCCTGGTCATTTTCTCTTTTTTAGTCAAACATTCTTAATTTCTGAAATTAACTCTAAGCTCCGACGTCTTAATATTTTTAAATCTAAAAATCTCAAAACATGACATTTACAATTTAGGCTTATTGAGAAAAGAGAAGCCTTCTCTCAGGGCCATAAAATACCATTTTATCTCAAATGGTCCTTTAATTTCATTAATGCTAATTAAAAAACAGGCAATGGATTGTACAGTGTTGGGAAAGTCAATATTCGTATCTCTGTTCCGAAATGACCATTTGTCAATCAATAGTAACACGCCATTGTTATTTTACGTTATTGTTCTTTTGGAAATTAATATGTAGGTCAAGTAAAGTTCACAAATCAATGATACCAGAGAATATGTATATTTTCGTTCTTTCTCAAACTGTGGTGTTAGATTGATTGGTAATGTAGATTCATTTAAGATTGCTTGAATTTCGAAAAATTTGACTTGATAATGTAAACCTAGCGGATTTTAAATATCAATGCTTTTTGTAGTTATGCCTTTGGTTTGCCTTTTTTATGTGACCATTTACTTGTTTGTATGCTCATTTACTTGTTTGTATGTTCATTTACTTGTTTGTATGTTTATTTACTTGTTTGTATGTTCATTTATTTGTTTGTATATTTATTTGCTTGCTTGCTTCATTATTTGATATGGCCATAGAACACAAAAAAACGTCATCATCATTTATCATATTGGCTCCCAAAGGAGTCTCATGAATGTCTCCTAAAGGAGAAGGATCAACTCTCTTTCATACCTTATCAGTGTGCTCCCTCTTAAGATTCATTCTGCTTCAAGAATAATCCCTGTCATATATAATGACAATCCTGGACAAATAACACTTATATTCTAATTAAAATCCAATTAAGGTTCCAGACTGTATGTTGTATCAATAAAGCCATAAATTTGAATATGTGATATTCTGAAATGCTTGAGATACAGTCATCCTGATGCATGCCCATCCATGGTATATTATAACAATCCTGGACAAATAACACTTATATTCTAATTAAAACCCAATTAGGGGCCAGTACATGTTCTCTATATCCGTTAATGAATGATGAATATGTGACAATTTTCTTTATCACAAAATAGGTGTAATTAATGTGAATATTCATTTATTCCTGATGTACTGTATCACATATCCTCTTATAATTGTATAACCGATTGTTTTTTATCCTAGGATGGTTATTGAACTTGTATATCCGGTTTATTTCTAATATACCATATATCCTTTAATTAATGATGTATATCCTACGCTATTCTCTTATTGTTTTAACCTGAACTGTTCTCTATAATCTCTATGTACAGCCTTCTTCAATTCAAGGCTGGCAAATGAGATATAAAATCGTATTTTCCCATTAGTATGCAGTACACGCAATGACGTGTTCTTTGTTTTTCACTGTCACATCAAATTAATTGCTTATGTGTATGTTTCGACAGACAATTACTAATTGCTAATGTTTTATGTTATATAACACATGGACAGGTCATCATTACAATAATTGTAAATCATAATAAGTATAACAGGACATTTTTCATTTTTGCACAAGCTGTTAAGCTTGACGATTAATTTCAAATGTTACACGTGTATATATGGTTTGTTATCTGGGATATAGGAATTAAACCTTATAGAAAATTTCAAGTTTTTTCATTTATCTCAAAATAAACAAATTTGACTCTCAGAGTCTCAATAATTGGTATACAATTACTGATAACTCATTGAGTGCTTAAAAATGTTGCAAAAAGTAAAAATCTAAAACATCCCATGAATTTAAGTTCACACCACACACCTTGTTATTAAGGTATGCTACAGCTATATCAAGATATATTTCAAATTAATGACAAGACCATTGATTTTTCACAATATACCATGTGAATATGATAGTATGGTTATTGTTAATAGACTGGTTGATTAATTGGCTTATATTGTGACTTGTGAGTTCTAATGCTATAAAGTGGACTGTTTCCTTTATTAAATGGTCAGAAATGAAATAGAAGTTGTTTTCACATTTAGAAGATTGTAATTTTGTGCATCAACATCCTGCCTTTAATAACATTTAAAAATTTTTTATGTTATATGAATAACATAAATATAGATTAGGCTATTCTTGATTTGATTTTATAATCGAGAAATGATGTTGGATTTGGAGATAATTTGATGTTTTGTATCTTTCTAGGTGAGGCCACTATTGTTTCTCAATTCATCTACCCCATTTTTTCAATCTGATGTCAATTTTATTTTCGTATCCCAAATGCCAATCCCATTCTCTCCATCCTATGTTAAGCCCCCTTTTAGTACCAACTCCCGACCATTACCTCTTTACCTCCTAGTATTAATTTGATCCATAAATCCCATCAACGTGTATCCCCTTTTCTCCTGTAGGAAAAGCCTATCTCCCAAATTCCTTTTTCTGGCCACGTGGAATCAAATGACCCATTGACATATTTCATATATCTGAGCCAACAAGATGTCACACATTTACAGTTTTGTGACTCTTGTAACTACATCCTAATCACCTAATCACATGTATGTCAATTATGATCCTAATTCTACAAAAAAGTCTCTCATATTTCTCTCCTTTCATCCCTATTTTGCATTATTTCTCTCTAAAATTTGAATGAACTACCTGATTTTCTTCCATTTCTATACAATTTAGAATGTTTACTTCACATATAGACATCCTATTTCTTGTAAATTCCATGCTTTTCCATTGTATTTTGAATTTCAAAACATGACAGATTTTCATGACAGGGTCAGCTCATGATTCGAATGATTAGCAAAACATTTGAGCCCACATAATGAGTTGACCAGTTGGTCAAAAGATACCAAATGACCTCAATTTTATTTTCTAACCCCAATTACTTGACTAAATATTAATTTATAGCACTGAATAGTTGGGGAATGTACATAAAATCCACTGTGTGGAAAGTAATTAGTGGATAAAAATTGGATGGTCACTTCAAATATTTGGAATTTGAATTTGAAGTCTGTCGGTTTATAAAATCATTTCTAATTAAATAGTGAAATAAATAAAAATGTTGTAAATTATTACTGAAATGTATCTGTGCAATATTTATTTGTGATGAAAAATAATGGATTTTGCTCAAGATTTTGAAATTCACAAATTGACACCAAATATAAAAAATACCTACCCTTTTTGGTATAAAATCAATCTCTGGACATCTGAAGGGTTCTTCGGCAACGACGGGTGTTCTGGAGAATATCCGTGACCCAGTATAGCCATCATGTCTGAATTGGTTACAACTGAAAATATAAAACAAATAATTAAGTCTGGGTATGATGTGGGCTGATGTGGGATTGCTTCATAGGTATAATATATGAAATTAGACAGTTAAAATGGAACATCTAATTAAAAAGATTTCGGAAAATGTATGTCTTTTTGATGGGTATTTTTACAATTTTGTGCAGAAATAGTCCTAGAAACCAAAGGCAAAACAAAAGGCTTATTTTCACAATTTCGTCGAAGATGGCAACTGAGTATTCCAGCCTACTTCCAATAAGTTGGGAGGGGGGGGGAATTCTTGTAATCCACTTTTTGGGAAGTGGCTCCTGGATTAGTATTGCCCATAAGAGACAAAACCCCCCCTGGCAAAAATTACTTTCAAAATCATGCAGTTTTTCACCATTCTGTTTTATGAGTGATTTTTGGCCAAATTTGCCAAAGTGAACTCCCCCCTAGAATTTTTTGGAAAAGTGAACCCCCCCTTGGAAAATTCTGGCTACATGCCTGACCGTATACATGTAGTTAAAACATCAAAGTAAGTCCATACTCCAAACCATTAGACAAGATTGGCATATCCCATGTCAAGATTACATCCCAATTAATGTCAGTTGTAAGTAACCTTATAAACAGTTGTAAGTAATCTTATAAATAGTGCTTAAAACAATACTATGAGCTTTTTGCATGCTTCCAAACTGTTGAAGCTCAGATTCTACCAGGAAACATATTTATCAACTTGGGGCTGCTTTATATGATCCTTGGTCCAGGTGTATTTCAATGCTTTCTATAGCTGCTATAGCAGTGGAGCTGATCTTGAAAGATGGCTCTATACTCATATACTGCTACCCTGTGTGTCAGAGTCTAGTATATTACTATTGTATTACTATTGTAATGGGTAATATATTGCTATGGTAACCCTTTGGTACTGATTTGGTATCAAAAAGGAGCTTAGTCTACACTCTTATACAAAATGCTTTGATCTCGTTATACCTAATCAGATTTTCTATAGCTGTTTTTACCAAAATTGTCTGTTGATTTGAGGACTTTTGCCTGTGTTTTCATAAGTTTGCCTGTTGTCATAAATCCCAGTGCAACACCTACAGAACTATTTACTTTCCAATGGTATATTTCAGTATTAAGTTTGATATAACACAAATGCACCATCATATCTGTCTCTGAGAATGCAACCACATTAAACCTACACAGTAGCATATGTTCTGTTGACATATGGCACAATGTCTCAAGTAAAATGTTATTACAAGTGCTAATCAAATAAAGCCAAGGTTTCATGGTCAGATGATAACTACATATCTAATTTCTAACCTCTACAGTGAAGCATGTGCTACTGACAGGGCTAATAACATACAGTAAAACATATATATCAGAACATCTCTCTTATCTGGACACCTCTCAATGTGAACACTTTTTCATGGTTACATTTTGTTACCACGCTGATTTACATATCAAGAAACCTTGAAATGTGAACACCTCTCTTATCTGAACACCTCTCAATGTGAAAACTTTTTCATGGTTACATTATGCTACCACCCTGATTCACATATTTAAAAACCTTGAAGTGTGAACACCTGCTTAGCTAAACACTTTTGACCAGTCCTAGTAGAGCTCAGATTATACAGGTTTTACTGTACTCACTTTTGCACAAGATCCCATCCTTGGAGGGCTCTTAGATCAATTACAATTTGAAATGAACAAAACAGAATTCACCCTTTGAGAGATCTTGAACTTGTACATACTCTTCAATTCAGAAATATTTCCTAGATCTAGCCTCTAGCCTTCATATCTTTTCTACTGTATTTTATATTTCAAAACATGACCTCCATAACTTCATTTGATGGGGGGGGGGGAATCTATAAACATCTGCCTCTCCCCTTGAAAAAAACATAAGATATATATAACATTAGGCTAATCGTGCTTCATGTTGGTATAAAGTCCAAAAGAATTCATTATTCGCTTAACAATGTCAGATTTATCAAGATAATGAATACAAATATAACGGATCCAAAAATAAGGTACAGTAAAACATATTTAATGATTAAGTGTCCCATACTCCCATACAGAACATTGTAGACAGTTTCCAATAAAATACCGCTCTCTGACATCCTTGGTCCAAGCCAATTTCACAATTTCCAAGCCAATCTCTTGACACCTAAGCCAACTTTTGTCGCTCAATGAATTTTTGTTCTCAGAGACATATCTACTGCATTATTATATCTAACATAAGCTCAACTACATGTTTTTCTCACATATGTATTACAAGCCCCTGGAGGGTTATAATAGTGTAAACTGTTACATTCTAACAAAATGAAATGATAAAAACACTTTCATTCTGTCATACCAAAAAAATGAAAATTAGATCATCAATAGATGCTTGATTGGTATTTTACTTAGAATTAGTTAAAACCTGAGAGGTAAAATCAGTGATATTTACTTACCTCAACTTCTACATGTTTAGCCATTCACTCCACTTCAATCAAAATGAAACTATTAAAACTTAGTTATAACCTCACCTGACCAGGCTCTCATGGATCAAGTAGCTATCAGACACCATCCAATAAAACATACACCCATTAAAAACAAAATCAACTTTTATATCCTGTCATACTTCAAATTTGAAATTGGACTTACCCCTTTAAACTTAAGTTTTTAGCTTTTCCCCCTTCAAATGCAAAATTAAATAATCCCTTTAGATTGAGTTAAATAGGTTTATTCCTACTTAAAATGTGAACTTGAACTCACAATTGTCCTGATTAAAATTCAAAACTCAAATTACTCCTTTAAACTTAATTTGAAAGGGGCTAAACCCTTGAAACTCTAGTTTTTGACTGTCCTACTTAAAATACAAAATTGAACTAAATCCCTTTAAACCAAAGTTGTTGGCTTTCTTTGAATGCAAAATTGAACCAAACCCTTTAAATTTTGAACTTTACCCTATAAACTTAAGTTTTTGGATTAAAATGCAAAATTTAACTAAATACCTTAAGTTTTCTTATCAAAATAAAAAAATTAAACTTACCCCAGCAACATGCAGGCAAGTTGTGGTAAGTCTGTTTTGCAACTTCAATATACTGTTCAACTTCTGGTTCAATTACAATATAGTGTATACTACCTAACACAGACTAACAAACAGATAAAATTCCTAAACAATTGCCTCGAAGATGTAAAAAACACTACTCCTTCATCAGTTACGTAATAAACAGTTATACTTGAAGATAAAACCTGGAGGGTTGCCATGGGTTGCCATGACACCATTAAAACATAAAATGGTAACTAAGGCCCAGACTGGAACATAGCAGGTTATGCAATTTCTAACCCTGCGGTCCATTTTGGAGCTGTTGTAACTTACAATTTGGTCGCAAGTCAATATTCATCAAAAAGTAGACTGGCATTCTCTAAATCAGAAGTTATGATTAACCATAAAAGAACCCCTAAGGCATCAAGCCCAAGCTGAGAATTTTGACTGGGTAGACTACATCACAAAGGATAAATCAAATCCCTCTTTATCAGAGTCTAGTACTAAAAGTACACAAAACATATTGAAAGGGTAACTGATCACAAGAGTATTTCCTGAAACATTTTCAACTTAGATAATTCCAGACACTATTGTTTGAACATCTTGGATTTCCAAAGCATGCAAATCATACTGGGGAGAGCTACAGTACATCCTTTCTATTGGTATCTCTTTATGATAAACTATGACATCTACTTGCATTCCCCTGATGCCAAGAAAGAAAGATGTGCTTTCTATTGGAATGCTCATATCTGCTGATTTTTAAGAATATTCATAAACAGTTCCAAAACTAGATAATGGCAACTCAGCGGAGTAGCAAATCCCAACGAACAAAATATCAATTACCGAATTCCAATCAATTATACTCATTACTTTGGTTAAAATTGAAAAATTTAGATTTTAGAATTGCGAATTCCTGCAAAGCAGCCATTTTGAATTTTCTGAGGTACAAATCTGAAGAATAATACCATAATTGTGATCTACTCCAAAATTCCTTCAATTTGAGTAAAATAGCCATACTTTGAAGGAATCGAAAAATTATTGCGAAATCGTACATTAGACGGCCATTTTGAATTTTCTGAGGCTCAAATCAGAAAAAATATACAATATTTGCAATCTACTCTTAATTGCCTTTCATTTGAGTATAATAAAGCTATACTTCAGAAAGATCTAAAAATTAGCGAAAATTACTGTTTTCCTGACCCCCCATACACGGCCCCTGGGGGTCAGGATGAAAACACTGAATATATGTGAAATAGATAGATGTTGCAAATATACTACCAAAATTTCAAACAATAATATTAATTACTTTGGTTTAGAATGAAAAATTTATGATTTTTGCGAAAAAGTCCCGTCATTTTTAAAGCGGCGGCCATCTTGAAAAAATTTTTTTGCGTACAACTATTCACCAATATACATCTTTCCACTTAATATGAAGAAAATCCGTCAACTCGTATTTGAGTTATCTTCTGGACGGACGGACGGACGGACTGACTGACTGACTGACGGACGGACGGACGGAGGGCTTCACTATATCCCTACCGAACTTCGTTCGTTGGGATAATTAAGACAACGAACAAAATTTCTTGTAAATTGTAAATCATTTTGAAATTGTAACTCTTGTTATAGAGGCCAAATGCCTATCAAAATGATGAAATACCCTGCCACTTAATCTACATGTCGATATAGTACCTGCTCTTCTTGAATAAAATATTGAGGAGTTTTAATGGAAATGGCGTTAAAAAGAGATCCTAGGATTTTCATATACATGATTCTCCTAAGAAAATGTTTACATGGGAAATATGTATCCCATTGTTGCACTTATAACAGTTTTTGCTACTCCTATTATCCCATGTGTGGTAATTCCACAGTTTTTCTTCAAACACTGATGCTCAGAGTCCCTCTCTGATTTTGTCATTTCAATGTATCAAGACCCCTGTCTAATTCTAAGATCTCTATCTATATCTTCTGACCCCAAAAATAAACAGAAAACTCTAATTTCTGAACCTGATAAACAGGAAGTATATAATAAACCATACCTTATGTTCCTAGACCCTAGTTCCTATATACGTAACTCCATCACATATTTTTCCTCAAACAGTATTTGATTCTTCTGATTTATCACAGAACATCTTAATCTAAAACTTTTAAGAAATCTAGTTCTTCCAGAGATTAAAGAGGCCAGGGAATGTACAATAATATTTGATAAAGTGAAGCAAACCAGAGAATCAATACTCTTTCCAATACAGCAAAACCTGAGTACAGTGAACACCTATGGAACCACAAAAATGTGTTCACTGTTGGTAGGTGTTCATTAGAGAGAGAGGCAATATCATATAGAAGTCAGTACAGTATATGAGGAGGAAGAGTGTCGACTCGTGTTCATTAGACAGAGGTGTTAACTACAGAAAGGTTTCACTAAACACAGGTGTTCACTAAGATACAGGTGTTTCACTAGACACGGGTATTCACTGAATCAGGTTTAACTGTGATTTGATTTTGCTTAAACGAGGGCTTCGTCTTCATCCAATGCACTAGGCTTTGACACTAGGGGTAGAGTTCCAATACAATTTATTAACACTACCCTATACTCAATCCATATCTACCTGTTATTCTACTTATGTAATGTGTACTTCAATTCTATGACATTATTCATTAACATATAACAATGCACTCTGAATATGAAATCCATAAAAGTGAGGTAATATTTCGCTTCAGATGCCAAGCAACTGTCCTTAACATTGTAAGTAAATTATTGATTTCAATATCTACTTGAGAAAGTACTTGAAAATGATTTAATTTGTTTAAATTAAAGGGGTATATGATTATTCTGCAAAATATTTGCAGTGATCTCAACAGCATTGAATGGGTACAGCACCCACCTGAAATTTAAAAAATATGCTTGCACCCACCTGAAGATCCATTTGCACCCACTTGAAAATGAAAAATATCCAATTTTGGACTGAATTGTGAAAATGAGAATTTTGCACCTACATGAGAAAAAAATCATGTGGAGAACTCTAATCTGACTTTTCATGATTTTTTGGTGCAAAATGATGTTGAGCATAATAAAACTAAAAAAATTGATTGAATCAGAGGCACTGGTTGTTTTTTGTAAAGAATTTGACTTCAATTTTTTGTAACAAGTGCTTCAACTGTAGAATTTGAAGTTTCGGAGTAATCTCTGATATTCCTGCCCATCAATCTATTCAGACATGTTGATCAAAGAAGCAAGCCACAATAATATTTCACAATTTTGAATGGGAAATTTACTCAAATACAAGGAAATAATGGTAAGCTTAATCCCTGGAGCAAATTGTAATTTAATCAAACCACCAAGAAGAGATCTTTGTAGCATTTACCATATGGACTCGACTCTAATGTACTTATCTATCATGATATAATGTTAAATTAATATAATAAAAGCAAAGACCAGTATCAACTCAGTTTCGCTTGGAACCAAATCTCTTTTACAGATATTTCTTTCCTAATCAGGTCAATTTTACAATTTGCTCTTGAGTTCCACAAAATTTCATAGATTCTGAGATCTTATTCTTGAAAAGGAAGGGCAATCAGATTAATCCCTACATCATCGCCATATAGATCTGTGTGGGACTGTGGGTCAATACCTCTTGTGAAAGAATCTTTAATAGTGGTGATAGATTGGTAATAAGTGAGTCATCTCCTTTGATTATGATGTAACAATACTTGCATAAGCCACATATTAGATTAGCTCTCCGTCTGCTTAAAATCTCAACTCTTTTCACTCATTTTACATCATTTCTCTCAAAAATTGATTGAACTGTTAAATTTTCAAACACTTCTATACAATTTAGAGTATAAACTATATGCCTGTATATATTTTTCCTTGCAATTTCATTCCTTTTTCTTGGTATTTCGCAAATAAAAACATGACCCTATAACCATATTCACAGGCAAAATAAAACTTGTAATGAAGTAATAAGAAATGAAAATTGATAATATAATATGATGTCACTGGGCCTCTCAAGTTTCATGAGGTTATCTAATATAAAGTAAATAGAAATATAATCAAATTACAATTAATCAACTCCAGTGTATTGCCTATCTAAATATTTATGAATAGCACATGGAGAAAATGTCCACTTACATCACATCAAAATTGTGTGTTTGGGGAGGTTCATCAAAATAGTACCCTTTTCATGACAGGACTGCCATATAGAGGGGGGAGTCCTTTGGGTGTAATCGCAACCCCTCAGAAATCCCCAGAAAAATATCTTCATATTACAGCAATCAGTTCTTTATTATTCGGTGTACAATGACATCCAGACCTTTATACTGTGTTAACTGCACATTGTATGGAAGCGTGTCATCAGAAAGATCCGAGTATATGATCCTACCCTTCTACCCCCTTTCTGTAAATTAGGCAACACAATTGCAAACTCACAGATGAAACTATACTCCATGCTTTTATGTGAGTACTCTGTGAAACAGACAGAAGAAAATGTGACATCAGTACCAGAGAGAATATGACAATCCAATTAATAAAGATTAACAAAGATTGTCTCTGCATTTGTTAACCTCTATATCAGTCCCATGTGACCAATACCAAAACCTAAAATGTCACAACTGATGTTTTAAAATGCAAAATTAAGTATAAAATAATGCAAAAATAGAGAAATGAATTGAATTAACATTTAGTTAACACTATAAATTGTCTAAAAATGCAAGAAAATTATGAGGTTTATTCAAATTTTAGAGAGAAATCGCGTGAAATAAGATGGAGCAGACAGACATTTCAAGTGCTAATAAATTAGATGACTAATATCAAAGGGTGACAATATAGAGATTATTACTCCAAATCCTATGCTCATAAGCAAATGAACTGTCCTAAAATGATTTCTAAGATATTCATAATTAACAGAAATGTCATGTCTGGAGTCATGTCAAAATTGATATCGAATCTGAATTTAATTTGTCAGTTTAGAAGTGATGTCAGCCCATGTCACTCTGACCTGGTGTCTTTTATTAATTTGTTGGCCTATGCCATTAAAATGTCAGTTAATCAACCAATTGTTTTTCTTAATTTTTTTTTGACTTAACAGCTATCATAGATTCATATTTACTTGTCCAAATTAACTTAGTTCATGACTTTTCTGTTGACTTGCATCAATCCATTGGTCTACATCTTCAATTTGTATTTCTCCAGCCATTTTTCTTTTATCAGAAATTCTAACTTATGAAACCACTGAATACGTCTTTCTTACTAGTGTAGCTACAAGCCCCTGTAAGCCCCCCCCCCCCTATTACATACCTCCAACAAGGTTGTGTGTTGGTGGAGTACATAAGAGGGGGGGCACAGTCTTGAAGGAAAACTTTCTCCTACAGATTGTTAATTCTAAAACCATAACCCAAATTGCTCACCTGCTTATGATTTTAACAGGACTAACTCCAGAGTCGTCATACATTTCCTGAATAGCCAGGGACCGGGTCTCTGACGTAAATAAATTTGTGTCGTAGCCATGTTTGGCTGCGTAGAACTCTCTCAGTTTGTTTTCGTCATCCAATGAATTTTCAGCTGAAAGTACATAAAATCGAAAAATTAAAATACGTTCATCAATGGTAAGTACTGTGTTAAGTATACAGTTTAATATCTTAAACTTGCATCAATAAAAAAGTATTTAAGTTTATGGCCACTACACATACAAACGAAAACTTCCCAAAAAGCATCAAGATTTTGTCCTCATTTATTCCAGCTCATGCACCGCAATTTTTTTTCATAATTAATCTTGCAGAATTGGTAACCGTGCGTTACTATGTTATTCAGTTGCCAAGCATTTTCATCTCAAAGAAAATATTTTTGTCATTCATCTATAGTAACGATGTGAGTTAATTAGAGTTGGCCTGGACTTTGAACGCAACCTGCCCTGGTGGAAAAATGTTGCGATGGTCATTTTTTAGAACAAAAAATATTATAAAATATAGTTCAAATAACAATGAACTAAGTTGGTAGACATGTAGTTTAAATACTCAAAATTGTAAAAAAAACTCCAAAACATGTAAAAGGTTTATATTCTGACGGGAATATACCATGGGAAAGCATGGGCAGGTCAGAATTAAGTATGGGTGTTACACTTTAGAGTATTTTATCAAGAGGCATATATCAAACACATCTGAGAGACCTGCTTTTTGTCTATTGACTTTGCCTATAAATCTGTTGGTTACGATGATCTCTCAATTATGCCAAAGCCCTAATTAATCAATTAATTAATTAACTAATTAATTATTAAGAATATGCATTAGAGGTGGCCATGACACAGTCACATGCGGAGTATTATTGATGAACATTAAACTCATTTTCATCATGGCACTTTATCAAAAATAAACACAGTACTCATTTATAGAGGGCAGTAAGATCAGTCATTCAATCTTGCAACATCAATCATATTATTCAAACACAAATACACTCGGTTCACTCAAAATAATTTGGGTAGGCATGTGCATGGCAGGGGCAATTTTGGCTTAGGGTATAAACCATGGAAGCTGGCCAATCTGAGAGGAAAAAAACATGGAAATACACTGATATTTACAGTATTTTTTTTACATTTTACACATCATAGGCCCTAACCAGATTTTGCTAAGGAGTTCACTTTTCAAAAAATTCAAGGGGAGTTCACATATGTATTAAATCCCCCATTCTTTATTAATGTATTTTTAATTCAATAAACAATATCGTTTCCAAACATGAAAACAATGATGTTACAAACAATGTATTTAATATTCCCCTCTTCCCCATCCCCTATTAATGCTTCTTCACTATGAATTCATTATTCAAAATCTGTCAGGCCCTGGCCAAAAATTATTTTAACATCATGCAGTTTTTACCATTTTGAGCACTTTTCAAGTGATTTGGGGCCAGAATTGTCAAAGAACCCCCGGAATTTCTTAAAACCTGACTTCCCCCTTGGCAAAAGCTGGCTACAACCTGTCTGTTCATCATGCAGTAGGATTAAGCCTCTTATTCCACTTATACTTGTCATGATATTTTTCATGCTTTGTGGTGGTTAAATGTAATAAAACAGCAGTTATGCTTAAGTCTACAGATTATCCAGCTAATATTGAGTTAACCCATAGTTTGTTTTTACAGCAATGAACTTATTTATTCACACGTCAATCATAATTAAGATGTCAAGCAATATTCAAAATTCAATCAGGATTCAAATGTCAACCTGAATTCAATATTTAAGAAAGTGGTAAAATGTATTCATTTAAAGAAAATGTTTAACTTAATTCATCCCTAAGAGATGCTAATAAAAAAAAGAACACAAATGTGTACAACATGTCCCCACCTCAGATATCGATTATATCCTCACATGTTATTTACCTATAACACTACTCCGTATGGGATAAATTGATTTATATAAGTCTGATAGCCAGTTCTATAGAAATTGATTTTTTTTTTAAATATTAAAGAACAATGTTTTGGGTGCAGTATCATTTGTTACAAAAACATCTGATGAGCAACATATACTAACTGTATATTTCATTGAGACCAATTGTGCAGTCCATACAACCAACAAGGAGACAAGATGAAGATTAACTATGCTTGTATCTTCACTGTTTTATTGCTGTCAGTAAATGGTGTGAATGGTTGTAAGTTTATCTATTTATTATATTTTGAACAAGACTAGATGGAGTAATAATCTTAAATGTTAATCTAACTGTTCAAAATTTAGTCAAAGCGACATTTTGAGTCTACAAAATTATATCTCATCCAGAAATGTGGTTTAAAAAATTATTCATTGACTTAGAAAATTTAATTTTCTCTGAAAATGTGACTTCTAGGATAGACCCGATGTTATAAAATCACAAAAAGTGAAATATCTTTTCTTGTATTGGACAGATAATATTTATTTTCTTTTATTAGACATATTTTCATTTGTATAATTATCAGAAAAGTAAGTCTTACATAGAAATTGATCCACATAAACCTATTATATATATATTATGAATATTCAAGTTTAATGATTCAAATATATTATTTTCTGGTAAAGATCTTGAACAACTTAACTTGACCATAAATCATAAACTTTCAATTATAAGTGAATGGTTCAAATGCAACAAGCTTTCTCTTAACCCTTCTAAAACTAAATTGTTTTTTAAATCTCCTCAAAAAGTCATTGATTACGACAAAATTAAATAAAATATCCATGAAAAACACTGTCTTGCAAAAGACTGATGTTAGTAATTTTCTTGGAGTTCTTATAGATAAACATCTCTCTTGGAAACCTCATATAAGGCATGCTAAAACAAAAATCTCTAAGACTCTTGCAGTACTTCATAGAGTGAAACATAACTTAGATTACAAAGCCCTAAAAATAATATATAATTCCCTCATTTACTCTAATATCAACTACAATATTATAATCTGGGAAATTGTTCAACCTTCAAATCCATAGATTAAAGAAGCAATTTATTATATATTTTAGTATCTAAAAATCATAAGGTTTTGGACATTTTCCCAATAAAATTTATCCTGGGAGATTTTTGGAGCAATTTTTACATGTTAAAGTATGCTATTAAACCTACTGAATTTTATGCCATCTATTGACAGTCCTGAGGGCCATTAGCTACTGGTGGTAAAACTGGTAACTACCCACTAGCTTCTGGGCAGATTTATACTGATAAACTGATGAGCATGTTAATATATTTAAAAAATAAAAAGTAAGAAAATAATTACAATTTTGATGTTTCAGTTATTCCAATTGCTATGGCGATATATGGAGCAGTTGTAGCTGCCCCAGTGTATCTACCTGCAATAGGTTTCACAGCTGGTGGTATAGCTGCAGGATCTACAGCTGCAGGACTGATGTCAGCCTCAGCTATAACTGGTGTAGGAGGTCCAGCTGTAGCAATTGGTAATAATTATTTTTCATATTCAACTGAACATTAATTTCTTTTCCAAGTGATGATTTTTTAAACTATTTAGTAAATTGAAACATTTCATTTTTAAATGTATACAATAATTAACAAATAGTTGTAGTAGTTCTACAGTAAACTGATGACACATTCCAATCCATCAACCATCATAACCCAAACAGGTCTAATTTACCAAATGAAAAATATATTGCAGCCCAGTCAGTTGGAGCCGCAGGACTTGCTGTTGGCACAAAAACACTGGCTGGTGCAGCGGTTGCAGCTGTAGTTGATGGAGTGAGATACAAGAACCGTAAAGACTAAGATGAATAAGAGACAATAATGAAATGGAGGAAGTCATTACAAATGAGGAATAGATGAAAATAATGAAAACAATTACTGAAAATGTCATTTAAATGAATATAGAAAGGGCTATTCTCAGTTTAGAGAATAAAGTTCATCACTCTAATTGAGTGTTACCCCTGCTTCGGACAAATTTAATTTTTTTTACATAATATAGATTTGAATATGTCTTCTTTTGAATAGTCATAATTTAAATTGGGTGATATTTCTAGATTCTTTATAAAAAAATTATTAGGGCAGTACACTGATGAACTTATTTCTCCAAATCGTATTTTATTGAATCTGTCTACTGCACGGTTAACCCTGCTTCGGACAATTGTGATATTTTTACATCTTGTAGATTTGAATGTCCTCTTTTGAATATTCATAATTTAATTTGGGTGATATTTCTATATTTTTCATAAAAAAGGAGACTGTTCTCCAAACCGAGACTTGTCCTTTCTTATATAAATAACTTGGGAAAATATTCTATCAATGTTTAGAACTAAAATAAAAAGTGAGAAAAAGACATAAATGTATCAAGACGATAAATTACAATTAAATATAGCTATGACATGAATTGATATGTATTTCATGTTATTTATTTTTATACATCTACAGTATTATCAAAATAGGGTATTAATGCATTTCTGGAGAACTATGTTATAGAATAGGGAGAGGCAGAAACTTGCAAATTCTTTATAATTTGTAGAAGGCCTGTAGTTAAAGATTTTGAGCACATTTAAAGTTATTTTTGGCCAATATTCAAGCCTAACCATCGAAAAGATACAGTGACAAAATATACCGTTGTACGATGTACGGTGTCACTATTAACCAATTTGAAGCAAAGACAATGATGTAGGTTTTAAAAAAATTAACTGAGGAATACATTAAGGATTTCATGTTTGATTTCGTGTGTATTCGTTTAGGATGAGATTTAACTTTCTATTAACGTTAAAAGATTTCGAAAAATGGTCAATTTTTTTCGTGGTCATCTACCCATGAAATTGGTCGGTTGGAAAATGTTGTTTTATTACACATCTCCTTAGAACATTTCCTCCCCTGTCGTTTAAGAGTGTCGAATAATTTTACGAGAATGTTTCTTTAAACTATACAATTTCATGTTTTACTTTTATATTCTAAAATCATGAAAAATACATACTGATTTATGACCAAAAAACAGTAGGTAAAGACTGTCTACTTTTTGACGAAGAATGACTCAGGACGAAAGTTACAACAGTTCCAAAAATGCACCCCTGGGACAGTTTAGAACCACTGGTAAACCTGGGTATAAAATCACAAACCAAAAGAGAGCCCATTAATTGTAAAATGAAAAAAAAAATCTTTCTCTCTCCCTCAGGTAAGATGCAAACAAATTGTTCAGCTTATAATTATTTTTACAAATGGTGATATCAGTTAAAGGTCATTTTGCAGTTGGCAGTTTTCTGGCAATTAAACAATATAAAGACAGTAAATCATCACCTAAATGACTGTTAACTTAGGTCAAACCCTCACTCACATTGGGACTCTACTGATTCTACAAAACAGAAAGTGTTTGGTTTCCTTCAAGGAGGATTGGCTCCCAGAATGCAACATGGACATTCTGTCCCAAATATGATATGTGACCTTTAACCTTATTTACATGTGACAAGTTTCTGGATACCATAAATGGGACAGAATATCGATGTTACATTCTGGGAGCCAATCCTCTTTGATTTCCTTATTAAAGCGTGTTAAAGGGATTTCAAAAAATGAACTGAAAAATTATTTAAAATTTGAGGAGTATAATAAAGTAAAAAGGATCTGTAGAAATGTTAATTGTTTGTAACTGTTCATCTGCTCTTTAGTGTTAACAAGCAAATGCAAAAAAATAATTACAAATACTGATTAATGTGATGTAAAATATCCTGTTGTAAAATAGCCCCAAGGTATGAGGGCAATACAAAAAATATGTTTTATTGATGGTACTAATTGCAGGATATGCACTTAAGGTGTGTAGGTACTTTGAAGAAGAAAGATCGTAGTTATTATTGAGCATGATGAAATAGAAATGAACATGGTTATAGAACTCAATCACCATGCAACTTCTGCTTTGCCTTGAAAAGAATAAGTACTACCATCAATTGATCTAGCTTGGCCAATCAGTTCAGATAATTCTGTCACTGGGTTCAGAGAATCATGGGAGTTATTTTAAATATAACTTTAAATGAACACATATTTACACCATGTGACCTAGATTAGCCAATCAGTGAAGAGGATACTGGGTGTTGATCATTTTAATATATTGATTGGAAAATAGAAATGCACATCGATTATTATAAGCACAATACACTGGGTATTCATCAATATTGTTTATTCATGTCTATACCAGGTAAAGGTACCCGGAAAAGGACTCAATGATTTTGTGCAATTATCTTGTACTGTTGGTACTTAGTGACCTATACTAACATTACATTACAAACTTTCAGATCCAATCTTCCTATGGTCTAGATGCATATTGTAGATATTCTGAGTTTCAGAGCCTTATATATATTAGGGTAGAAGCTCTCTTTAAGAAGCAAATTCTAAGTGTTGGAGGGGGGGGGGGTATACTGCAATTGTTTCTTGAATGTCATATTATTTACCTCAAAGTATAGTTGAGAAGGCAAAACATGACGAGATGTATCCATCTAGTTAAATTTAAAAAAGTGAAACAATCTGTTACAGATTCTGAGTAATGAATACCAGTCACAGAAAACAGAGGCTATAACATTATGTCACTACCATAAAAAAATAAAATTAGCAAGGAATATAGAAAACATATTTATATTTATCATAAATTTTTTCGAGTAAAGTCATGATTGAAAACTGGACACAATTTTTAGTTGTTGCCTAACAGGAGTTAAAATCTTCTGCGCCATTTCACTACTTACTAGCATATGCAATTTACAAAGAGATTTCTTGCTCTCAAGTCTCAACAAAAATGTGATTTCCCTCTTGAAACACACCAGGATGACCCATTGGCCATCTTCACCCTATTGGTAGATAGCTTAATTTGATGGCTCCAGGATGCCTGACATCAAAGCAACCAAGAGCTTGCTAAATGGTGTATAATTACTCATTAATTTCACTGATGTTTTCAACATATCCATAATTACCTCAGAACAGGTGAGAACTAGAGGATGATGAGAGAGACAGGAAGCCTCAACAGTTTTCAAAAATCCATGGTTTCACAAATTCTAAAGCTATGATGCTGCCTTGTAAGATAGCGAATCATTCAGATTTACCCTCCCCCCTCTCCAGACCCTACTGGTCAGGAATTGTAGAAATAGATAGGCAAACATTTGACATTCTGTCAGTATGAGTCATGTCAACAGAATGATTGATAAGTTTGCAACTACAACAGAGACAGATGGTTATCATTCAGAGAAAGTGAATGCAGATGGCAAGAGGACAGGTATTATGTAACATTCTTTTCCTGATGGACATCATATGGGTAAAAGGGAAATATTATGCAACAGTTTCTTCCTGGAGATCAAACAAATTTTTTCAACAAACAAGCATAAGATCGAACTCCTATGCAGTGTCTCGGTATAGACACTGCGGCAGGCAGATTATGGAATCCCCAAAATTTGGGGAAGATAGTCCCCCTTTTTGTCACAGATGTACTTGTTTTTCACACAACTTATAAAATATATGTTCCTTTATGTTCACCAATAATTATTTTGTCAAAATATTCCAAAATCAATGAAATATAAGAGCAAATCCCCGCGGAAGGAATTCTGAGTAAAAGTTGTGTTGATAAAAGTTTACCGCACGTGTTGTTTATTAGTTAATACGCGCAATTCAACCAATGAAATTGTCTAAATTTTACAATCACGCGACCTGAGCATGGGACTAGAACCAATCACGTCAGTTGTTTATTACGATGTTACCATGCTTACGGTGAGACACCTGCCCGCCGCAGTGATATATCACTGCACGGGAGTTTGGCATAAGATAAGACCAAGAATTTAAATTCCATATTTTTTGAACAGAAATAAGAAATTAGAATTCCAGGCCTTGAAATAAGAGATGTACATCCTGAACTTGAAATATCCCTACATAAGATGAATTCTCTAATTCCCCATCCAATCAAAACAATGAGGTTTCTGTCAGTATAAACAAGCTCTAAAAGGAGACTGAAGAGTCTGGCATGTAAACAAAACACTTCAATGTCTTCAAGAGCAATGAAGCGAAACAAGGCAATGGATCTAGAGATGAATAGAGGAGAATTCCTTTATAACAACAGCTATTATTCATGAAAGAGAATGTCAATGACATGATTCTTCATACTGACTTGTCTGGGTATCTTGGATTTCCAAGCTATGAAGATTAAGAATCAAACTAAGGATGTTGTCTAAATATTTTATTGTGGATTCTTAGAGAAAATTATCTAAATGTTACATAATACTCGAAAGACTTTATTCTGTTTCTGTTTATTTGGTTGTTCCCATTCTTATGCAGGAAAAAACAAATACATTAAAATATACTTTATGTACATGTAAACCACTATTTAACACATTTTATATTTGAATATTCCGATAGCAGCAACCATTATTGCAACCTCACTTAAATGATAAGACACAACATTTCATATCATCTTGTAGATTGAAATGAAGGTCGTTTGTTTGCATATTTGTTTGTTTGTTTGTTTGTTTGTTTGTTTGTCTTCATCATATCAACCTAATCATGTTGACTCCTCCTGAGAGAGATTTATCTCATATTGATTGCTGGGACTGAGAAAAAATGTGATATTTCAGAATCTGTAATTAATGACAAAGTTAATTCAAGATTAAAGTTTCAGCCTCTGATGTTATTTACTCTTATGAGCAATAGATTGAGATATAATGAAAGCGCAAATGGATTTGACAGTTTTATAGCAAGCTTTGAACTTCAAAGTCATCATTTTCATATTCATATAATTTATATGTTACAGTTGAATGTGCAAGACAATACAGAGGAATTATGATGGTAATCATTATGAATTATTTACTCAACAGAATCTATGGCCACATACATGAACTGATTTATCAAAATCTCACAACCATGTTGAAATGGACCATGGCTATACCATGGTATATGGCCATGAAATACAATGAAATACCATGGTAATACCATGGCCGATCATGAACGTTAAATGGCACCATTGTATTTCATGGTTAACAGCGCGTTTTTAACATGGAGTTTTCCATTGAAAAAATACTGCCGTTTCGCGAGAATGGTGCAGG